ACTACAACCACAGCCAGAGCCATTACTATACCAACCCCAACCCCAACCCCAACCATAACCAGAACCAGAACCATAACCACCACAACATACACACCAGACCACACAAACCAAACCACCAACCCTCACCCTCATCCCCACCACCAAACCAAGAACCAAAACCAGCAACCCACCCCCTCCGCCACTGGCTCTCGCTGCGTCTCACCCGTCCATCGAAATCGATCTCCAACCTCGCTGGGCTGTTTTCCAGACCCAGACCCAGACCCAGACCGGGAACTCGTACCCATTCCCACTCCCATTCCCAACTCAAACCTCAAACCCTAATAATAAACCCTCGACCCAAACCCAACCCGAAATCCCAGTTCCGAACCAGATTACACCATCAACTATAACGACAACTACAATTCCCGTGACTGCGACTGGGACTGCGATTGCCACTGGGACTGTCACAGCGACAGCGACAGTCACCCCCCAACTGTTACAATCGCAGAAACAGAGCCAGAGATATTGATAGAAACACAAACAACAACAACAACAGAAACCAAGCCTGAAACAGCCCCAAACCCTTCCCCATACCCAGCCAAATCCAAATCCAAAAACCTCCCCACCAAACCAAGTAAGCGCCGACTTCTCTTCCGCTCCGTCTCCAACCGGAGCATCCTCCATCGGTATCGGTATCGGTATTCGGCTCGGAAGACACATCTCGACGCTGTTCGGGACGGAGAGTCGATATCTACATTTACATCCCCATCCACATGCACATCCACATCCACATCTACATCTACCTCCGAAGAGGAAGAGGAAGATGTCGAGAATGAAACGGAGGATGAGGATGAGGATGAGGACGAACTCACCCGTTCCTACGCGGCATATTGCCAGGCATTCACCTCGGGTTTGACGCATGAGAATTACGAGTTGGAGTACCGCTATACCTCTGCCAATGATGATGACAATAACGAGGACATTGGTAATGGCAATTCCAATGGCAATGGCAATGGCAATTTTAATGGCGATGATCACACGCATCCCAAAAACATGGAAAACAAAAACAAGGAAACAGAAACATATCCCACGCAGAATCTCAAAGGGAAACTCCCCATCCATACACGATTCTATCTCCCGCCGTCAGAGCCAGACCATTACATTGGACAGGCACAGCCCCAGACCCAGAACCAAGACCGATATCAAGAATATGACCCCCCCCGCAGCACCCACAACCTCGAGATCCTACACTGGCTGCGCACATCCACCTTCGACGACGCCTCATCCTCGCCCTCGCACGACCTGTCCGAACAGCTCCCGCGGGTGTCGCCCCCGGCGCGGATCGTGACTCCCGCGCGATACGAGCAGTCCCGACGGGCGGCGAGACTGCGGCAGCGGCGGGAGGACAAACCGGAGCGAGGGCACATCTGGGGCTCCATCCAGGCGTGTTGGGCCAGGATGCGTCGGAAGGACTAGACTAGACAGACAGACAGACATCCACCTCTCTCTACATCACATCTACCTCTACATTCTATCCAGACTGCATCAAGCACATCAACGTCATTCGTGCAACATCACTCGCCCAATGGGATCCCCCCGGAGCGGCACAATAGGCCCCTGCTCAAACAGACTGGGTATCCTGAGCTTCTTATTACATACAGCTAGCCCCATACAAACAAAGGAAATCATCATGCAGGCCGCGCAATCATCCTCACGAGCTGCTCTCATCCACCACCTCCGTCCCGCTGCCCTCCGGCGGCGGCGTCGTCGACTGGCTCGGTGGGTTCGGCGTCGCCCGTCGCGACATCTCGGCCAGTTCGCCTAGGATTCTGACACACTCCAGTCAGCCTGCACCCGATACCACCAGACAGAGACACTCACCGGCGGTGTTCGTCGTACCAGTCGTCGTTCGTCGTCCGGATGTGCTTAAGCTGCTCCTGGATGCTTGCCATCTGCAACGAGCCAATCAGTCAGTCACGGCCGGCAAGGGAACGGACCAGGTTAGAAAAGGTTCATGGGGAATCCCACCGTTCCCTGAATGGATGAGCCAAGGTCCTCACCTTCCGCGGCCGCGGGACCGTCCTCGCCCGCCCACCGGCTGCCCTCCAGCCCGGTCGAGCCCTGGTGACCCGCCTTCAGCGCCGCCAGCTCCGCCTCCAGCTCGCGCACCCGCCGCCGGCTGGTCGCGATCGACGAGTCCACCTCGCCCAGCTGGTTCAGCAGCGACATGTTCTTGTCGATCTGGCTGTTCAGGTCCCGCTCGCCCTGCAGCAGCCGCTCCTCCATCGCCCGGTTCTGCGTCTTGAACTCCTGCAGCTGGCCTGTGATCGTCTCGTGCTGGCTCTTCAGGTAGGACAGCTCATCCTTCGACACCGCCAGCTGCTGCAGCACGTTCCCCAGCTCCGCCTGCGTGCTCTCCGACGCCGCCAGTGACCGCTCCAGCTCCTGCGCCCGGCTCGCCGCCGCCTCGTGCTTCTGCTCCCACTCGTTCTTCTCCGTCAGCACCGTCGACAGGTCCGCGTTGTGCTTGCCCGCGAGCTCCTTCGACTCCGCCGCAACGTGCTCGGCTTCGTTCAGCTTCTGCTCGAGGTCCGCGATGGTGAGCTTCAGGCTCTCCAGGACGGAGGCGTCCTGCGCGGCCGCGTGCGCCTCGGCCAGCTGGGTGTGGACCTCCACCAGGACCGCGTCGTGCGCCTTCTGGAGTTCCGCAATCTTCGTCTGGCTGGCAGACTCGAGGTCCGCCCGCAGGTTGGACAGCTTCTCTTCCTGCAGGGTGAGCAGCTGCTCGATGACCTGGCTGTGCTCGGCATCCGTTTCGGCCGCCCGGGACGTCTGGCTGGCCTGCAGCTCGGCCTGGAACTGGACCTTGGTCTCTTCGTGCTGCCGCTGCAGCTCGGCGATTTCCTGGGCGCGGGTCTCGCTCTGCTGCGCAACCTCCTCGGCGTGGCGCTGCAGGGTGGACCGGAGCTCGGCCTCGAGCGACTCCACCTGCTCCGCGTGCTTCGCCTCCAGGTCGCGGTGGGCGGCCATGGACGCGTCGACCTTGGCCTGGAGATCGCTGAGCGCCTGCTCGTGCGAGCCAGTCGCATTGGTCTTAGCTTTCTCCAGCTCGGCCACCAGCTCGGCGGCGTGCGAGGCCTTGAGGGTTTCGAGGGCCTCGGCGTGCTGCTGCGCCACCACCGCGGCTTCCTTGATCTTCTCCTCGAGCACCTGGCCGGCCGCCGTAGTCTGCTCCTCCAGGGACTTGAGCTGGCTCTCCTGTTCGGCATCCTTGGCCTTGGTCTTGTCCTCGAAGTCGTTCAGGTGCTGCTGCAGCGCCTCCGCCTGCCCTTGCTTGCTTTGGATCTCGTCCTGGAGCGACTTGATCTCGCCCTGTCCCGTCGACAGCTGGGCCTCCAGGGCTCCGACCTTCTCCTTGAGCGACTCAATCTCCTGGATGGCGACGTCTTGGGCCGTGTTGCTGCCGTCTTCCACTGCCTGGCGAGCCTCGGTGAGACCCTGTTCCGTAGCCTCCAGGCGCTGCTGGAGCGCGTGCAGCTCGGCCTGGTGGGCCGCGTCGAGCTCGACGATCAACTCCTCCCGGTCCTCTTCCGCAATGGCTTCCGCTTGTTCGAGTTTCTCGCGGAGCTCCTGCAGTTGCTGGGAGTGGGTGGCACCAGCAGACTCGGCGATCTCTTTAGCAGCAGCAAGCTCCTGCGCGTGAGCAGCCGCAGCCGCGGCAAACGCCTCCTCGTGCTCGGCCCTGATCTTCGAAATAGCGGTTTCATGAGCAGACTCCAGGTCCTTAACCTGCTCGCCAACCTGGTTCTCAGCGGCCGATGCGAGGGCTGCGTCATGCTCAGCAGTGAGCTTGGCGATAGCAGACTCGTGCGCAGCCTGGAGCTCGGTGACCTTTTCGCGGACCTGGCTGTCAACAGCAGCAGAAAGTGCCTCTTCATGAGCAGCCTTGAGTTGAGACAGGAGTTCGTCGTGTTCGGCCTTGAGCTGGGCAATAGCTGTCTCATGGGCGGCCTCAAGATCCTTAACCTTCTCGCCAATCTGGCTCTCGGCGGCGGAGGATAGTGCTTCCTCGTGGGCAGCCTTGAGCTGGACAAGAACCTCTTCGTGTTCAGCCTTGAGCGTCGTAATCACGGTCTCGTGGGCGGTCTCCAGCTCCTTGACCTTCTCTTCAAGCTGGCTCTCTGCGGCCGACGAGAGGGCGACCTCATGCTCAGCAGTGAGCTTGGCAATGGCAGACTCATGCGCCGCCTCGAGCTCCTTGACCTTCTCTACAACTTGGTCAGCGGCAGCGGAAGACAGGGCTTCTTCATGCTCAGCCTTGAGTTGGGCGATCGCGGCGTCATGGGCAGCTTCAAGCTCCTTGACCTTCTCTACAACCTGGCTCTCAGCAGCAGAAGACAGCGCCTCCTCGTGCTCAGCCTTGAGCTGGGCAATGGCGGCCTCGTGCGCAGTCTCGAGCTCCCGAACCGTTTCACCGACCTGGGTCTCAGCAGCGGAAGAAAGCGCGGCTTCATGTTCGGCCTTGAGTTGGGCGATAGAAGCCTCGTGGGCGGCCTCCAGCTCCTTGACCTTCTCGCTCAGCCCGGTGTCGGCCGCCAAGGTGAGCGCCTCGTCGTGCTCCGCCTTGAGTTTGGCGATCACGGCTTCATGCGCGGCCTCCAGCTCCTGGGCCTTTTCGCCGAGTTCCTTTTCAGCGACCGCGGCGAGCGCCTCTTCATGTTCAGCCTTGAGTTGAGCAACCAGAGCCTCGTGAGCGGCCTCGAGTTCCTTGATCTTCTCTCCGAGCTCGTTCTCCGCCACCACGCGGGCCTGCTCCAGCTCCGCCTGTGCCTTGTCGAGTGCCTTCTTCAGCTCGGTGATCTCCGCATCCTTCTCGGCCAGGCGAGCGGTGGTTTCCTCGCTGCTCTGGCTGGTGGCTGAGCCGGCGTCTTCCAGCTGGGCTTCCAGCGACGCAACCTTGTCCTCCAGGGCAAGGATGGCCTGCTTTGCAGCTTCTTCGGCCGCCCGGGTCTCCTGCTGCTTGGACTGGTTCAACCGGTCCATTTCCATGTGCAGATTCTCAACCACCTGGTCCCGGCCGTTCAGCTCCCGATGGAGGACTTCCAGCTGCGAGACGGTCTTTTCCAGATTGGCGCTGGTCTCAGCGAACTGGCTCTTCTGCAACTCCAGTTCCGCCTTCAAGGAGTCTATCTGCTCGGCATAACCAGCAGCCGCAGCTTTTTGCTCCGCCAATTCCTTCTCGTGCGCTTCCAGTTGCGCCTGGTGCGACAGCTTCAGTTCTTCCAGAGCGGCGGCGGTCTCATCATCTCCCTGGGAGGCAGCGGACTTGACCGCCTCTTCCAGGTCCTTGAGAGACTTCTCCTCCAGCTCCCGATGCCGTACCTCAGCCTCCGCCAGCTGGACCTGCAAGGCCTGCAGCTTTTCCTCGTGGCTAGCGGTCAGCTGTTCAATCTCTGCCGCGTGCTGCTCCCGGATCGCCTTCGTTGCCTCGTCGACGTCCTGAGCAGAATCATTCGGGGCGAGGGACAGCTCAGTCAATTTAATGTTGACGGTATCCAGATCCTCCTTCAGCTTCGCCACGGTGGCCTCGCTTTCGGAGAGCTTGGTCTGCAGCGACACCAGCTTCTCGACCTCCTCCTCTGCACCCTTGGGCGTTGCGCTCAGTCTCTTGGAGGCGAGGGTGGTCGCCGGACGGGTAACGGTGGAGGTCGGCCGGGTGGTGGTGCGTGCGGTCGCGGACGAGGAGGTGGTCGGACGAGTAGTCGACGGGGCGGTGGTAGGCTTGGTCAGCGGTCTCACGGTGGAGGCCGTGCTGGGGCGTGCGGTGGAAGTCCGCTTCTCCGCCGTGGTCGAGCCCGCGATGCTGGAACGGCGGTCCAGAGCCGCAGCGGTGGCCTTCACCGGGGCGCGGGTGGCCGGGGTGCCGACCAGCGACATGCGCTTGGCAGCGGTGCTCGAGATGCCGCGCTTCTCGTCGCCGGAGCTGGCCACGGAGCGGTGGGACTTCTCATCGGCGGAGCTGCTGACGGAGGCCCGGGATCGGTGGGAGGGGGTGGTTGTGGTGCCCAGGGGCTTGCGAACGGTGGTGGTGGTCGCGGGACGGGTGGGCGGCTTGTTCAGGGTGGTGCCATTGGTAGTCGAGGTACGCGTCGTAGACGTAGGCTTGGGCGGACCGGTCAAGGAGATGGGCCGCTTGGTGGTGGTCGTACCTGACACGGGGCGCCGGGTGGTGGTGGTGGCCGTCGGGCTCTTCTTGAGGGGGGAGGCTTTGGCGTTCTCCTTGTCCTTGGCCACATCCGGGCTGGTCATGGGCTCCTCGCTGCCGGAGAGAATGCTGGATTCCACGGGAGTGGCGGGGGGCGCCATCTCCACATCGACCTCGGCGGGGGCGATTGGGGTGATGGGATCCTCGGTGGACGCCATTGTGTAGGGGAGGGAGGAGTCGAGGATAGTGGAGGAGGGAGGTGGGAGCACCCGAGGGTTCGGAGTGGTCAGGTCTTAGCGAGGCAGTCGAACTAACGAATTGAGAGCGTCCACGTTAGCTGGATCGGCGAGCAAAAGCAAAGCATGCGAGATCACATAGACGAATGATGCGGTGGACAGCGGGGAGAAAATCGCAGGGACAGCTAAGCAAGCCGCCAACCAGAGGCATGGCATTGCATGAGCGCCCATCCCAAATTGGCGAGGCTCAAGAGTTCCCCGTTGAGGGAGCTGCGACGGATAACCGAGGCGGGCCTCCTTTTTTTTTTTTTTTCCCTCCCAACTCCGGGGACACGGCGATGAGGGGATGGCGGCGCACGCACACACTTGCACGGAGGGGAGAGCACACTCAATGGCAGCAGAGGGGATAGGGGAGGATTGGGTGCAGCTTGGGGGAGGGAGTCAAGCCGGAGGGGGGAGGGGGAGGGGGAGGCAGGGGGGGAAGAGGCACGGTTCAGGGTTCTTGGATTTCCCCGGAGGTGCCGATCAAAACAGCTGGGGTCACTCACCAGGAATGAATGGACAGCGCGCGGGAGGGGGAAAACAACGGAGGGGGGAATTAAAGAGAAGAATTAAAGAATTACAAAGTAGATAGAAGAAGAAGATGAGGAAAGGGGGATATGAAACAATGCGGGGGGGATAAAGGGGGTGAGGATGAGATGAGGAGAGGAAGAGGTGGAGGGAGAAGGAGAAGGAGGAGGAGAAGGAGGAGGAGACAAGAATCAAAGAAGGGGAAGGAGGGGAGAGCCAAAAGGCGGAAGGGCCGGCCAGCAGTCCTGATTCGCCTGAGGCCGCTCTTCCCCGGTCAGGAGGTCACCGTGTTCCCCCAGCACTACAATTCACTAGTCCTGGCACACCGGAGTACTCCCCTGATTATTGATTGCGCTCATTACCAGACAAAAACATTCCCCGGGCCCGTCCCTTCCTGTCCACTGGTTCGCGTCCCCCGAGCCACTCCGATCCATGGTTCCTCCCCAGCCCTCCAGAGTATACCGAAACCAACAACAACAAATCATGGGGATCACAGTTTCACAGTATCACACTTCACCTCTCCCTCCTACTACTTATCGCTGTATCTTCGGTAGCCACCATTCATGCGACGCTAGTTCGTCTCGCGACATCTGGGGCAGGAGCCGGTCATACAGCTGCTCGCTTTCCTCGCGCACCTCCCGCACCTGCCGCCGGCCCAGTCGCTTGCCGTAGTGGCTCCAGATCTGGTAGTATCGATTGGCACCTGTGGGAATGAGTATGGCCATCAGCTGGAGGGTTGGGATTGACCGACCTTGGAACTCCTGCAGCCCTTGGATCAGAGCCTGCATTTGATCATCTGTCCACTCTTGCTCCTCCGTCCACCCTCGCGCGCCCGCCTTCGAGGCAGAACTCGTGGAGCCCCGGGTTGGGGGAGGCGGGGGCTGCGGTCGGTGGGAGTAATAACTGCCGCCCCAGCCATCGTCTGCCAGGGATTTGCGGAGTTTCTTCAGGGGCTGTTGGAGCTTCGAGCTGCTAGCCCCGGAGGCCACATACTTGCCCTGTACCTGTCGGCCCACCCGGACGCACAGCTGGAGCAGGACCTTCATCGTCCGATCCAGGCAGTCATACGCCTCTGGGAAGAGGGAACTGTCCGTCTCGTAGGCCTGGAGGCTGATGAGAATGAGCTCCACCAGCGGCGGTAGGACATGCCTCTCGAAGTCTTTCACTTGTCGTGTCGCCTTCCGGGGCTGGCCCCCTTCCAACCGCTCCCTTCTCGACAGCCGGGCGACCTCATCCAGACAGGCGTCTCCATGCTCCTTGATGGCTTCGAGGCCGGTGCCATAGCTGAGCACGTCGTTATCCGATGGTCCAACCCCATCCTGGAGGCCGCGGCAGATGCTCCGGAGGAGCTCGGCGCAAGAGGAGATCTCGCCCGTGACCTGTCCAAAATCGGCAATGTGGGAGGTAGTAGCCCGGTCTCGCAGCTGGCGCGCAGTCGAGGTGAGCGTCTTCCAGTTTTCCGTCTGGCCGTCGTGTTTCGATGCTTGGAGGAACCACGGGCTCTCGTCCAGCTCGACTTCATGGACGATCTCCTCGGTGGTGTCGGGCGCCGCATCGGAGCCCTGGTGAGAAGGCTGGTAAGCATCCTCGGAGGCTGGGGAGCTGGGCTGGGGGGCTGCACGCTTTCTCCGCCTGGGCTCCGATTCTACTTCATCCGTTGTTGCATGATGTTTGGATTGTGTATGGCGCCTCTTGCGTGTGTGTTTATTTGTAGGGGAGACTTGAGCCACTGCAGCCGTCGAGCTAGGCGGTGCCTCGGCCACAGGGGCGGGAGAGCTAGGGCGGTCTGGTCTTGCTGCAGTGTCACTGAGGGCTCTGGACTGTGTCGAGGGGGGTGCAGTTGGAGTCGCGGAGGTCTCACTGGGCTCGTCTAGCTCTGGTGTAGCCGTGGCCCTAGTCTGGTCATGTTCCGGGGATGTAGTCGTGGGCTGGGTAATCCTTTTCGTAGCTGAAGTCTCCGTAGGCTGAGGCTTACTCGGAGGGGTGGTCGAGGTGGATGCAGGCCCGCTCTCAATCACGACCCAAACCGTGTCCGCAGGGGCAGCGCCATCAGGCGCCGTGGTCTCCGTTGCACTCTGTATCTCCGCAGCGTCGACCCACTCGTCCTCGCCGAGTTCCTCATTGGTTTCAGCGACATCCTGGCCTTGTGAGGTTGTGGACTTCCTGGTAGCCGGCCGCTGGCCAGGAGTGAGCTCGTTATCACTGGAGAAGTCAACGTCTGATCGGAGACCTTCCACGCTGAGAGGGCCTTGGTGACTCTTTCTGGGGGTCCCGGGATCGTCTATATGGGCGTCGGCTTGCTCGTCGGCTTCCTGGTCGGGTTGTTCAACGGCTTCCTGGTCAACTTCCTCATCAGATTGTTCCTCGGACTGTTCCTCCACTTCTTCAACCAAACTTTGCTCGGATTGTTCGTCGGCTTCCTCATCGGCTTCCTCCTCGGATCGTTCACTAGCTTCCTCATCCAATTGCTCATCGGCTCCTTCGTCATATATCTCGTCCGCGGAGGGGGACTTCTCTCCGACACCATACTGAAGCAACGGACTCTTATGGCGGCGCAACCGTGGCAATCTGACACCGGGAGCTCCCGGCTCCGACTCATGGAACCACTGGGAAGGCGCTTCCGTCGGAGGGATTTGCGACGAAATTGGCGATGACGATCGAGTGTCCGGGAAGTCTGCAGTGGGGGAGTGGGAGATTTCTTCAGCGGGGCGAGTCCTCGCAGGGAGGGTGCGTCTGCGGGGATGCGGAGTCGAGAGCTGTTGGGTCTGACTGGGCTGGGTCCGCATGATGCCATTCAAGAAGTCGACGGAGTCGGAGGCATCGCGCTTCTTCCTGCGGGGCGTGGCCAGACGAGACAAGGGCATTTTAGCTGGCCATGGAATTGAGTGCCGGGGATATCAATGGCAGATGGTTGGCGCGAGACATCAGGCAGTCAGCCTGTGACTGGGTCAGCGAGAGAGAGAGAGAGGGAGAGATTGCGAGGGGGAAAGAGAGGAGAAGCCAAACAAAGAACCCGTGATCCGATCGGGAGTCGGCGTCATCGCCGGCCTTATCGATAAGGCCGTCATCGCCCACTTCCTCCCCTCCAATTCAACCCATCCTCCTTCACCAACATTCGCTCTACGACCAGCCACTCGCCACACTCAGGTTCAGCGGTGGAAAATCACAGCCATCCTGACCCCCTATACAACTCTTCATCGGTGTTTCCATCCCGAACCTCCCAACATGGCCACAGACACCCCCTCAGTCCGGATCCTCCCTCCCCTCGACCCCTCCGCGGGGCACGTCTTCATCGAGCCCACCAAACGCATCCACGAGCACAGCGACGTGCCCGAGTTCCTGTGCTCCAAGGCCTACGTGGACATCATGACTTTCCTGCTGCAGCTGAACCGATCCATGTTCCCCGCCAAGCTGTCGGACGGGCGCGTCCAGCCCTGGCCCTTGAACTCCGACGCGGTCGAATACTCGGCCCCCGTTCGCCAGCTGCAGCTGCTGCTCTCCAGGCTGGAGGCCATCCTCGAGGAGGCCCTGCCGGACACGGGCCCCCGTCGCTTTGGCAACATCAGCTTCCGCAGGTGGTACGAGATTGTCGAGAGTCGCGCCTCCAGCCTGCTGGAGGAGTGTCTGTCGCCAGACGTCCTACACAGAAAGTCGTCCGACGAGGGACCAACGGCGGAGGCGGAGCTCAAGGCGTACTTCCTGGGGAGCTGGGGGAGCCCGCAGAGACTGGACTACGGGACGGGGCATGAGCTGAGCTTCCTGGCGTTCTTGGCGGGCATCTGGAAGCTGAGTGGGTTCCCGAAGAGCAGCCCGGGGGTCGAGGAGAGGGCGCTTGTTCTGGGCGTGGTGCAGCCGTGGGTGTGACATACTGTCTGGCGAGATCGACGCTGACTCGGATAGGTACCTCGAGCTCGTGCGCACCATCATCAAGACCTACACCCTGGAGCCGGCGGGCTCCCACGGCGTCTGGGGATTGGACGACCACTCTTTCGTCCCCTACATTTTTGGGTCGGCCCAGTTCGCCCCCGCGCTGTCCGAGTTGGACCGCGTGCCGGAGGAGGGCTCCCTGCCTGATGCGCCGGACCCAAACGGGGTGGCAAAGGCCAACGTCGTGGAGCGGGAACGGCGGGGCAACCTGTACTTCTCTGCCATCGGGTTCATCTACGACGTGAAGAAGGGGCCGTTCTGGGAGCACAGCCCCATGCTCTATGACATTTCGGGCATCCGGACCGGCTGGGCCAAGATCAACAAAGTACGTCAGCCGTCGTTTCTGGTAGTACCGACTAACGGCCGCAGGGCATGATCAAGATGTACAACGCGGAAGTGCTGTCCAAGTTCCCGGTGGTGCAACATTTCCCGTTTGGCTCCCTGTTCAGCTGGGACCGCGACCCTAATGCGGTGCCACCCCCGACAACTGCCCACAGCACCTCGGGGCCCCAGTCTCGACCAACCGACGCACAGGCACCGGGAACCAAAGCCCCTTGGGCAACGTCTCCAGCCGTGCCGTCGCCAGGCGGCACCGCGGCGCCCTGGGCCAGAGGTCCAGCCAGCGGGCCGGCCCTGCCTGACACCTCGCGGTTACCCCCTGGACCGATGGCGCCTACGAGAGCCCCGTGGGGACCGGGGGACATGGACCCCAGGGAGGGGACCAAGGCCCCGTGGGCCAAATGAAGTCCTTTTTGACGCAATCACGCTGTACCTATACTATACCCTTTGCATATCCGTTTGCATCCACGATGCAGAAAAGCATGAGATGGCTTCATTCATGATCCGTAACTCCGCCCAGGGTATCATCGATAACTATACAGGCGCCATAGACCCATGGCCGTCATTCAGAGTCCGTCGCGTAGTCCACCAGTCCAACGGGGCCTGACGTCTTGGTCCCAGCCGGCTCAGCAGACTCATGCACGACATGAGCTGTCTCATCCCCCGCCACAGCATCATCCCTCGTACCACCAGCAGCTTTACCCCCCGAGGCCAAGGCCAGCTTCCGTCTCTTGACGTCCGGGCGCCACTCGCTGCCATCGCTGGCGAGAAACGGATCCACGACCGCGCGCGTATTGCCCGTCAACTCACTACGAAAGACCGCTTTGCGATCAGCCACCAGTTGCGCAGCTTTGGTTCCCTTCCCCTTTCTTCCCCCCGCTGTATCCACACCCGTCTCGAAAAACAACGGCTTCACCCTCGCCCTCCTCCCCCCCTCCCCCACCCCGTGGACCCCCTCTCCAAAATCCACCATCCCCGCCCGGACACGATCACTCTCAATCTCATCAACAACCTCGATCCCCAAACTCATCTTATCCTTCAACGCCTCCCTCTCCGCCTCCTTCGCCTGCAACCCCTTCCTCTCGACCCGAAACGTCCTCCTCAGCCGTCTAGACATCTCATACGGATCCTCCCAATCACGACTCTGCCTGCTCTGCAACTCGAGTATACGATCCCTCTCCGACTCCCCCCGACGCTTATCCTCGACCTTCCCCTCCAGCTTCGCCAACGCATCCTCCTTACCCCCCTGTGCCCCCGTCTTCACAAAAATCTCCCCCGCCCCCTCCGCCCCCTCCGCCCCCTGATCCCCCAAATCCCTCCTCCTCCCCCCCTCATGCACCACATACTCCGTATTCCGCGGATCGGTCCTGATCTCAATCCACCCGCCACACGCGGTATGTTTCATGCGAAAGCTGTACACGGGGGTGGAGTAGTAATTGCCGACTTTCTTTTTCTCGGCGTTGAAGCGCACGCCTTGCCCGATGAGGGTCTCGTGGGGGGTGCAGGTCGTGCACCACACCGCGAAGGGCATTTCGAAGCGCACGATTAAGGACCCTTTGGTGTGCAGGTGGCGGGCCCGCGCGCCCAGGGGGTGTTTTTTGTGCAGCGCGTTCGCGGTGGTCGTGCCTTCGAGGTCCGGGGGGATGTAGCGGCCCATGTCTGGAGGGGAGGATTGTTTAGCAAGAGGGTGGTAGATATTGGGATGGACTGGGAGGGAGGGAGACGGGGTACCTACTGAAGCCTTGCATTCTGGCGGGTGGTCTCCGAGACGGAGTGTGTATGCCGGAGTGGCGAGGATATGTGCGTGCGTGGATGTGATGTAGTGTAGCGTAGCCTAGCGAGCCAGCGCGGCGTTGGGTCGAGTCGAAAGTCCAAACCAAAGAAAGTCGTGGTGGTGCCGATGCCGATGACGACGGGGCTGGCGATGGTTGGAATTTGTGAGGATGACTCAGCCGTGGGTAGTGAATTATGTGCGTGCATAATCCCGGCCTGGTGCCAACGCCGGTCACTGTGCCATACTCTGTGCCCTACCTATCACGATCATTCCAGCTGATTCTTTCAGGTGAAGGGGGCCAATGAAATTTTCTTGGGTGATGCACTCAACTGTGCTTTATTCAATTTCGTCGTCATCCTTTGGAAATTCCCTCCGAGGGGTGGGCAATATATAAACCCTGTTTTCTTCCTCCATCCTCCTCTCTTCTTCTTCTTCTTCTTCTCCTTCTCACATCTCCCATCGCCCATCTACTGTCAATACAGACATTCAGAGTTGGTCTTGAGCATCAAAATGCCTTGGCCTTCTGACATGGTGATGGTTATATATCCATAAATGATTTTGATTATACCATCCCCACCCAAGCCATAGCCCTGGGCATCAAAATATCCTAGACTTACCACCTGGATTACCTTCCATCAAGATATATTTACTTGACCTACCTTCCTTCAAGATGCAATATCCTTGCCCTACTTTCCACTCAGTCATATTATTCCTTCTATACCCCTCATCAGATTCATAAATTGGAGGGACGTCCCTCTGTATCCTCATCAGCTACCGAACTGTGGCATCAACCCCATCAGACTCGGTTACAACAATCGAAAACCCTACATACACCCTAAATGAACGTCATCTGCAACCAGAATGTTGACTTTGGACACACGGAACAATCTATCCATCAACTGGCACATCCACACTGTACCTCGATACACTATTTTGCGGAACCGCAACGTGATGTGCCGGTTTTATATACGCTTCTGGTTCCTCTCTCTTCAGGGATCGACGTCGGTACAACTCCTGACCGTCTTGTTCGGTGCCCCCTTGGCATGTCGTCGCGACCAATTGCTATGCACGCAAAGAGCAGCCGGATCGGAGTATCGAAAAACACGAACACAGCCAAACAACCCCCAGATCTTGAACGATGGTGGGGTTGGTTTGGCCCTGTTTGGCCCTGTTTTTATACGTACACCAGGCCTATCCTCTCGAGTACGCATAACCAGACCCGTTAGCTCAATTCGCACCGGATTTTAAAAACTCAAAGTCGAGATGTCCAATCCGTGGACTGCCACGAGAAAGCAGAGGCTCGCCTGCTCGGTTTAAAGAACCGTGTCCAGGCAAAAGACATACCTTGAACATTTGGCAAAAAAAGCACCAGTTGACGAGGAATGTGTTATTGACCGTCTCCCTGCTCGGGTATGCAATCGAAGTGGCCTGCGTCGCGGTGCACGCACTACATGGCTACCTTTCATCTGTTGTCGTCGATGAATGTGACTGAAGAGGTGACAGACCAAAAAGACCAGTCGGCTAAAAAGGTGTCCAGACTGGGTTTGACAAGATGTTATCTACCCATTTCTGCGCTACTAGGCTGTCTGTCTACCGGATATCTTCGGGTACACCTGCGGTAGCTGCACTCAGCTAGTTCAATCAGTCAATACAACCGATACAATTTCATCATATTTCAAAGAACAAGCTTACTTCTATCAAAAGACTTGTCGTGAGCAGTCCATCCGCTGAGCCATTGAGCGATTGACCTGTCTGTGTAGCAGGCTTCTAATATTGTCGAGACGGATTCCTACGCAGGGCTTTGGCAAGACATCATCCGTCTTGATGACGCATGCATGGCATGATCGACTTGCTTGTCAGAGACGTTCGGGCAAGGGCTTATAATGTTTCCTGGATACTCAGTCTAGACAGCTGGGTCATCTCATCGCTCAACGAAATTGACCAGCCTTGGGGCATGTCGCTGGCGGTTCAAAGTGAGACCGAAAAAGGCACCGGGACGGACATGCTATCAGCATGCAGTATCCCGCTGGAATTTCCCGTTCTTGATAGCCGACAAAGTCTCAAGACCTTATTGCAAGGGTTACTGGGCACAAACACCCGGGGTACTGACAACGGCCTGGGAAATGCTCTCCTGTGCAAACATGATGTAGTTGTCCAGCGATCTATATTGATTCGCCTGATTGAACGTCATTAAGAAGGCATTTCCTTCCCGGGAGCTTTGTCGCGAGGGCTGCGGCTGCGTGTTTTACGAATACGAACGACTTTTCTTGTTCGTTACATCTCCGCCAGGACCAGGGGCTCCGGATTTGTTCGACGAAAAGGAAGGGCCAGTTTTGCTTCAACGAGTCCCCGCGTGAACAAGAACCGATACGGGGTGGTCCATTGGGAAAGCAACAGGAAGGTACTGGATATGCGGAGTGTGTCAGAAGATGAAATCCCAGACGGATCTTCCATTTTGTGTTTGCGGTTATCAAATGATACTATATACCTGGTGTGAAGTCTCGTCCGGTTCTGTTTCTTCTGTCACAGAAGGTTCAAAATATCTTCTCCCGGAATATTTAGCCGAATTCTCGAGATCTCAGACTGGAAGTCTATACTCTCCGTGTCGGATTGACGCACACAATCGCAGACGGAGAACGTTACATGCTTCGCGGGTGTGAAGAAGAACCAACGCAGCCAGTTCACCAAATGTATATCGCTAAACGGCATGTAAAGCGCATGGTCATGCCTCTCATCAACCTAGAGAATACACCATCAAAACCATGCAACCACTTGGCGAGATAAGTATACTCTACCGACTCGATACCGGATGCTGTCCGGAGACCCGATCAAGCTGGCAGCCACATCAAGCAATGGTGTCACGCTGCAAAGACGACATGGGAGATCGAAACATCGTGTGCCTGAAAGACAATCAAGAAATGCTCTGAAGCATTCCCACGCGTACGAAAAGAACCAGACGCATCATACAGAGTCACCACGACATTGGTGTCCCGTCCCCTGGATCGGACAAACGACGACCATCATATCGAAAGGATCGTGGCGAACCCATTCGCAGCGCCGAATATGTTCCCGATCGGTCTCCTGGGACTAGTATGTGGTTTGAACAAGAAACTCGCGCGGCTGAGATGAATGGTCTACCCGGGAAACCCGTTATCGTGAATTACAAGCGATTCTCTGCCCCATTGTCGCTCTGCATGGACAATGGATGATGAGTCTGCGTCCCAGGCGAATGTTCCTCTGGTATGCAGTACCGATCGGCCTCCCGAGATTACACTCCCAATGAGCCCTAACATTCTGTCCACAACCACAAAGGTCAGAAAGAGGCTTTTTATTGTCCCGATGGCGAGAATTGACCCCGTCCACCCCCTCTCGCGAGGACATCGCGGCCCCCGCAGCCCTCCTCCGCGGTAGATTTTGACGTGTAATTCTGGACCATGGGTGTGCTACATAGATTATCGCAAGCGCAAACCCACTGATAGTATCTATAATACGGATAGATCCGACACCAGGGTTGTGTCTCCCTGCAGTGTGGGCGACACCTGCCCTTTCTTGCTGTCCATTGCTGGGAATATGTTGCACGGCAAGCCGTCATAAGCATTCAAACATTGGTTTTGTGATTGGCGGAAATCAAAGAAATGTTGTTTTCAACCCCAAGAGAATATGGATCGGTCTACCCTATGAATCGACAAATTGTCCAGTCTATACCAAAATCCCAGTTCGGGATGCTCTTTGGTACTACTATCAAGATGAGAGGTACAAGACGCCTATCCCGGCTTCTTTTGGCCGTCTGAAGGCACTACAAATACGAGTCATCCGTCTTCAAAACTGGAAGATTCGACAAGCAACTGCAATCTGATTTCCTCCCCTGCGCCAATTGTTCAACGGCTATCCCGCCACACAAGCAAGGACATGATTTGCGACTGTGGTCTCGCAGCAAACCCAACACGCAGTGGTTGATTCGCTATCGATATATCAAATTGAAGTTCCAAAGACTGGAAAAAGATATTCTCGGGCTCTCAATATCGATAGTTCGATTTGGGTTGGTTGGTGTCGTTGACGGATGGGAAGGGTGGACGGCAAAGTTAGGGTTACGTGGTATGCGGGGTCTAACTAACTATGCCAGGTGTGGACTGGGTGGTTGATATCGTAGTTAGTATACCATAGCAGGATCAGATGAATGGATTTCTTCTCCATGATTATCTCATATTTATTGTTTCCTGGATTTTCTAATGGCTTCGGGGCGAGTAAGGTGGATTGATATTCATAATGGTAAATGACCGTTGCAGAAAGTCTCTACTACTCTTCTTAGTTCCTACCCCCCCCCTAAAACTCCTCCCACCCACTCCCACCAACAACGAACCCCCCACCACGCCCCTACCCCCCTTCTCCAGCAACCCACAGCCCGACCCCCTCCGCCGCCATCACAGTCCTCCAATCCTGCACTTCCACATCCCAAACACTCAGATCCTTCCTCGTGACGTTCAACACCACCGTCTCTACATCCCCCGGATCCAACACCCCCGTCTTCCCAAAGTCCCGTAACTGAAGGCCCGGAACATCCACACCGATACTCTCCGGAAGAGAAACATACAGCTGGACCACGGCGCGGCCGCTGAACGAGCCTGTGTTGGTGATGTCGATGGAGAGGGTGAACGCCACGTCGTAGAGGGAGGGGTTGCCGCCTGCGCCGCCGCCGGAGCGGGGTGGTGGGTGCGGGGTGAGGGTGTAGCCGGCTGGGTATGGATATTCTGATGTGCTAGCGTTGGAGGAAGGGGTGATGGAGCTTGGGTCGTCGAGATAGGGGTAGAGGTAGCGCCAGATACGGGTGAGGGAGGCAGGCCAGGCGACTTCGCCTGGGTCTGGGATGGTGGATGGGTAGACGGGGGTGGGGCCTTTGGGGGCGCGGGGGGGAGGGAAGGTGGTGTTTATGGGGGTGAGTGGTGTGAGAACGGGGTTGGAAAAGGAGAAGCCAGTGTAGGAGAGGCCGTAGCCGAAGGGGTAGCGCGGGGTGACGTTTGCGTGGAGGAAGTGGCGGTAGTCGATGTAGAGGGCCTCGGTGAAGTCGTCCTGGATCTGGCCGAAGGGTTGGTCGAGCAGGCCGACGCTGGCGGGGTAGTTGGTTTCGTTATAGGGGATGGTGTAGGGCAGATGGCCGCTGGGGCTGGAGTCGCCGTAGAGGACGTCGGTCAGGGAGTAGCCGGCTTCTTGCCCGGGGAGGTGGGCGATGAGCACGGCTTTGACGGGGTCGAGGTCGATCCAGTTCTCGAGGATGAGGGGGCCGACGGTGTGGATGATCACGACCACGGAGGAGAAGGCCTGCGCGGCGGCTTGGACCAGCTCGTCGCCGCTGTGCCAGGCGAATAGGTCGGCGGTGGTGCGGTCGCCGGGGTTGTCTTCAACGGTGATGTAGTTCTCGCCGGAGTCGGCGTTGATGAAGACGATGGCGGTGGAGGAGGCGTTGGGGGTGAGATCCGAGGGGAAGGTGTCGGTGATGTAGAAGGCAGCGCTGGGGGTGATGTTGGCGATGGCTTCCTGGGGCGTGACGAGGTAGGGCAAGCGCGAGGTGCCGCTGCCCCAGCCCATGGTTAGGACGCCGTTGTCGCAGCCCTGGTCGGAGCAGGAGTTGAGTCCGTTGGAGTTGGGGCCCGCGTCGGTGCCGAAGACGTAGAGCGAGGCATTTTTGGAGAGAGGGAGGGTGTTGTCGTCGTTCTTGAGGAGCGTGATGGCGTCGCGGGCGATGGCGTGCGCGGTGATGTTGTGGTCGCCTTCGACGTTGACGTACTGGTTCACGACTCCGGTGGGCGAGAGGAGGGCGCCTGGATACAGAGGCTCAATCTCGTCCAGGGTGTTGCTGGAGAAGTTGGGGAGGGGGTAGTCTTGGTCCTGGCCCATCTGGTACCAGGTGGCGACGATTCGAGTGACCTGGCTCTGTCAGTACTTAAGTGATATATACGGACAGAAAGAAAGGGGAGACGCACCATATCGTTGAGACGCTCCATGGGAACCGTCCCGTTCAGGATGGCGCGAGACAGCTGCGATCCCCAGTAACTATCTCCCAGCAATGGGATGAGACCATCGCCAGGCATGGCCATGTCAAGCCCCGCCAGAGCAGACGAGACGCCGCCCATCTGAGCCAGCCAGTCGGTCACGACGAAGCCCTGGAAGCCGAGCTCGTCTTTGAGAACTCCGTTGATGAGCATGCTGTTCTGGCTGCAGGCAGACCGGTTGACCTGGACGTGTCAGTGAATGACCACCGTTAGACAGAGACATACATCATTGTAAGCCATCATCACAGCACCCGTCCCAGCCCTGACACCCTCCGCAAAGGGCCACAGATAAAGCTCATGGAGCGTGCGATCATCAATATTTGACGAGTATCCTGGCCCAAGGACAGTAGTCTCCCGATGCATCTCCTGCTCATTCCCAATGAAATGCTTAATGCAGGCAATCGCCCCGGTACTCTGCATCCCCTTGATTGTCTGCGCGCCCCCAATAGCCTGCAAACTGGGGTCCGCCCCAAAGCCCTCCCATCCACGACCACCCCTGGGCTTGCGAAACATCGGACCAACGACCGGCCCCAAAAGAACATTGACGCCCTTCCCTCGCGCTTCTTCCCCGAGTCCCACGCCGCGCTGGTACATCAGGTCTTTATCAAATGTCGCACCGGCAGTCACACCCGCTGGAAAGGCCGTGTTGTGGTCGGAGTTGCGGATTCCCAGCGGCGAGTCGTGCAGGCATAGGTTGGGGATGCCGAAGCGGAGAGCACTCCCTGTCTGTCCGGCACAGGGGCCCATGAACTCGCCCGTCCCGGTGGTCAGGTTGACCTTCTCGGCGAGGGTCATGTTGCCTACAACCCTTTGCGCTTTCTCGTATGCGTCGGCCCAGTCGGAGAGCCAGCCGCCGTTGGGGGCTGGGTAGTAGGGCGGGGAGAAGGCTGCATCGTCGCGGGGGTGGAGACGGCGCTGAGAGGCGAGGGTATAGGGTATCAAGCAGAGGATGAGGTATGGAAGGAGAGCCATTTTGGCGGGAGGAGCCACAGGTTACATTAGAGAGTATCGCCAGGTACAGAGGTAGATATACACCGGCCAGCTGCACCTGCCTGCTCTGTCAACCGAGGGCACGGATCATGCGATCACAAGCTGGAGAAAGACAGACCCTGCAGGGGGTCCAGACCATAAGTAATGCGACACCACGATGCGGGCCAAGGGCGCCTTCTGCATTTTCAGCTGATCATTGCTGAAAATTAGGCTGGGCAATATCGGGGCGACCATCCTGGAGTGCAGTTTGCATGGGCCAGGATGGAGCCGGGTTAGCCACCCCAGACGGCAGGTTGGGATGATCCCTGGATGAGTATATGATAGACGGTGCATTTCCTCTGCGGTGCAAGGCCCACATTCAGCCGGGCTGCGGATTAGCCTGCTTTTATGTCCGTGACAGATCGGGGAATATGCAGGTGACACGGCTTGTGATGATGGATGACCGAGGTTGTCGATCTCACCAGCCCTCCTGCTTGAGGGGAGGGCAGCATCCATGGGTCGCGAGAGGGTTCCGCAGTAGTACTAGCTGTGCTAAGTTAACCATGCATGCATTGACTACCGATGGCTGATATCAAGTCTAGACAGAGAGGGTGTTACGGTGAAGATGTCGGAACACATAATAGACTGTGAATCAGACAAAAGAAAGTTAAGCTGGTTAGGCAAACCCAAAAAAAAAAAAAAAAAAAAAAAAAAAAAAAAAGAGCCAAGCCAGTTCTAGCCAGGTTGAGGGATCTATTCATAAATAGTCTGTAACAGGCAGGACCTTCAGCGAATCGGTGCTATTCTCACCACCAGAGTGACAGAACTATCCCGCAATCCCGCACACCCACAGTTGCACAGCCATGGATGGATTCAGAACTCTTCACCATCTATCTATACAGCCCCCCCTACTAGACTAGCCGACACTTGGATCGGCTCCCCCGCACACCTCCCCAGAAACATCTTCACACAGCCCATCGCTGTGCCCGCAAACGCCGTGATCTCCTTCTCGCCCTTCCCCCCGCCCATCTCCTCCTCGCCGTCCCTCCCCCCATCAAACACCTCCACTGAGAACCACCCCTTGAACCCCGTCCCCAGCACCGCTCTCCCCACCTCCTCGACCGGCAGATACCCGCCTCCGTACGGCACCGGCCGATAGCTGTGGCTCCATCTCGCCCGCGGATCCATCCCGTCTAGCTGTCCCTTCTCTAGCCGCTCGTGCGGGCGGTACGCGTCCGAGACCTGCAGGAGGTAGATCTTCTCCGCGGGCACGGTGGCGGTCAGCTCCTCCAGACTGGCCAGATACCGCTCTGTGAGGTCTTTGCGGTTGTCCGAGGGTTCCTCGATCAGTCCCGAGGCAGTGGTCGGGTCGCCGTATTCGGACCCCGCGGTTTGGAACGTATCCAGACACAGACCCACGTTCGGGCGGTTGACGGCGGATACGATGTTCCAGACGGATTTCCAGGTCTGGGCGTGCGACGACCAGCACCAATTCTCGTAGGCGATGCGCTGCTTGCGCTGCGCGAAGATGTCGGCGAGTTCTTGCAGGTCCGTGATGATGTCTTCTTTGTAGGTCGGGGAGAGCTTATCCGTGGGGGTGTCGGTCGAGCCGACCTTGATTGTTGTTAGTATTGGGCGAGAATGGGTTGGCGGTTGGGGGAATGTGTACCTGGAGTAGGTCCGTCCCCACGGCGGTCATGATTTCACTCCAGCCCTCTGCTCGCTGGAACGCATCTTCGCGTTCTTTCGAGCCCCGCGGCCAGCCCTCGAAGTTGGCGAAGGGCTGCAGCATCATCACCGCCAGATTGCGCGCGTCGCATAGCTCGTGGATTTTCGTGGCGACCTGCACCAGCTCTGGGTAGTTGGTGGGCGAGACGGGGCGGTTGTAGACGCTCTCGGCGTAGCGGAGGATGTCTGGGAAGGAGAGCTCAATCCCGCTGAAGCCGGCGGCGCTAAGAGCGGACAGTTTGGATGGGAGGGTGGTTTCGGGTGTGCCAATGGAGCAGGTGGCATAGGAGAGGGGGATGTGGGAGACGTCGGGGTGAGCCATATTGAGTGTTAGTGGGGTTGGTGATGAGGTTGGTGCGATATATTCTTTGCTAGGAGGTAATTGGGAGCATTGATAGGAAACAAGATGTCAATTTCGGTAGCAATTGAGCAGTTGGCTAAAGGCAGGTTCAGAACTGGACCTGTTTGGAGTCTGGATTGGTGGAATTGACTTTTGTATGTATGCTTGCCCGCATGATGTAACCGCATCCGCCATTGAGGGTCCGATGCATCAGATGTGGACTGACGTGTGCGGGAATACCTGCCAACGATGGATGTTAGTAACAATTGCCTCTACTAAAAAGTAGTACTGCGGTGCACAGCTCATGGTACTGAGCGGTACTGCCTTGTTCAGGCTGTAGGATCAATCACTGCTGGATGCATGACGTCTGACGTATGATGTAACCGGTGCGTAGGTAGGTTCCTGGCCATCCGCATCCGCATCCGCCAACGCCGTTAAAAGCCATTCAGTTCTCAGCAAGCTGTCGATGCATTCCAATGTCATTATCTTAATTCTGTTTAAAAAAATGCCTCACAATGAGCGCGCCCACTCCTTCAAGCGCATCGGTATTGTTGGAGCCGGCAACATGGGCTCCATGATGGGCTTCGCCTTCACCGAACTCGGCCTCGACGTGTCCGTCTGGGACGCCAAGCGCGAGAACGTCGACGGCATCCGGAAATGGGTCGACGAGGGCAAGTTCACCGGCAAGGGCAAGGTCGAGGTCTTCTACGAGATCGATAAATTCACCAAGAGCCTCGAAGGCCAAGGCGAGCGGAAACTCTTCATCTTCTCCATCACCCACGGCGACCCCGCGGACTCGGTCCTGGACATGATCAAGGACGACCTGAAAGAAGGCGACATCATCCTCGACGGCGGGAACGAGAACTACCGGCGGACGGAGCAACGGCAGCAGCGCTGCAAGGCGCTCGGCGTCAGCTGGATTGGCATGGGGGTCTCCGGGGGCTACCAGTCGGCGCGCCGTGGCCCAAGTCTGTCGCCGGGCGGAGATCGCCAGGCCGTGGAGCTCGTCCTACCCTTGCTGGAGCAGTATGCCGCCAAAGACGAAAAGACCGGCCTCCCGTGTGTGACCAACGTCGGGCCCGCAGGTTCGGGCCATTTCGTAAAGATGGTCCACAACGGCATCGAGGGGGGGATGCTCTCGACCGTGGCCGAGGCCTGGGCGATCCTGACTTACGGGCTGGGATTGACGTACGAAGAGACCGCAGACATCTTTGAGGAATGGAACACCAAGGGCGAACTGCGGAAGAACTTTCTCCTCGACATTGGTATTCAGATCCTGCGTACAAAGAAGACGCCGCAGGGCGACCATCGGGGCGAAGGCGCGAGCCAACACGGCGGTTACGTGCTGGATGATGTGCTCGACAAGGTCGTACAGGACGACGATAACACCGAAGGCACGCCGTATTGGTCTGTTATGGAGAGTGCGAACTGGCACGTCGCCGGGCCGACGCTTGCAACCGCTCACTACATGCGCATTGCCAGCGGCAACCGCGCAGAGAGACTGGAGGTTGCGAAGAAGCTCAACGTCCCGGGTCCCAAATCAATCGAGGTCAAGGATCGCAAGGACTTTGTCGAGAAACTGCGACAGGCCGTCTACACCTCTTTCCTCACGTCATTCTGTCAGGGGCTGGAGTTGATCGCGCGCGCGTCAAAAGAGGAGGGGTGGAACGTGGATCTCAGCAAGTGCATCCAGATCTGGCGCGGAGGCTGCATCATCCAGTCCGAAGCCATCGCGGATCTCCTGCAGCCGGCCATGCGGGTGGACCTGACCAACCTGAAGACCGTGGACGTGGTTGCGCGGGAACTGCACCGCAACTTTGCCGCACTGAAGGAGATCGTGCTGGCGACGACGGTGGCCGACCAGTACATCCCGGCGCTGTCGGCAACATTGGAATACCTGAAGTACGTGGGGGGGATGAAGCTGCCGACCCAGTTCATGGAGGCGCAGATGGACCTCTTTGGGGCGCATGGATACTATAAACCGGGGGTTCCTGGCGAGGATCCAGGGCCGGTCAAGAAGGGGCCGCACCACTATGAGTGGCGGCCAGCCTAGATGGGTCTGTATGGAGCTGTGTAATGTTAATGATTGAATGTCACATATGAACGAGGTCGCCGTCAGCCCCGGTAGTATAATTGTGCGCCGTACGCCTTGTAAACTTGTAAAATGAGAAGATCCCAGTCGTCCTCTGGGTGGAAGGAGACGAAAGATGGAGGATGGAGAGTTGAACCGGTTGAACCGCGAGGGGAAAACAACGGCGCCAGGCAGCCACGGTCATCATGCCTGCGTGCCTGCGTGCCTGCGTGCCTGCCTGAGGACCCCACGTGGGGCCCTCCGTGCCCGCCTGAGGCCGCGGCGGAGTTCCCGATTGGGCGAACCCCGCCAGGCAGAATTACTTGCGCATCTTTCGTCTGTTCGTCTCCTCTTTTCCCATGCTTCTTCCTCTGCGTCGCTTCATCTCTTCTTCTTCTCCCTCTCCCTCTTCCTCTCTCTCCCTCCCCCTCTCCAGACCCCTCCGCAGCATCCTCTCCCCCAAACAACTCGCCCGCAAAATGACCGCCCTCCCCTCCACCTACGATGGTAAATCCCCCTCCCCCTCCCCGCCCCGCACCAACTGCGCAACTTTCCAATCTAACCATACCAACCATCCATCACAGCCCCCGTCCGCATCGCCGTCATCGGCGGCACCGGCCTGCGTGAGCTGCCCGGCTTCCACCAGGTGGCGTCCCTGAACGTGTCGACCCCCTGGGGCGCGCCCTCGTCCCCGATCACCATCCTGCACCACCAGTGCTCGCACAACAACCAGACCGTGGCCATCGCGTTCCTCAGCCGGCACGGCCAGCACCACCAGATCGCCCCGCACGAGGTGCCCGCCCGCGCCAACATCGCAGCCCTTCGCTCCATCGGCGTCCGCACCATCATCGCCTTCTCCGCCGTCGGCAGTCTGCAGGAGGAGATCAAGCCCCGCGACTTCGTCATCCCGGACCAGGTCATCGACCGCACCAAGGGCATCCGTCCCTTCACCTTCTTCGAGGGCGGCGTGGTCGCTCACGTCCCCTTCGGCGATCCGTTCGACGAGGGCGTCGCTAAGGTCGTGCGCGCCTGCGGTCACAGTCTGGAGGGTGACGGCGTGGTGCTGCACGACCGCGGTACTCTGGTCTGCATGGGTACGTCCATTTACCCCCCATCCCAACCCCAAATATGATCTACGTCACGGTTATACATCAGCAAAGGCTAACGCAAATCATAATACACGCAGAGGGCCCCCAATTCTCCACCCGCGCCGAGAGCAAGCTCTACCGCTCGTGGGGCGGCAGCGTCATCAACATGTCGTGTCTCCCCGAGGCCAAGCTGGCGCGCGAGGCCGAGATCGCCTACCAGATGATCTGCATGTCGACCGACTACGACTGCTGGCACGAGTCGACCGCCGACGTGACCGTCGAGATGGTCATGGGCAACATGAAGGCCAACGCCGTCAACGCCAAGCGCTTCGTCACCGCCGTGCTGGATGCCCTGGCCGCGGATGAGAACTCCGCTCTCGTCCAGGCCAAGCACATCGAGGGTTCCGTCAAGTTTGGCCTCAGCACTGCCCAGCCCAACTGGAGTCCCGAGGCGCGGGAGAGGATGGAGTGGTTGTTCCCGGGGTACTTCAACTAGATGCTGCTAACCTGCCGCTCTGGGGGCTGGGGGTTGGGAGTTAGCAGTTGGTGACGACTGGTAGATGGCAGGTGGCAGGTGTGCTGCTAGTCGATATTATGAGTCTATAGAGGTTAGATGACCAGACCATAGTAGATAGATCATGAACTTATGAAGTCTTTGGATGATGTCGGAGTGAGATGGTTTTTTGAATCTCCATCACGGTACCCTTTTTTTAAAGAAAAAAACTTATCAACATCGACATCGACATCTACCAACCAACCAACATTTCCCACCCTGAAACACCACCGTCATGATACAACCTATCCCTCCATCCCTCCATCCCTGAACTCTGACCCTTGATACATACACCCGGATCCTACGTATGAACAATGTGTCAGATGGGCCGTGTCTGGTGTTACTGCCTGCAGTGACTGCCTCTGCAGAAGTCTGAACGGTATTGATACAGGAAATCTATTCTGTCTCCCCATCCTGGCAGAGGCTAGTAGTCCCTGCATGGGGATGTAACTACGAAAGTACAGGGTCATCATAACCGCACCGGACGATATCAAGACAACTGGACCAGCCCCACAGGTCAACGCGATCTCATGCTCTCGTGAGTATCGGATCCAGGAGATCCACTGCCTCCTTAATGTCCGCCTCCTGTTCGACAAACCAGAGCTTGACCGAGGTATGTCCGTACCCTTCTTTTATTGTCTCAATACACTTATAAAGATCCAGTAACCTATCGCGATACGTCACGCGGTATTTGGACTTCCATTTTTCACGAAGCAACCGCGGTATCTCTCTCTCGAAAGCGTCTCTCAAATGTTTGTTGCAAGTCTTCAAGACCAACGTTTTCAACGGGGGGATAAATGTGTCCTGGCCACTGGCAAACAGCTCGAGAGCGTACTTGCAAGCCTCCAAGGTTGCTACCCAATTTGTCCTGATGGTCTTGTGTTCTATACTGAAGTTCCACTCATTCCCGGGGCCCCCCCAGTATGCCGCCCACCCTGCCACAGTTTCCTTAGTACCCGTACCTACGTCGCGGGTCATGGTGGCCCCGTGGACCTTGACAACGAGACCATCCTGATGCTCGGGGTGGAAGTCTGTATAGCAGACTGCATTGGACTTGGGACACCCTAAGTATACCCAGCCGTTTCGTGGGATTTCGATCTTCGTTTTCGTCTGTTTCCACGGCGTGGTATCGAACATCAAATTTGGCGGCCGAGAAGCGGGGCCAGGCAAAGGACCAGTCGAGGGACCAATCGAGGGACCAGCTGGGGGAACTTCCTTGGGAACAGCTGGGGGCTCAGTCGAAGAATCAACATCAGGCGAGTCGGTGATCTGTCTACCAGTCATCATCAGTATGATGACACAGTTAGCACTTTCCTCTTCCTGATCGACGGGTATTCATGCGTGTTCTTACTCCGTGGGACGCTAGCGCTATCGAGATATTCCCGCAGCGCTAACAGTATGAGTGTGATAGAATGCTCGCTGGAATGAAAGGAAAGTGGGTGGAACGATGGTGAGTTGGAAGAGAAGAGAAGAGGAATGAGTGGTTTGGTACATGGAAGACGCGGGGGGTGGTTCTTTCCGGATGGGGAAGATCCCAGAAGCAGTGGGAGGAGTCGTGTAGGAGTGGTGGTGGGAGTAGTAGGAGTGGTGGTGGTAAAATAGTAGACCCCGTTAATATGGGAAGTCTAATTCAATCACCTGACGGCAGAAGAAAGACAAACAAAAACAGGTGGTATTCCCAGCAACCCTCCCAAAGAATCTATATACAAATGAATTGCCATACCACCCATCCATCACCATCAATCATCATAATCATGAATACACTCTCCCACAACCCCCACACCCATCAACTAACCAAGTATGTACTATGTGTATATCCATCTCAAGCAACCCACCACCACACCCTCTCCAACCAATTCCTCGGCTGGCGATCGAAATCATCCTCACACAACCGATCAATCTCCTCCTTGCCCGAGAACACATCGATCTCAGACACCTTGGTCATCCACGGCGTGCGGTACCAGATCTTGTGGCCGACGTAGAGGACCACGAAGATGGCGATGCCAATGTACGCGACGAGGAAATCCGCGGCGGAGAATTCCCCGGGGAAGAAGACCGCGTAGCCGTTGGTGATGGTCAGGAGAGTGACGATCGTGATGACGTAGTAGGTGCCGTAGGGCTGGAAGACGGTTTTGAGGGGGAGTGTATCGAGGAGGTCGTGGAAGGTCATGGCTTTGCGGAAGCGCTGGGTGAGAAGGTTGGTGAGTTGTTGTGGATTATGAAAAAAAAAAAAAAAAAAAAAAGTGATGGGATGGGAGTCAGTGGGGAATTGGGGAGTGCTTACCAGGTAGGCGATACCGATGAGGATCCAGTTGATGAATCCGCCGACGGTGGTGATGTTGGTGAACCAGTAGAAGACGTTGGCGCCGGAGCTGGACAGGTTGAGGAAGGAGAGAAGCCCCACGGCCCAGGTGATGAGGACGGCGTAGTAGGGCACGCCGTTGCGGTTGCAGCGGGTGAAGACCTTGGGGGCCTGGCCGCCACAGGCCATGGAGTAGAGGGTACGGGAGCCGGCGAAGAGCCACGCGTTGCCGGAGGACCAGGCAGAGATGAGGATGGCGGCGTTGACGACGTGGTTGAGGCCGGAGATGCCGGCGTTCTGGATGGCGATGACGAACGGGCTGGCGCTGGCGGTGGACGAGCCGCTGGCGACGGCAGACAGAAGACGCGGGTCGTTGTAGGCGACAGTCACGCCGATGACGAGCGTGCCCAGGATGTAGAAGGTGAATACTCGGTAGATGAAGCGGTTGGTGGCTTTGGGGATGTTGCGGCGCGGGGCCTCGACTTCGCCGGCGGCGGTGGTGATGAGTTCGGGCGAGAAGATGAACGAGAACCCGGACTTGATGAACGCCGTCCAGAAGTCCAGGAAGCGCCCCGTGGCTCCGGCGACCAGGTAGGGGTTGAATGCCCCTGGATGCTCCCAGTAGCGGAAGCCGAGACGGTCGTGGTTGGGGCCGCCGCCGAAGAAGAGCACCACTCCCAGGATGATGAGTCCGATGATGGCGAGGATTTTGAGGGTGGCGAACCAGAACTCGGCCTCGCCGTACCAGGATACGGCGACAATGTTGAGCAGGAGGATGACTGGGGTGTAATTGTTAGTCTTGTGCTGGGTGGAGGGGAGGAGGGAATGTACCGAGGAGGATGATGGTGATCCACACGCCGACGTTGATGGAGGTCGTCCAGTATTGGATGATGATGCCGGCAGCAGTGACTTCTGTGGCTAATAGCATGGCGAAGGAGTACCTGCGGTTGTGAGTTTGGGGCGGTTGGTATATAGGGCTGGTTATCTTACCAATAGTTGTACCCTGGGGTGCTGTTAGCAAGGTGAGTATAGGAGGGCAAAGTGGGAGAACTCACCAGCAGCGAATCCAATACTCGGCTCTGTGTAGCGGCCGATGATATAGGGCACGGAGACGCCCTTGATAGGGAGGTAGGTGGTCATCTCACCCAGCACGTTCATCACAAACCAGACCACCGACGACATGGCCATGTAGCCCATAAACAGCGGCGCCGGGCCCACCGTGGACAGGGTCGATCCTGACCCCACGAACAGACCCGTTCCAATACAACCACCGATGGCAATCAGCTGCAGCTGCCGCGAGGACAACCCTCGCTGGGTTTCCATGTTGTGTTCCAGCTGGATTTCACCCTTCAGCGCCGGGGGGTCTTCATAGTCGTACACATCCGGCCTCTTCACGTCGGACTTGGCCTCCTCGAGGGCCTTCAATGACGGGGCACTCATGATGACAGCGCGCAACAAAGTTGGAGATGGAGTGCAGCAGCAGTCCAGACCACAGCGGGGGCCGGAGACGGGCCATTATAAGGAAGCTGGGGAGGCAAGGCATTCGCCATCCCGACAGCAAGCAGCTTATCGTGCCGACACGAAGGAGTGATTCAGTTACGGGGATCCCATTCCCATCAGCAGCCATCATTGGCCCAGAGGCCCCCTGGGCGTCCGTTTGTGGGGTTGATCAGCTTATCTCTGGGTTGGGATTTCATTCGATGACTTTTCCTGTTAGAAGATCGGAACGCGCAGCGCCGTCTTATCTGGCTGCCTTATGGGCGGAGACCGTCCGACGCGTCAGGCATGGCGCGATCCCTCGGCGGCTATCAGCCTGTCTGCCGATCGACTCTCGCGGCGTTCGAGGTGTCTGATGCTGCCCCGGGGTTGCTGTTGGCGTCCCTCGTGCATGAGAGGATGTAAATCCGGGGTGCTTCTCCGCAAACGCATGGATGGCCGACTTTCTCGAGAACGATGTTATCCACCGCGAGGGGCCGGTGACTAACAGAAACCCCAGGCGCGCTCCCGTTACCTAATGGTTTGATACCTCGTTGGTGGTGAGAAAATCTGGACCCATCCAGAAATGGGCTTTCACACGGCTGATTGGAGGACCTGCCGCATGGCAGTGGAGCCCGTCTTTTAAGGTGCTCACCACTAGACTGTATCCGGCTAGTCCGATCATCTAGTTGATCCCTGAGTATTCAGGCAGAGGTCTGTGTCTGCCTCGTCACAGCAAACTGGCGACCATGGCGTCACGTATCAACAGCTGCTGCCTGTTGTCGAAGCCATGTCAGAGAAATGGCATGGCGTCCAGATACCGTTATCTCCAATTTCCCAAGGCAGGATTGACCGCCCCCTGTCTCAGTCTCCTATCCCAGTCTATGTAGACAGAAGATCGCAAACCGGGCCGGTCAAGCGGCAGCCTTCCGGTGGGTGGGCCTCGACCGGCCCGTTATCGCGACTATCTCTCGAGTATCTATCGAGCTTCAGGGAAGTATAGCCTGTCAGTGTCAGCCTGTGCTTGGGATCGGTGACTGACGAGATATTTACATACTACCTTGAATTGGAGCGCAAATATCCAGCTGCTGGATATTTACCTCCCAGCCCCGACGGACACCGCATGGATCCGGATCCACTGGATGGATGCATCTCCAGATATCAACCATCATCGCGAAACCTCCACGTTAGAGTGACGTTTTTTCTACTTGACTGATCACTTATTCCGAGGCACATGCCTATCCCAAAGTTGCATAGCAGCAAGGCTTGGTGAGCATCTATTGCTCGTCTGACCAGCATGGGACGATGTATCACTGGGAACGAGCCCAGACATTGGCCCAGGATACCATCAGATAACTACCTCTCGTCTCGCATGTCAACTCTGACTATCACAATTAAAACATCTTGGCTTTCACATGGGATACTGGCCCATGCTCAATTTCCCCTGTCAGCAGAGCGTTACCGGATGCTTTGTCATGCAGTGTAGGCTGCATGTCTTCCAGGTACTGATCTAGTCCCCAAGTCAAAGGAATGTTGCTGTCAAGACATTTCCATTCGACAGTCCACTGAGCCAAAGGTTCAATGTAGCCTTCCAAGTTCGAAGTCCCAATGTTCAAATTTTGCCCAGCCCACTAACATCAGTAAATACCCATCCTGAATTTTGTCTCTCACTGACTGCAATCTTGTCATCCTGGGATATTCAACTTGTAACACTCATAGTATCAAATCCATTCATGATGCCAAGAAACTCACTGTTTCCATGGGGCTTTTTCACGAGGGGTTTCTGGTATTTCAGAGTAAGGAAACTTCTCCCGGATATGTGAAATGAAAGGAGAACTCTCAATCGAAATAGTTTGGCGTGAAAGTGGGTTCTGTACTAACAAGGAACCAGGGAGTACAGTGCAGTAGCCGGGTGAGGGGTAACCCTCCATCCCTTCCCCGCCTCCGCCACTCAACTCACTCCTCGTCCCTTGTCTCCCTCAATCCATCTCCCTCTACTGCTGACTTTCGATCGGTCTCGTTGTCATCCATCAGCAGTTCCTCCGACATAGCTCCCGTATCCGCTAGTCTCGGGGCAGTCTGCCCTTGATTGGATAAAGCGCCAGGGACAGCCTTCCCCTCCGCCATTCTTGCTTTACCCGTCCATGGCTCCCCGTCGTCTACACTTCCACGCCTGAAACCCAATCATCCATATCCACCATGCTTCTTCTCCCTGAGCCCGCAGTTGCGCGCATCCTCCGCCAGCTGACCCCGAAACAATGCCATGGCTTCCTCGACGCCATGTGCCAGTCGTTGACGGCCGCCTCGTCCCAGACCACCTCCCCCGCAGCCGACCGACTCATCCACCAGCCTCTCCGCAGCACCATCACAACCAAGGAGCAGAACCTCTCGCTGTTCATGCCCGTCTCCAACACCACCAGCACCGGAATCAAGATCGTCACCGCCTCCCAAGCAAATGGCATCATCGGAGTCATCAACATCTTCTCCCCGGAGGGTAAACTACAGGGTCTCCTCAGCGCCGCGGAAATCACGGCCTTCCGCACCGCCCTGGCCATCATGTCGCTCTTCGTGCGCTGCACCACCCTTAAGAAAGAGCACATCGTGATCTTCGGCTCCGGACGCCAGGCGGAATGGCATGCGCGACTCGCCCTCCGCCTCGTCCCGGAACAGATCAAGCGCATCACCTTCATCAACCGCGGTCGCCGGCGCCTCACAGAGCTCGAGAAAAACGTGGTTATCGATCTACGCTCCGCCCATCCTGCCGTCGCAATGACCATTCTGGCGAAAGAGGATACCCCCGACTATAAGGAACAGCTCCGCGCGGAACTGGCTTCCAGCGATGTCATTTTCAGCTGCACGCCCGCCACAGAGCCCAACTTCCCCTTCACTTACCTTCAACCTTTCAAGCCAAGGTTCCTCTCGCTGATCGGGTCGTACAAGCCGCACATGCGGGAAATTGATACCGAGACACTGCTCTCGGGCGGAGGCAAGATCTACGTAGACTCCAAGGAGGCGTGTTTGGAGGAATCCGGAGAGTTGATCCTGGCGGAGGTGAAGGAAGATCAGTTGGTGGAGATTGGGGAATTGTATGGGCAGCGTGACAAGTCACAGCCATTGGAGGTGCCGGATGGGTGTAATGTGGTGTTCAAGTGCGTGGGGATGGGGATTATGGATCTGGTGATCGGGAATCAATTGTTGGAGGTTGGTCGGGAAGAGGGAGTGGGCATGGAAGTGGAGGGGTTTTAGACTGTAAAGTTGCGGTGATATATATACTAGTAAGTATATATATATCGGGGGTTGCGCGGATCGATCAGAGCGGCGAACACGGAGGATGGATCACAATAGTAATCCAGCAGTGTCGCATTCACCTGGAGGGACTTGTCTGTCAATAGACAACAAATTGACTAACAGGTTCCGTCTGGATAGTTGCTGCCTGCGATTGGACTGTGTAGTAGGGTAGCACAGGGGGTAACGGTACGGAAGTGTATAGCGGGATGGGGGGACGGCTGATGGGTCTCGTGCCGCGGCCGATCTTATCAACCCAGGCCAGCCTCAAACTCGGGCAAAATTTCTCGACCTCCGCAACCACCGGCCTGAGACCCTCTCCCCTCCTCCCCATGGGTTCTTCCCCATAGTCCTACCATGCGCCTGCCTGTCCGTCGTCCTCCCTGATCTCCAACTGCCATGGACGAGAGCCCACCCACCCCTGCCGGTCAGAAACGACCCCGCGTTTCGGAGGAAAACCGCAAACGAGCCGTGAGAGCGTAAGCTGCTGATCTCCTCTCCCTCCCCCATCAGCGCCCTCGAGTCTCGACCAGAAGGAATTGCCATCCAAGACTGTCCCACTGACCGCTGCAGTTGCGACGGCTGTCGCCGGGTCAAGGAGAAATGCGAAGGAGGCGTGCCCTGTCGGCGTTGTCTCCGGTATCGTCGGCAATGCGTCTTCACCCACCCCGACCATGCGGAGAAGCTCGCCCGATCTTCGTCCACCCCGTAAGTCGACACACACCATGGAACACACATCTGGAGGCGGAAGAGGCTTATAACAATGACGGGCTAGACTGCTGGAACGCTCTGTCGCGCTCAGTCGACATGATATCGCCGAGTCGGAACGGGTCCGCTGCATGGAACGCATTCTGCAGCACTATGTCCCCAACATCTCGTTCGACGTCCACTCGCTCCGCAAGGTGGCCGACGAGCTACAGCACAAACATCGTCGCTCGGGCTCCGACGAAACCCCCTCCATGCAGCTGGAAGGAGATGACCTGGAGGATCTGGCGATCGATGATGAGGACTTCACCATTAAGGCTTTGCCGGATAATACCACCCGTATGCTTGTCCCCCGAGGGATCTGTCTTGGAATGCTCGCGATCGGCTAACCCGACGCTAGAATACTCCGGGGAGTTTTCGTATCTCAACTTTTCGATGAAAATCAGACAGAAGATTGACGAATGGATGAAGGACGCGGCTCCAGAGGTATGGCGGTGAGATTCGGCTGGGGGACTGGTGACTGACTCGTGCAGGCATCGACCGAAACAGAACCCTTTGAGGAGCGATGGAGGGCAACACAGTTACAGTCGGGATCGACTTTGGTCTCTACATCCGTCACTTGTCTTCCGCCCCGTTTTGTCGCCGACTTTCTGGTCCAAATATTCTTCAAATACGCGCAGACGAATAACTTCTACGTGGAAGAAGACTGGCTGCGAGATAAACTCAATACTTGCTATTCGAATCCGTCGAGCCTGTCCTCGAATGATGCCGGTTCAGTCTGCGCCATTCTGATGGTTTTGGCTGTTGGCACACAGTTTGCGCACATGGAGTCATCCATCCCCATCAACCGTCTGTCATCGAATTCGGCGTTCGACGACGACCATCACTTTTCCGAGGACGATGTTGGTTTGACCTTCTACCAGTTCGCATCAAAGCTGCTTCCGGACATTATTGCCACGGCTTCTGTCCGAAGTGTCCAAGCGTGCCTGCTGATCGGGACTTATCTATTGCCACTCGACACGTCTGGTCTCTGTTACACATACTTTGGTCTGGCACTCAAAATGGCGATTCAGAACGGCATGCACCGGAAGTATTCGGGCGAGGGACTGTCGCCCCGTATGGTAGAGATCCGGAATCGGGTGTTCTGGACTGCCTACACGATAGAAAAGTATGTCTCCTGTTTCCTTACCTCTATGCCATGCTTACACTTTCCAGGCGTGTCAGTATCCTTCACGGAAGACCAGTCTCCCTCCTAGACGCGGATGTGGATGCCCCGTTTCCTACCGATGTTCCTGGCTTGACACCGTCAGGACATTCGTCGAACGACATCAACATGGTGACACTCATCAAGTTAACCCTCAAGCTCGGAGAGGTTGCAAACGAAATGTGCGTATTCCCACCAGTATATCAGACGCTTACTAATTAATTAGATCCGTACTGCGTAAATCTCGCAGGAACCAGCAACAGGACTGTCTGGAACGGCTGCTGAATCTGCGGAAGAACCTCGTGGACTGGTGGTCTACCCTGCCCGAAGAAACCAACTGCCGCGATCTCAACCCAGCAGGGCCACTTTTCCGCTCCAACGTGCACCTGAAGCTGGACTACTGCCTGACTCGCATCTTCCTCGGACGACCGTTCCTGTTCAGCAGCATGAGGGCCATCAGTCTCACCACCTTCACGCCGGCTCCGTTCAAGACACAATCTGGTCTCTCCAAAAACCGGTCCACCTTGGTCACAGACTGCATAGACGCCGCGCTGGAGATCATCGACCTCTGCCGGCTGCTACGCGACGAGGCCGGCTTAGCCCGCGCCTCGTTCACCGAATTCAGCTCCTGCCGTGCCGCCCTTCTCGTCATCCTAGCCCAGAGCTTAACCAAGCGGACAGAGCGACTAGGCGAAGCTCTAGACAAAGGCATGGCCCTGATCAAGATCATGTCGATGGGCGTCGGCTCCGCGCGATCCGCCGTGAGCGTCATCGAGACGCTGGAACGCGCCATCCGCCGTCTTGAAGAATATAGCAAGACCCAACCCGGCGGCAGCACCGGCGCCACCGAATCCGCATACGACCGGTTCAAAAACTGGGAAATGCTCTGGAAGTCCGGCCCCATTTCACCCGGTGTCGTACCTTTCCCGGACCAGTTTCACGCCGGAGGGGGCAGCGGTCTCCCCCCCATCGCCACCCCCATGCCCGGCGCGCCCAGCGCCAACGAGCCCGTCGAACCGGACGTGACCAACGCCAGCCTCCCCGACTCGTCTGAATTCCCCGTCTCGCACCCCCTCTCTCAGATGCCGCATTTCGGGCTCGATCACTTCGTCTCCAACCTCCCGCAGGAACTGGAGGAATTCACCGCGATTCCCTGCTTCGAGGCCGATGGCCAGCCCGGTATGAAGTCCGGGGGGTCTGACACCCCGTGGATGAACTTCATGAATGATTGATTGACCTTTCTCGTCTGGCTATTCTGGTGGTTTTGTGGTTTTCAAGCGTTTGAATTTGGCATCTCTCTTTCTCTTTTTTTTTTTTTTTTTTGTCGGTGTTTCTGTCCTGTTTGTAGTACGTTGTCCTGTGCCACCGACCGCTTTGTACTCGTTTCAAGATACCTATCTAGTCCGTCCGTCGTCGTCAAGTTTACGTTAGTTCTGCTTGATGCTTGAGAATCGAAGACATGATCCCGTAATATATATTCTTGGACATCATCTGCATTATGTACAGGGCGTGGAAAACAACCCGGATATCTGTCTACTACTACTAATCTAATCAAACACGACCTTCTTACCCGCAAAGGCAGCCGTCGCCTTTGCCTTCGCCTCCTTGGCCTTCTTCGCGGCCTCCCACGACGGATGCAACGGCTTATCATCCTGCGGCTTACCCGGCGCCCCGCGCTTCGGAACATCATCGCGATGCTGAGGTCGAGGTCTGCCTCCCCATCCGCGCTGATGGCGATCCCCGCCCATCGCGCCCCTCCGCGCATCCCACCCATTATCACGCCCCCTCTTCGCATTCATCTGCTCGTTCTTGACGTGGTTCGCCCCCGCCCCGTACTTCTTCTCCCAGAGCGCGCGACGCGCCTGCTGGCCCATCCGGTTCTTGCGCTTCGGGGGCTCCGCCGCGTCGATGTCTTCGGCCTCGGACTCGGAGCCGGACCAGTATCCGCCCATTGTGAGGGAGGGGAGGAACGTTGTTCCTGTTAAGGGGGTTGAGGAGGCTTTCTTGGCCGCTTTGGGCTTTTTGGCTGGTGGAGATGTGGGGCCGGGGGAGGGGGAGGGGGAGGGGGAGAGGGAGATGGAGAGATCGCGCGCGCGCTGTCGGGGATTGGAGTCTTCTTCCGCGTCGCTGTCGGAGCCGATGTCGATGTCACGGCCGCCGTCGCCGGCCTCTGAGCCCTCGGAGTCGGATGCCAGTCGGGCGTCGAATTGCGCAAGGTCGATGTCCTCATCATCCATATCATCCATATCCACATCCCCGTCGACCTCCTCCACCCCCGCCTCATCGCCAGACCCAGCTGACGCCGTCTTCGTCGTCCGTCTCGACGACGGCCCATCCTCCTTGCCCTTCACCGTCTTATTCCCTGTTGCTGTTGCCCCCGACGCAGCTTTCACCTCCACCCCCAACAGCGACCTCAACCCCTCCATAATCCCCGGAAACACGTTCTTCACCGGCGTCGACTTGTACAGTCTAGCCGTGACATTCGCCTCAGCCGCACTCTTCGGCCCCTCCGTCGAGATCTTCGACCGCTCCTTAAACTTGATGAATACCGGCGACTCCGCGATCCGCTTCGTCTTGAGGAGCTGCTTGAACAGGTATTTTTCGGCCGTTTGGGTGGGGTCGAGGGTCTATAACGTTCCCAGACAAACAAATTAGCCATTGCGTTCCAGGAAAATCGGGGGACGGTGTTGATATTGATATTGATATGGGGGGGTGAGTGGGTACGTGTAAAGTGTACCTTCAAAACCGCAACCTCCTCCCCCAACCGACCCAGGGTCTTCCCCTTCGCCTCATCCGACTTGGCCGTCTTCTCGCGCCGGCTCATCTTCTGCCTCTCGAACCCGCGCGCCAGCTTCAGCGCCTTCGAGAGCGCGTCCACCCCGTACTGGAACTTCTGCGTCAGCCGCGTCAGCTGCATCCATGTTACGCCGTTGTCCAGGTCCGCGCGGTTTTCTTGCGCGTCGGAGAGTTTGCGTTTGGGCATTTTGATTTCTTTTCTTTTCGTATTTCCCCCTTCGTTTTGATTTGATTTTTCTTTTGGTTCGGTTGGCTCGTTTGTTTGTCTGATGGGGAATAGGAGGACTGGCTGCGTGTGCGTGGTGAGTGAGGGGAGCGGTGGGTGGGTAGGTGGGTGGGTGGGTGTATATGGCGTGCGGAGACTTTTTTTTTTGAGATGGTCGTCGGGGTTAGGAGTTTGGAGTTTGATGGCGGGTTGGTTGCCGTGCCAAGAGATTTGGAGGGCGGGTTGCCGCTTTGGGCGATTATTTTGGGGGGGCGGTCATTGGTCCGTTTGGGTTGGGTTTTATGGGGGAGGGTTTATCGATGACGAGGTCTGATTATTGGATTAGTATTGAGATAGTATGGGTTCGGTGGGTTGGGATTGGGATAGGAATATTCAGATCGAAACGAAAAATATGAATGGACTGTGTGGGATTGAATGTTGTAGATATTGGCGATAATGAGTCTACCTACGGTACGGTCTACAGATATACTATGGGACGTACTCTGATCCACGGGAAACAAAGGTTGAATCAACGTCAGAATCCAGATATAGACGTATGTACATACAGAACTAGCACGAAAGGAAAACCCAATTACTTCACCTCTATTTCTTCTCCTCCTCGGGCTCCGGCTTGGGGGTGGGCAGTTTGAACTAATTCGTCAGCAGTCATCCTGTATCGAGATATGTTCCAGAGGGAAAAAAATGACTTACCGACTCAGGAGTCTTGTCCAGACCCGCACCGACCGGCTCCCAGGAGGCGCTACCGCCCTCGAAGTTCCGGAACGCCTGCGTCAGCTCCAGCGGCTCAATGACAATGCGCTTCTTCTCCTCGTCGTACCGCAGCTCCGTGTATCCGGTGAGAGGGAAGTCCTTGCGGAGCGGGTGGCCATCGAAACCGTAGTCCGTCATGATACGGCGCAGATCGGGGTGACCGGTGAAGAACACGCCGAACATATCGTACACCTCACGCTCGTACCACAGCGCGCCCTCGAACAGACCGGTGACACTGGGCACGGGGCTGGCCTCGTCGGCGTAGGTCTTGACGCGGATGCGCGAGTTGTACCGCACGCTGAGCAGGTTGTACACGACCTCGAAGCGCTGGTCGCGCGTCGGGAAGTCCACACCCGTGATGTCCGAGATCTGGGTGTATTCGGCCGCCGTGTGGTATTTCAGGAACGTCATCGTGGGGATCAGCCCCGAGGGGGGCACGTAGACGCAGAGCTCGTCCTTCCACACTGAGAATTGCTGCACGTGCTTGGGCAGGCACGACATGATGTACTGGCCGTACTTGTGCAGACTGTCCGCCTTGTCCTGGTACTTGTCGACGGGGTTGATGACGGGGGCGCGCAGGGGTCCGGGGGCTGTGAGAAGGAGAGTTAGCAATGGAGAGGTCTAGGTCAGGTCATTCCCCAGCCATTGACATACGGGGACGCTGGGCGTGGCGCATGTTGGGGACATCGTCCGTGATGGGCGCCGTCGACGCCTTCTTAGCCTGCTGCAGAGCGGTCGAAGAGAATGCGCGGGTGGCCGAGGGCAGGGACCGGCCGGAGCCCAGCCGCATCAGGGAGCGAGCAGAGGCCATTGTGAGGGGCAATTGCGGATGGGAGGGCGACGGGGGAGGTGGAGGGAGGGGAGCAGCGGAGGTTCCATCCAAGATTCCAAGGGGCTTTTGCCCGGCACTGGCGAAGTTGCGAGCCGTCACGTGAGAGGCCCTGCAGCTGAGTCAGCGGGCGCTCGTGCATGCCTGGGGACGAACTACACATTCCTGAGGCTGCAGTTTCCCGAGCCCGCTGCCTGAGGCGGTAATGCAAAACATGCAAACCCGCGCAAAGCCCGTCAATCAAAGCTTCACTCACTCACTTCTCTTTCTCTTCGCCTTCAACTCTCCTGCGTCTGCCTCCCTCCCCTGCTGCTTCTCTCCTCCTCCTCCCTCCACCACCCCCCCCGCCCTCGATCTCCATCCGCATCGCTGCTCGGACTCATCTTCCAGTCCGCTTTCCATTCTCCCGCGCTTGATCTCCGGACACGTTCTTTTTTCCGCTTTTCTCGTGCCCTTCTGCCCTCCTGCCCCCCCTTCCGCCCCGGTCGGTTGATGGATCTCAGTATTCGACCGTAATCGTCGTCCGTTTCACTTGTACAGTTTCGACATACTCGTCGCCCATAATGTCAAATCGCCAACAGATCGACTCCGTCATCGACGATGACGATGAGTTCTGGTGCGTGTGCCCTCACGCTTCCCCGTCGGGTTGGACTGTGACATAGTGCGTTGGGCTGACAGCTTTCCGTCTTCCTTAGTCCCCTCTGCATCGAAGAATTCGACTTGTCCGACAAGAACTTCAAGCCGTGCCCCTGTGGGTACCAGGTACGCTCCCTTGCTCCCCCCATATGTCCATCGCGGACAGGCGGATCTTTCTCGCGTTCGATGCGATCTGGCCCCGTCACTAACACAACCGGCTAGATTTGCCAATTCTGCTACAACAATATCAAAACCCACAGCGAAGAGGGCCGCTGCCCCAACTGCCGACGCCCCTATGATGAGAGTACCATTCAATATAAGGTCCCCGATGCTGACGAGTACGTCGTTCCCCACTTGCCCTCTGCCGCGTTTTGCCGCTAACATCGCATCCCGCACAACAGATTCAAAGCCGACCTCGCGTTGAAGCATCGGAAGGCCGCCGCCGCGAAGAAGAAGGAAGCCGAGAAACGTGAAATCGAGGCATCGAGCCGCAAAAATCTCGCCGGTGTCCGCGTCGTCCAGAAGAACCTTGTCTACGTGATCGGCCTCAACCCCACAATACGTGACGAGAGCCAGCTCCTTCAGACTTTGCGCGGCAGGGACTATTTCGGCCAATACGGTGACATCGAGAAGATCGTCGTGAGCAAGGCGAAGCCCGGCGGCAACCCCAACCAGGGCATCGGCGTTTACGTCACCTATGCGAGAAAGGGCGATGCTGCAACGTGCATAGCCGCGGTTGATGGGTCGGCTAATGCCGATCGGGTGCTACGGTAGGTTACCTGCATGGTATGTGTGAAGTAGTATGCTGATTGCCCTAGGGCCCAATATGGCACGACGAAATACTGCTCCTCCTTCCTACGCAACGAACAGTGCCATAATCGGAACTGCACCTTCTTGCACGAAACTGGCGAGGACAGCGACAGCTACAGCCGACAGGATCTCTCTTCGATGAACACCCTCTCGAGTCAACGTGTCAACGGTACTCCCGCTCCCACGCCTGCGATCCCTGTGCACGTTGCCCGCTCCTCGGCTCAACCCTTATCGCAACCCATGCGCCGCCAGCCGAGTAGGGACGATGCTGCTGGTAGCCGGCCGCCCGACGGATCTGCCCTACCATCCTCGGCAAGTTGGGCGAACAAGGACGCTGTGCTTAGTCGGACAAGAAGGGCAAGTCTAACTGGAAGCCAAGCGTCACAGAGTCCTCGACCCGCAATCGCCACGGTCGCACCGGTTGCACCGGTTGCAGAGGAATTCAAGCGCATAGAGAGACAGCCCATCAACACGCCAGAACGCACACACGCTACGCCAGCACCCGAAGCTCGCCCCTCGCCGCCTCCCTCCCCTCCTACGGAACCCGCTCCTGCACCCGTTGCCGTCCAGACCCCGATCAAGACACCGCCCAAGCCGGAGACGCCATTGCTGGACAACCTGGTCAAGGCTGTCAATTCCCCGGACTTCAAATTCGTCTTCTCGGCGGCTGGTCTGCCTGCGGAAGAGGTTGCGCTTATCGAGAATCACCCCTCGTTCATCGACCCTTACGGTGGTGTGAAACGCCGAGCCATGCGCGAGAAGGCGGAACTGGAACGTGTGAGGCGAGAACAAGAGTTGCTGCAGTCCGCTTCGGTTGAAGAGGAGAGCCGTGAGAGCGGAAGCTTGCAACTGGGTGGTGAGCCGGATGATGTGATGCCCCCGAGAGGCCGCCCTGGCCGCGAGTCTCACGGTGCCATCCAGCCTCCGTCTCAGCAAGGCACGACGACTAACTCGGTGGTCGGGTCACCCGTGTCCGCGTCAAGTCACCAGTTCCAGCAACTCAACCTCGCCGGTCGCAGCCTAACCCCTCTGCAACAGCAGCAGTTGCTCCTCTTGAAGTCCGCCAACAACCAACAGGCCGGCCTGGTTGACCAGTTGCAGGGTGGAATAAACTCCGCTGCCCTGGATCAAGCTGCTCAGGTCCGTCAGGGTCTCCTCCAGAGCCAGATGGCCCAGTTTAATGCTTTGCAGGCGCAGAGTCGGCAGAACTCGCGGTTCTCGTTTGCCAATGAGGCCAACTCGAAAAACATCCCCAATGTCCGGATGTTGAGCCAACAGGCGTCTCTGATGCAGTCCGGTACCCCCAACCCGCTCGCGGCGCCCAGTCCTCAGCACGGACTCGCTGGCAGCTACTTCACTAGCGGCGTGCAGGGACCACCCCCGGGGCTGAAGACGGCCGGCACCCCTCCTATCAGCGGAGGTGGCATGTTTGCCCAAGGGCACGGGTTTACCACGAACGCCAATCTCGGCTTGGGCGCCAATATCGGAAAGCAAGAAGCCAACCCAGACTTGATGCGTGAGCTGCTGCGAGGCCGCAGTGGTGCTAATGCCGGTGGTTTGCAGGGTCAAGAGGCTGCTAAGCGTGAGTTCATGTTTCCTTTCCTCCAGCAACACCAAACCCCTCCTCCCCTGACTCCCGCAAACGGCCTTCTCAGCTCTTTCTATGGCACTCAAGCGGGGAACTTCTCCGAGTCTGGGCCACAGAAGCAGAAGAAGAAGGGGAAGAAGCACAGACACGCTAACACTTCCTCCGGTGGAGGCGGTGTAGTAGATCTTGCGGACCCGAGTATCCTGCAGGCGAGGATGCATCAGGTCGGTGCGAATACTGCTGCTGGGCAAGCGCTGTACGGGAGTCAGGGCCAAGGTGGGTACAATCAGGCCATGATGTATGGCAGCGGATTCAACCGCTGGTGATTGTTTCCCTTTCATAATCCATTAATTCCCTTTGCCCCCTCGCTTTCCCTTCTATCCCTGTTCTTATGATGACTACCCTTTTGCCTCTTCTTTATTTTCATCCTTTCTCCATACCTTTTTTTGTGATGACATGATATCATATTTGTCTAGATGGGCGTGGGATATGATTTCTTATGTTTCAGTTTTCCGGATTTTCCGATTCGATGTTGAAAACTTTGCGACATATTTTCCACTCTGCAACGAAGCATTAAGCAAACGGCTCTTGAAAACAACAAGAATACGGGCTAGGCGTGCCTTTGGCGTTATTTTTATGGACTTTCTATTTCATCTTTCTGTTTTTATGTCTATTCCTCGTCATGTTTTCCTTTTTTTCTTTCTTTGCCTTTTTTTTCTCTCTCTCCGGATTCCGTATGGATGGGAGGCGTCATTGCACATTCATGGGCGCATCGTGTCTTCCAAGCCCACTGCGATTTGGTGGCTGTCGTATACTTTGTTCTTTTGCATCCAAGCTGGGTTGATCTATCAGCATCTTGGTGGCCCCATTCGGTCTGGTCATGGCTTTATGTACGTTAACCTCCCTGCCCTGGCTTTCGATAAACACAAGCAGGGCTCTCTATGCGAAACCAATTTCTCACGCCTATTGTTATAGACAATATGCCCTGTGTGTCCGTCTGGTTGAATGGCCGGGACCTTTGTGTAATTAAGATGCCTGCCCTGTCGTACCTTGATCGTCTGGTTCTGTCTGTCTTTGGAGAGTCTTTGGCACGCCCTGTCCCTGGTTTTCTTCATGCGTGCTCGGGTCGTTTGCAGCTTGTTCTCCTTTTCACGTCGTTCTGACATTCCACCGGGCCGTTCCACTCATGCTTTCCGCGTGGTCACGCTGACGTGGCTCATCTAGTTGACGAAGAATTCCCCCCTCTTGGGGCTCAGCCCAAGGACAAACGTCCTGTCGACAGCTTTGGCTATCTCATTCGCTCCCATTTCCCTAGCGACTCGCAGGGCTCAGCTCGCTCCGGAACCCCGTCCCTGCCGCCAGGACTTCCTCTCCCGCACGCGCATCCAGCATCTTTGTTTCACAGTCCCCTCAACCCGTCTAGCCCAACCTCGTCTGTGTCTGTGCCCCCCGGCTTGAACCCCCCTTTCCCTGGCCTCGGAACTCCCTCACTAGGGTTCGACGAGAACCTCTCGCGTCAGCCCTCACCGGAACTGAAAGATGATGATGTGACCAGCTCAAGCCGCATCAAGAACGTCTCGGAAATATCTCTCGGGTCCCCTGTACCCAAGTCAGCCAGCAAAGCTCGTTCCCAGCAGAAAGGGGACCTAGCAGTTGCTTCTGACAAAAAGTCTGGTCGATCTAAGGCTGGAGATGTCGGCGAGAAAGCTGTAAAGACCAAGCCCATGAAGCTTGATCTCCCGCCTGGCATACCTCATCCGCAGGAAGCCTCCAGGATGGAATCATCCGGCCAGACTATTCCCGGTCAAGCCCCGATCTCTGTTATTGGATCTCGCCCCAACACGCCTATGACCGGTGTTTCGCGTGTGTCAGATTCCTCAGCACCCCGCCAACCCAGAGTTCTGCGAGTGGTGGACACACCGAAGACCGAAACTCCGCCGCCTCCCTCCGCCGCTCCTTCGGTTGCTTCCTTGCCGGCTGCCTCGAAGGCCCGTTCGAGAAGGCAGAGCATCTCTTCTTTGAGCAGACCGGACACCCCGGGCGACCTGGCATCGGAGGGTGATATGTACACCTCGGCGTCGGTTTCCCGCGCCAACTCCCCTCCACCGTCGTCCCGAATCGGCTCCGCTCCGGTCAGATCTATGACCAAGAGCCAGGCGAAGAAGGAGCGTCGGCAGAAGGCCAAGGAAGCTGAAGCCAAGAAAGATCCTGTTGCGACTGTCCCCGAGGAGCCGGTGCAAGCGCCAATTATTGGAAGGAAGCGGAAGACTAAGAAGACACCAGCGAACACTACTGAGCCATCGACCACGGGAGCCGAAAATACTTCCGAGGCTGGAAAATCGACACAGGCGGCTAGCTCTGATCAAGATAAGGTGGACCCACGCACTGAAGCGAGCAAGAAGAACAAGTCGACGCAGAAAGCCCCGAGGGACCCGAAACCCTCTCCTGTTGAGGAGAAACCGCCTGTGGAGCAGAAGCCTGCAGTAGAGGCGTGGCGCTCGAAGAATACCGTCGAGCAGCTGGTTAAGGATGCGGAATCAGGCGTCGCTTCGGTCAAGGAGCTGTTCTCGGAACGGACATCTCCCTTGCAGGTCCTGCTTGCCCAGCTTCACAGGTCTGGCAACTTGGATCTGAACAACCATCCGCTGTTCAACCCGTCCAACCTGAGCCAGCGGTTTGACATGAAGTGCAACGCTGACGACTACGATTTCTTGAAGCAGCCTATCGAATTGGCCGATGAGCATCGCAAAGCGCTACTGCGTGGCGAGGCAATCCGGGTCAATTCCGATTCTGGCCTGCTGAAAGACCGATGCCTGATCAGTCCCCGCGGCTGCGTCCTGCATCACCTGTCTCACGAGGAAGAAGACCGGTACCTGGCGCTTGAGAAGAACATCGCCTTGGCGATGGATTCTTTCCAGGAGTACTCATCTGTCCCCATCACGGAACCGGACGTGACTAACCGTGGCGGGGGCCTCGATGCGCTCTTCGCCACGCCCGAAAACTTCAATATCTGCTGGGTGGACGAGACCTCCGCCGGTCTCTCTTCTGGCTCGCCCTCCATCAGTGTCGCCGAGCTTCTGAACCCCGGGTCCTCCTCGGGCATCCCGGCCCCGCCCAACGTCCTCTCAGCCATGGAGGCCGACAGCACTCGCAGCCACAACTGGGCCATCGCCAACTCGGCAGAGCTGATGAATGCCACCCCAACCTCGGTGCGGTCCTTCGCCGCCGCCACCGCCAAGCACATGCTGGGAGCCGCCGGCGTGGTGATGGGCAACATCCCCGACCTGGACGACGTGGTCGGAATGACCGACGAAGAACTGCACACCTTTGCCGTCAAGTCCCAGAAAGACCTCGAGTCGTCGCGCAAGGAGCTGGACACCATCGACAAGAAGCTCAACGCCCTGGTCAAGCGCAACCGCAAGCTCGCGCACCAGGCTTTGGCGACTACCGTGGAAGCATGATTGATTACAGTGGTTATGGGATATGTACTGTACTTCTAAGACACGATTTTCATTTCTGTTCTCTGATTTTTCTCTTGCTTTTGCTTTGGCTTTTCGAACTCGACTGTGTACGTTAACAACATTGACGCCTTTGACACCCTGTATATGTACCCATGGGCCCCGTGATTCTACTCTACTGCATGGTGTTGATGGGGGATTGCATCCGGCCTGAGATGGACTGGAATGAGAAATGCTTTAGCTGCTTGATAATGAATGAATACATGCCGTTACTCTGATAACGCTGTCCACCCTGCCCTAATACCTGGTTTTACTGCACGGGGAGAACCCATGAAAGTACTTTGCTCCGGCAGGGATCGACCTCCCGGACCTTCAAGTGCGACATTCCTTCCTTCCTGATGAACTCCCGCTGCTTCTCCCGGTTGCAGGCAGGAGCATGATGAAAACCTGCCCCGTCATGAGGAAACTTTCCGGTACACTTCGGGAAGGTGGATGTAAGTGCTGGAGACGCTGGACCTTCCTTCCTTCCAACTCACTTCCAGAGTTATGGTGATCCCGAATCCGAGATGCTCAAACAACCTCAGGTTGCTCCATCGGATTATGAGAGCAAGAATCGTTACTAGAGATTCGTCGCAGACGACTTATCCATTTCCTGTATGCTGCGCTCACCAAAAGATTAAGTAAAGAACATTACGATGACAGTTTTGATCAGTCCGTCATCCTCCGCCAACGGCTATTCGAGTACGCCGGTACGCCCTGGGAGACAGAGATTCGATGTCGCTGCGGGCAGAGCTCATACACTCAATACGGAATTGGCTCACAATTGCTCAGATCTTCAATACAAATTCAACAGCGGGTGCTTGTTCGGTCGCTCCGGTGGAATATCCAGAGAATCTTGTCCGGGAAACCCTTGCCTTGGAAAGAAGCCAATATTACAATACTGCTAAAGAAGTGGCCTATGATATGAAAGCCAGAATGCTTGAAGCAGCCAATATTCCTGAAGATGTTGCTGCTGTCCGAGACCAGTTTCCTTTCGAAGATTTCGATGAAAGCACCTGAGCTATTGAGGATGAATGTATGTGCTTGAGACACTGGGGCCTTCCTTCTTCTAAGGCTGCTTATCCTGATGTCCCCTGTCCACACTACCGTAAGATCCGGGAATCTTAAGCATAAACCCTAATAAAAATTACTATGAATCCGTGTGTCCTCCCCCCCCCCCCCCCACCTTCCTTTTTTTCTTCCTACAGACTACTCCGTATGTCACCTCCCTGCACTTCCATACCAAGCCAGGGCAAAAGGAAAAAAACAAAAAGAACATACAAACAGGAGGGATTCGCTGGTGGTCACCCACCCAACTACTAACCTCCCGGCGTGTGGCTTAAGTACGGCTGAGCGGACGGGAAGCCCTGTTCTCCACACCCTATGGTCGTATGTGCTTGTTCTGTAGGAGGGAAGAGTGATATACAATGACATCTCTGGCGGTCGTTGTCCATTTTCTACGGATTGTATCAAATGATGAACAGCAGCACTCTGACCCATGTAGCCCGCCTCCGTCCTAGCCATGAATGTAAAAATCATACAGACTAGCCACCATCTGAATGAGCCACACTGCGCAAAATATGTGAACTCCACTCAGGACAGATTAATTATCCTATCCAAATCCTTCTCCACACGGCCCCATTCCGATTCAATAATATCACGATGTATCTTGCTTCGCACATGAAACGTCGCTCTAAATGGCGCCGGGGGAGTCGCCAGCCCTTGTTTCATCGCCGACGGATCCACCTCCATCCACCCTATTACCACCGCTACTGGCAAGCGTAATGTCATATGCCCACAGCAGCCTCGAAATGACGATCAACAAAGTGCCCTGTGCGACGTGCCTGCCAGGACAGACTCTTCCTCTCAACCCGAATGTTAAGCAAGGGAGATCGGGCCTTTCGAGCTCTATCTCCGGGTGGAAATCGAACGGGTCCTCATAGATCTCGTCGCTCAGTTGCAGGGCCCAGGTTTGCTTGCTTGAGGTGAAGGAGGAGGAGGAGGCGCGAGGTAAGGTAGAGAGAGGATTGTTAGGTAGAGAGTTGGAAAGACGAAGAGGATTAGCAGGGTGGTTGGGGACGTGGATGTTTGCCATATCATTTTGTATATCTCTGGGAGAGGGCTCAAGGAGAGGGCTCGCCAGACTCAAGAGCCGGGTTCATATGATCTGGCCTGATCTGCTCGGGATGATCTTACATATGGTCAGAGACGCGGCTATCCGGTCAGGGTTCGAGGCGAGGACGATAGTCGTATCAGTCCTTGGGGTTCTTTTCACCTCTCGCCACAACCCCGCGGGGGGGGGGGGAGGAGCAATGATCACGAAGGTCGGCGATCGGTAGAGAGATGGCCCTAACTAGGCCACGTACAGGAAGCAGACTGCAGGGCTGGTTGCTGGTTGGCTCCAACACTCTTCTCATTCACAATCGAGATGAATAATATGTTCAATGGCAATGTGGTCTGCCCCTTGCTGTTTAGAAGGCTCTAAAGCTGACTGTCCCTCTTTGCATCCGTATAGGATGGTGTGAATGTCACGCTGATTCGACATGCAGGCTGGATCTATAAAGAACGGCTCTGATCGTTGCCTCACATGGGCAGAATGTCGATCCAAGAATGGTGCCGCCTGCAGGGTCTCTGGTCGTATGCCTATTGGTTCGGATTTCTTTCTGTCTGCATCGTCAGCCTTACTTGTATACAGAGGCAGATAGATATAGATGCAGGCATCTGATCCGGCCCTCGGAATATCCAATGATGTTCTAATTTCTTTTTGAAAGCTGGGCCTGTATTCGTATCTGTGTAACATGCATTTGAAATCAGTTTGTCCGATCAAGCGCGCTTCAACTGTGCTGTCACGTACAGGAGCCAAGGACATATATAGTATGTATGATAGTTGTTCATCTCAAACTAAATTCTCTCTTCCTATCCCTTCGACAGCTGAACATCGGGTCCTCTGGACATGATTTGTGGCGGTCAGACCTGTACCATGTAGAGCAGTGGCTGATTGTAATATTCTGTTGTGTTCTGGTGAAAGTCGTTCTGCTATGTAAAATGATTATTTCGTCTTATATTATACTAATCATTATGTAGCAGGATAGTATCAATATCAACATCAATTAAGTACCTTGGTTCGGTGGAGTGTTGTCCAACTATACTTTAACTCCTATATAGTACGTACCATGTTTTATATAACCCCAAGGTTAGCAGTCGAATGGATACTGTCTATATAGCATGATCAATGAACTTAAGAATCAAGATATAAAATGCTTTACCCTCTTTAACAGGTAACCGAGTAATCCGCGAATTTAAATTTCCAGATTTTATTTCATCCCCAAATTAAAATATCACTCGTCATGGGAACAATGACATGGGAGGCCAGATTTGTTCGATACTATTGAATAAGTCGATTGGTTACTACTGCATGGATCAGCAACCTGGTGGTTACTCAGATCATCCCTCATGTTTCCTGGTTACAGTGCATACTTATGTTATGAACTCGATCACAAGGCGTTGTAGAGGAATGTGAAGTGCGAGGGATGAAGTAGAGTTCTGATATTTATTAATCTGATTCTGGCAGATACAGATATTCTCCTAAACATGATCAAATCTTCATCTCTCTCTGGTCTGTGTTAGTATACATACCTATCACACAACATGGCTCCCTCTACTGCAACAGGACAACCTATTATTATAAGGAGCGCTTGTCAGGATTCTACACCCCAAAGCTCAAACCACTGGTCCACAAGCCTTGAGCAAAAGCTCCAGAAGGACCTATGCAATGGTTCACTCCGCGGCAGAGTCCCGTCATGGCTATTACAGCCAGAGAGCAATCATGCCGCCCCATCCTGGACAGATACAGTGACGAAGCCCATTGGCAACGCCAGCCACTACATCACCTGCCCGGGACATCGCGAAGATGTGAGTTGTGCGGGCTTATGGCGACGACAGGAGCGCAACATCATGGCCATCGGACTTCATTGTGTGTTTGGTGGCTGGGTCGTTTACAACGGCAGCCAGATCTCCGATGTTTTGCCCGATCCAGCGACGGGGGAGGGCCGCTCAGTGCAGCGTCTCCGACGCATCTGGGCGCAACATGTCCTCCCGCAGACGGCTGTTCAGACGGACGCGCAGACGGTGTGGGAGGATGAGCGCGAACTGGACGGGTTCAAGGCCATGTTATCGCGGGGCTTGGGTCACAAACCCAGCCCTGCCTCTGCCTCTTCCAGCACCCAGGACGCCAGGCAGCAGAACCAGACCGTCCGGGGAAGAGGCAGCGGCGGCTGGGCAGGGGTCAGCGAGGATGGGAAGGTTGTGCTGAAGAGAGACCCAGGGAAGCAGGTTCTCTGCGGGGGCCAGGCGCGCTGTGATGTCGAGCTGGGGGGGATTTTCCAACCGCAAGACATCGAGATCTGGACGGCATGGCATGGGCTCTCCACGCTGGCGACCCGCGATGGCAGATGGCGACCGGGCTATCATGTGGAGGAGCTGATGGGGATCTGGCTCTTTGTGGTGGACTATGCCCTAACCCGGGAGAAGTGGCGCAGCATGGACGAGACTTGGATGCAGGCGGTGCATTGGTCCCTCCTGCGCACTCCGCCAGATATCCCTGCGGGCTTCATCCAGGGAGTCCAGGAGGACTTCGCGGAGATGTTGCCGCAGGAGCTGAGACGGGCGTGCTCCCTCTCCTCTGATCATGAGGATGAATATACGCCGCAGGACGCCAGTTCGGTGGAAAAGCGACATCGGCTCCTGATGGACCGGGCGGGAAACACGCTCATGAACCAATCGATCGGGGAGCCACTGAGCTCCCCTCGTGGCTCGATCGGGATGTATGCGTATACGATCCCCAATGATATCGTCGATTTCGAGCGAGATGTCCTCTGCGGCGAGACCAACAACACCCTGCGCAGCCTAACCAGTGCACAGCAGGTGGTGGATGGCGCGGGGTTCTGTATCGAGGCCATGCTGTGGGCCCTGGATCGCCGGGACTATGATCTGGTGGTGCTTACGTTCAGTTCGGCCGCCTACTATGCCGTCTGCTGGAGATATAACTTGGTCAAGATCGCCGCTCGCTACCCGGCGGTCAGTATCCGGGATCGAGAGCTGACTGTGCCACCGGAATATGAGGACCTGTTTGATCTCATGCGTTCACGGGACGGGGGTGGCGCTTCGAACCCCCGCGTCTATGGGGAGCTGTATGATAGGGCTCAGCGGCAGCTGGAGGAGATGTTCGGCCGCTGTACTTGCAATGGGTATGTTCCCGGTCATGAAGCATGGAATCTCCTGTCGCAAGCTTTCGACCAGGGTGGGAATGATGAACTGGAGCAGAAGGTCCTCATGGGACTCGTGGAGCTGAATAACGCGGCCGATGCAGGGGATATCCGCAGTGAATGTGGTCTCGATTTGCTGTGTTACGAGGCGTTTGTGCGGTTTTTCCATCCTGATATTGGGATTGTGGCTCGGATGCACTACAAGACGACGATGGACGGGGCCCGTAGTATTATAGAATGAAGGGTTATTGTAGTCCGGATGATTGGGATATGTTGCTCATTTGATAGGTTCCATGAAAGGAGACGATTCTGCTTATGTCTATATTTCATCACATCCATTAAGTTGTTGGCAAGAATTACCTCATACAAAGGTCACATGTGATTGCTGAAGGTGAAATAAATGTCTCCCTCTTCTACTACCTCTTTCTCCTTTCCCTCAACTGGAGCATCCGCTTCAGGCGGATGAACTAATCCATTGCGGTGATTCATCAAAGACATACACGCAAGTCATGATTTTCTATCAGATTCAGAATCTATGCTCCAAAGAATGTCTTGAGGATCTTGGTCTGGTCCAGTAGCTTTCTTTACCTTGAAGCTTGGTCGTTCGGGGAAGTAGTACTTCATCAGCTAGTGGATAAGAGCCGTCCGTACCCATTTGGATCGAATGACTTCCAAGTCATCACTGTGGATATTATTCGCGGTCTATGCAATGCTTTTCCAGCTCTTCTTGGCTGGGAGTCTCGCCAAAGCTCTGTCCTTGAGCATAGAGGAATACTTCCATGGTGGCAGGGGTGGCCGTTTAGGGCGTCACTCGCCATGTGACTTTCGGCGGGCATCCACTGCCACCATTTCTCTCCTCTTTCTTCCCATCTTTCTATCCTATTGCCCCATATCATCGTCTATCCACTTCGCACAGACCATAATATGCCAATCTCTGCAGCACCCTCGTCCCTCCAGAGGTTACCCCTCTCCTACCCCTCCTCAACCCCGGAGTTCCATCTCCGTGCTGCAGATCGGCAACTGGCCGGCCTGTCCGACGACAGGATGTTGAATTTAGCCGATTCATCACGATCCCTGCAGCTGGGCTTCCCCGCATGTGGTGAGTCCGACGTCACCTCCTTCATTGCCTGATTTCCGCTGAATGACCATCATAAGAATGATCGGCTCCGTCCCCTCATAAACGGCCAGCATACCGCCGCCCCCTTCCCCTTTCTGGCATTCCGCCCCCTCCCTCTCAGCCTTTAATTATTGAGTCCGATCCCCGTCGGTTTCACATCCTTCGGGTCAGGTCCGACTCCTTGTCGACCCGGCAGTGTTAAAAGCGTCGATGGTACCTCGTTGAGGTCGAGTGTTCGGAATTGTTGACCGAGAGCTCGACTCTCTTCGGTTTTGCGCCATGTTATTTCGAGCCGGGACAGTATCAACGCTGCTGGCTTCGACTCTACCCGTCGCTTTGGGACAGTATGTCCGGGACCTAAGCAGTGAAGATTGGACTCTTAGCGGTCGGGCCTTGAACCAGACCGTGCCTGCGCAATTCCCGTCCCAGGTCCATCTGGATCTATGGAATGCCGGTATCATCGGTGAGTACCACGCGGACCACATCACATCTGTAGAGGGCACCAGGCTAACAGCAATATTAGATGATCCGTGAGTGAATATCTTTGATGGAAGGACTCCCCGCTGAACAAACCTCCCAGATACCTTGGCCTAAATGATTTCAATCTTCGCTGGATCGCGGATGCCAACTGGACCTACACCAGCGACCCCATCGAGGGCCTGTGAGTGATCATTCTCCATCGAGAGGTCTGCCGTAAATTCTCATGGTAATAAATAGACTTGATGACTACGACTCTACTTGGCTGGTATTCGATGGCCTCGATACTTTCGCAACCATATCCTTCTGCGGGCAGCAGATTGCGTCCACAGACAACCAATTCCGCCAGTATGCGTTCGACGTGTCCGAAGCGCTCGGGGCCTGTGAGGCAGACCCCGTTGTGAGCATCGACTTTGGGAGCGCGCCAAACATTGTCGATGCAATTGCCGACGATCCGAACTCACAGAGTAGGTTTCCGTTCTCTTCATTCCACGACTTCAGGCTGCTTACTGTCTCCAGCATGGCCATCCGGCGTTCAGATCACCTACGAATACCCAAATCGCTGGTTCATGCGCAAGGAACAGTCTGATTTCGGATGGGATTGGGGCCCCGCGTTCGCCCCCGCAGGTCCCTGGAAGCCTGCATATCTTGTTCAACTGGAGAAGACTGAAGGTATCTATGTGTTGAACACCGACCTGGATATCTACCGACGAGGGCAGATCAATTATCTCCCGCCCGACCAGAGTCAACCCTGGGTGGTCAACGCCAGCATCGACTTCCTGGGTTCTCTACCAAGCAATCCATCGATATCCATCGACGTGACAGACGTTGACTCCGGCGCGCTTCTCACATCTCGGATCTTAGAAAACATCACCACCTCCGACAGCTCCATCACGGGCATCACCATCCTAGACGATCTAACCCCCAAGCTGTGGTGGCCCCAAGGCCTCGGCGATCAGAACCTCTACAACGTCACCATCACAGTCGAGGACAACCAAAAGCAGCCCATCGCCCACGTTTCCAAACGCACCGGCTTCCGCACCATCTTCCTCAACCAGCGCAACATCACCGAAGCCCAACGCGCACAGGGAATCGCCCCCGGCGCGAACTGGCACTTCGAAGTCAACGGCCACGAGTTCTACGCCAAAGGCTCCAACCTCATCCCCCCCGACTGCTTCTGGCCGCGAGTCACCGAGGACAAAATGACGCGACTCTTCGACGCCGTCGTGGCCGGCAACCAGAACATGCTCCGAGTGTGGTCCTCCGGCGCCTACCTCCACGACTTTATCTACGACCTGGCCGACGAAAGGGGCATCCTCCTGTGGAGCGAATTCCAATTCAGCGACGCCCTCTACCCATCCTCCTCCTCCAGCTTCCTCGAAAACGTCGCCGCCGAAATCACGTACAACGTCCGCCGCGTCAACCACCACCCCTCCCTGGCCCTGTGGGCCGGCAGCAACGAAATCGAAGTCCTCATGCTCCTCCTCGTCCAGGAAGCCGACCCAGCATCCTACCCCTACTACGTCGGCGAGTACGAAAGCATGTTTATCACCCTCTTCCTGCCCCTGGTGTACGAGAACACCCGTTCCATCTCCTACACGCCCAGCAGCACCACAAACGGCTATCTCTCCATCAACCTCTCGGCCCCGATCCCCATGGCCGAACGCTACGACAACACCACCCCCGGCTCCTACTACGGCGACACAGACCACTACAACTACGACACGAGCGTCGCCTTCGACTACGGCTCCTACCCCGTGGGCCGCTTCGCCAACGAATTCGGCTTCCACAGCATGCCCAGCCTCCAGACATGGCAAACCGCCCTGACGGACCCGCAGGACTTCGCCTTCAACAGCTCCGTCGTCATGGCGCGAAACCACCACGACCCCGTCGGCGGCCTCTCCACCACCAACACCACCAACTCCGCCATCGGCATGGCCCAGATGACCATGGGCGTGCTCTCCTACTACCCCGTCCCCAACATCCCCGCCGACCCCACGGCCAACTTCAGCGCCTGGTGCCACGCCACCCAGCTCTTCCAGGCAGACATGTACAAAGCCCAAATCCAATTCTACCGTCGCGGCAGCGGAATGCCCGAGCGCCAGCTCGGCTCCCTCTACTGGCAGCTCGAGGACATCTGGCAGGCGCCGTCGTGGGCGGGATTAGAATACGGCGGACGATGGAAGGTGCTGCACCACGTCGCGAGGGATATCTATCAGCCCGTCATTGTATCCCCGTTTTGGAATTACACGACCGGCTCGCTGGAGGTGTATGTCACGTCGGATCTCTGGGATGGTGTTTCCGGGAGTGTGAATATGACGTGGTTCGATTTGCAGGGCAACGCGATCCCGGATAATGCGGGGACGCCGCGCCAGATGCCCTTTTCGGTGGGTGGGTTGAACACGACGCGGGTGTATGGGACCGATGGGGCGAGTTTGAACCTCCCAGACCAGAACGATGCGGTGCTGGTGCTGGAGATGGAGGGGATGGGGAAGCGTCCGAATAGTGATCAGGCGACAGCGAGCGAGAGCAGGTTCACGCATAGCAATTATGTGACCCTGGCGTGGCCGAAGGATCTGAGGCTTGTTGATCCGGGGCTGGAGGTCCGGTATCAGCGGGATAGGGGGACGTTTGTGGTGCGGGCCACGACCGGCGTGTCGCTGTATACCTGGTTGGATTATCCCAAGGGCGTGGTGGGGTATTTTGAGGATAATGCCTTTGTGTTGGTTCCGGGGGAGGAGAAGGAGGTAGGGTTTGTGGTTCAGGACGATCCGCCGGATGAGGGGGAGTGGGTTAGGGGTGTCAACGTGCGGAGTCTTTGGGATCAGAAGGGGACAGTCATTCACAGTTAACTAACAGAAATAGTATATCTGACCATTTGCTAGTATACTATTAAGGTTATCATCATTATCCCCTTTCAATCATCTCATTCAATGAATGGCCGTCGATCATCTCCAGAGTCCAGGGGGCTCCTTTCCTTCAGGGGTCCCGGTCGATCCACCCACCAACCAACCGCCAAGGGTCGAACGTGTCTGCATGCATCTATCCCCATGCATCTATCCCCATGCATCTATCCCCATGCATTTATCGATGCGGTAAAGCCACTCCTCCGCCACTCCCTCCCTCCCAGCCGATCACAATCAAGGGGAGTCAATCAACACTCGACCCTTGCATGGGGGCCAGAGCAGAAAAAAAAAAAAAAAAAGGATGTGTAAGATCCGTACTATCCCCAGCATGCAGGATCGGCCGACCAACCGACCGCAACCTTGAGTTTTTTAAAAAGTACCGACGGGGGTGGGAATAGGAGAGTTTCCTCTCTCTCTCTATCTCTGTCTGTCTATCCCTGCTCTCTTTTTCTCACACACTCTCTCTCGTCTGTTGCTCTTGACATATGCAGTTACGTGGTAGTGCTAATCATTGACTTGGCTACTGACTACGACTGACTACTGTTCCTGTTCCTGTTACCTCTTCATCGATGCCCTTACTACCCCTTTCCTACCCCTTATCCCATGCCATCCATGCCATCCATGCCACCCAGATCCAGATCCACGGGTTACACAACCCTGTGGAAGCGGCTCTCACCGCGCCAGCTGAATCTGGTGATTACGGTGTTCTCGCTGATCGCGATATTCTTCGAGGGCTATGACCAGGGGGTGATGGGGGGCGTGAATGCCGCGCCGCGGTACGTGACGGAGGTGGGCATCGGGGAGGCGGACGGACACGTCACCGACACGACGCATCAGGGCGGGATCGTGAGTATCTACTACCTGGGGTGTATCTTCGGGTGCTTCACGGGGGGGTGGTTGGCGGATCGCATCGGACGGATCAATGGGCTGTTTGTGGGGTCGGTGTTTGCCCTGGTTGGGGGCGCGTTGCAGGCCGCGGCCCAGAGCTCGAATTTCATGCTCGTCGCCAGGATAGTCACCGGTATTGGGACTGGGGGTATGTATGTTTTGCTTTCATTCTTGGATGGTTGGTGCGGATTTGTGTAGGGTGGTAGGGTGGTTGTACTTATGTTACTACTATATGTACTCGGGAACTGACGATGATGGCGTTTGTTTAGCGTTGACGGGCATTACGCCCGTCTTGGTGTCGGAGATCTCGTTGGCGGATCGCCGCGGTGGCTCGCTGGGTTATACCTTCATTGCTAATTGTATGTCCGCGCCGGGTTGTGTGCCCCTGGCCTCTGGCCACGGTTTATTAGGTGTGTGTGTATAGAGTGGGCTGACGGTTTCGTAGATCTGGGCATCTCGCTGGCCTACTGGCTGTCGTTCGGGCTGGCGTTTATCAAGAACGGCTACTCCGACCTGCGATGGCGCTTTCTGCTGGCCTTTCAGTGCATCCCCGCCATCTTTCTGATCCTCTTCATCAAGACCTTGCCGGATAGTCCACGTTATCTGGCTTCGGTCGGACGTCATGATGAGGCCCGCGAGCTGCTTCAGCGTATCAGAGGTGACACGACTACCGCGAGAGAGTTCGATCGAGAGTATCTGGAGATTACCACCGCCGTGCAGGATAGTAAGCCGAGCTCTCCACTTGATTTCCTGAGGATCTTGGTTGGGAGGGGTGGGAAACCGGGTACCAGTCTGGGTCGACGTGCCTGGCTCTGTGTCTTTCTTCAGATCATGGCGTCTTGGACCGGCATCACGGTGGGTGTTCTACTTATATCCTCTGTTGTGTGTATTTGCTGATAGTCCTTCCAGGCAATCACGGCGTATTCGCCGGGTCTCCTTCGCCAAGCTGGATATAGTGAGATCGAACGGAATGGCCTGGCTGGCGGCCTGAACACCATCGGGATCGTAGGTACCATCATCAGTGCCCACATCATCGACCGTCTCGGACGGCGCACGTGTCTGATGGTAGGCTCTGCGGTTCTGTTCAGCGTCGAGATTGTTGTAAGTGAACTAGTTTGGTTGACGTCTCGGGGCTCTGCTGATGATGATACTCCAGGCTGGCGCTATCTATGAAGCTTCGCGTCATCAGCCGGACAAGGCAACCCAGTACGCCCCTGTTGCTGTCTCGATGCTGTTCCTCTTCAACCTAGCGTAAGCATCACTCGCAGGCGTTTCTGGAAGCTCTATTACTCACCCTGATACAGGTATGCATCAACCTGGGGCACCATCGCCTTCCTCATCCCGACGGAGATCTTCCCCTCGGATCTGCGAGCCCAAGGCAACGGATTCGGTATCACCGGATGGGCCATCGGTGTCGGCATGACCACCCTCGTCAACCCTATCATGTTCGAGCACCTCAAAAGTCGCAGCTATTTCCTTCTCGCGGGCCTCAATCTGCTGTGGATTCCCGTGGTGTACCTCTTCTATCCCGAGACGTGCAATCGATCGCTGGAGTCGATCGAGGCGTTGTTTTCGACGTCCAGTCCGTTCTATTGGGGAATGGAGGAAGCGTACCGCTTGCATGGGGATGTGCTTGCCGGTCAAGACCTTGGGGACTCGGTTAAGGATGAGTGTAAGGTGGAGGAGCCGGTTCTTCCACGGCTCGGTTTGCCAGAGCTTGTTTGACGTTCTGCCGATCTTTCAAGTACCATAAGCCCCTCGAATCTGCTGTACCACGTATAGTATATTAGCTGTATTATCATGGAGGCGGCTCACCCGCAGGCTTCGCTCACTGACGCGCCCACTTACGCATTTAAATTATTTAAAAACACCTTGGAGTGAAGTACTCTGTAGTGTCTCTGCCGCCCTTAATAACTTAAAAAGCTACTTACTATACACAGGGTACGATCGGACATCAAAGAGCCATCAACGTGCACATGGACCGACCCGATTCGCGTTCCACCTGGCTGTGGCAAGGCCTACTGTTATGACCATCTCATTGTCACTCCTGTCCTTGGAGGAATAATGTGCCACTCGCACCCCTAGTGGGCTCGGGTTAGCTGATTCCTTTGCAGGCCTGGGACATGGTCTGTGCTCGAGCTCTTTTCAATGGCCGAAACAGCGATGGCATTTTCGACGATCGGGCTCATCTTGCGGCCATGGTTGCGATTCTGGGTCCTCCTCCAATCGAATTCATCCGGCGCAGCCGGGTAGGTTCTGTATTTTGGGATAATAATGGTATGCTAAATCTCCAACTAAACAAGCCATAGGAGCCATGGGTTAATAGACACACCAGGGAGCTGGAAGAACCTTGCGCCAGTGCCTAGCATGACCCTCGAGGACAGAGCGGCCGATATTCAGGGTCTGGATAAGGAAGGGCTTTTGCGGTTCCTGCGAAGGGCGCTGGAGTGGGCTCCGGAGAACAGGCCAACCGCCAGAGAGCTTCTGTTTGATGAGTGGCTGATGAAAGGGTTGAAACTTCGTAGTCATGAGGGGTCAACTTCATGATGCTCAGATTCGTAACTTGTATGAAGACATTATGAATGGGGGTTCTTTCGTTCATGCTTCTTTAAAGTATCTTTTAGTTCTCGAAGAGATATTCCGTTCGCTCACAGTCATGGTCAATGATAATACTTCCGATCTGCCACAGTGGACGTTCAATCCGTACGTGTCTTGCGAATGGAAGCAACGGGGAAAGCCGTGGAGCCGGCGGAAGTCGGGGAAAACAGTCGGTTGGTGCCTGTGCCTGCCTCGTTGCCTGAGGCCGGCGACGCGATTGGATTCCGCCCGGCACGGATTCTCGACTTCTTTCTGCCGATCACGATCAATCCATTCCTCTCCCACCCCCCCAGTCCAGCCATCATGTCATCTCGAACCGTCTGGAGAAGCTTCCAAACCCAAGCCAGGAGGCGATTGGTCGTTCCGGAGACCCCCTACCGCTGCTTCTCCTGCACCCGACGCGCCCAGGACTCGCCCAAGTCGAACGATCAGAATCGCATGACCCATTTCGGCTTCCAGAATGTCCCCGAATCCCAGAAGGAGTCGCTGGGTATGTTACTACGCTTTCTAGGTCCGCTATTGATCTGGCAGAACAGCCTGAACTGACACTGCTGTGCCGATTGCTAGTGGGTGCCGTTTTCAGCTCGGTTGCTTCGTCCTACGATGTGATGAACGACATGATGTCGCTGGGCATCCACCGCCTGTGGAAGGATCACTTCGTCCGTTCCCTGAACCCCGGGTCCGCGCTGCCCTCTCGCGAACACGACACGGCCGGCCGCGGTTGGAACATTCTGGATATTGCCGGCGGGACGGGCGATATCGCGTTTCGCATGCTGGACCACGCGACCAACATCAACCACGACAACCAGACCCGCGTAACGATCGCCGATATCAACCCGGAGATGCTGGCGGAGGGTCAGAAGCGGAGCGTGCAGACCCCATACTACAACACAGACCGGTTGTCGTTCATGCAGGGCAACGCGCAGCACATGCCCTCGATTCCGGACAACTCGGTGGATCTCTACACGGTGGTGTTCGGCATCCGCAACTTCACGGATAAGCAGGCGGCGCTGAACGAGGCCTTCCGGGTGCTGAAGCCCGGGGGTGTGTTCGCGTGCATGGAGTTCAGCAAGGTCAACAACCCGCTGCTGAACACGGCCTACAAGCAGTGGAGCTTCAGTGCCATCCCGATGATTGGCCAGCTGGTGGCGGGTGACCGCGACAGCTACCAGTACCTGGTGGAGAGTATCGAGAAGTTCCCCAGCCAAGAGGAGTTCCGCGGCATGATCCAGAAGGCTGGGTTCATGATTCCGGGGCGCGGGTACGAGGATCTGACGGGAGGAATCGCCGCCATCCACAAGGGCATCAAGCCTCTCTCCTCGGCTTAGACGGGGGGGGGAATGGGGAGGAATTGTTCTAGAAGATCATGTACACTAGCCAATACCATATTGACATTCGACACTGTAATATTATTTGGGCCTGTTATTGTCAGGGTATCCGAACGAATGCCGGGGGGGGGGGGGGGGGAGAGCGGCCGATGGGGCGGCGGGAAGGCATCTGCATTTGTGGAGGGGGGAGGAATGGGGATGGATCTGCAAGACATCAGTATCAGCCCGGATGGTGTGATGGCGGACATGTTCCGGCCAAGACCAGCTGCCTGGCACTGTGTATCTAGTAGTCTAGGGGAATAACATTTATAATCACACCCCTTTTGTCCCATGCGAAACGCGAAACGCACTGCCATCCGATCCGAGGCTTTTTCTTTATCTCCGATGGGGGCAGATTGATCACCTCCAATCAGAAGGGCACACCCTCCCTTCTGTATCAATATTAATCTGCCCGCCCGGATCCATCCATCCATCCATCCATCCATTCCTTCTGCTGCCTCCCCCTCCTCCACTTACTACTTTCCTTTGTGTGCATCTCTATCTACCCTCCATCCCCTCCATCCCCTCCCTACCCACCATCCGGCCTTCCCCTCAATCCTTCGCGTCGCCAGGCTCTCGTCCGGGATTTCTTTTCCCAGGCCGCATCCTGGGAGACGGCGTCGCTTCACTCTTTCCCTCCCAAGAATGCTTCCGTGACCATGGGCCATCTCAAGCAGCAATTGCCGATTCCGCTGTCGCCCGCAATGCCCCTCCCGCGCCCGAATCCCTCCCTCGACGATGACTTCTGCCTTCCCATGACCCCTCCGGAGCCTGCCGATGCCCCGCTGTCCGGGACTAAGGACACGGCGCCTGTTGCTACGGCCCTTCAGGTCATCGCAACGGAGCGTGCGGCCCTGGCGCACCTGGAGCACATCTATCAGACCGATCCGCTGGCGCAGGAGTACCTGGCGCGCGCCGTGAGTCAGATCGTGCGCACCATCAAGCATGGCGGGAAACTCGTCTGCTGCGGTGTCGGGAAGAGTGGCAAGATCGCCCAAAAGCTGGAGGCCACCATGAACAGTCTGGGAATATACAGTGCCTTCCTGCATCCGACTGAGGCCCTGCATGGCGATCTGGGCATGATACGACCGGTAAGCCGTGGCCAATGGCATGGTGTGGATAGGATCAAACTGAACCCATGTGCTGACTGGAGATGACTGTCTTAGCACGATACCCTCCTCTTGATATCCTTCTCGGGTCGCACCCCGGAGCTTCTGCTCATGCTCCCTCACATACCTTCCACGGTTCCAGTCATCGCCATCACCTCCCACATGCGCCCCTCCACCTGTCCGCTTCTCTCCTTCCAGCCCTCCAGCATGGGAATCCTCCTGCCCGCACCGATCCACGAGGACGAGGAGTCCTCAATTGGAGTATGTGCCCCGACGTCGTCCACCACCGTCGCCCTGTCGCTAGGAGATGCACTGGCCATCGCTACGGCGCGACGTCTGCATACCTCTCCCGGACGAGGCCCGGCGGAGATCTTCAAAAGCCACCACCCCGGAGGAGCCATCGGCGCCGCGTCCATCGCCCTGACACCGATAAGCATGTCCTCCGCCTCCAGTTCCTCTGCCCCATCCGACTACCTTCCCACCCAACCATCGGAATCCTCATTCCCCCAATCGGACACCAAAACCGACCAGCGTCCTTTGGTCCGCGACATGCTTATTCCTCTGGACCAGATCCCCAAAGTCACGGCCTCAGGAAAGGTCCGTCTCCTGGACATCCTCCTCACCGCGATCCAGCACCCCAACGCAAAGTCCTGGGTCTATCTCTCCCCGTCGGAGATCGTCCCTCCCCGCCACCTCCGCTTCGTCTCCCAGAGCAACTACGTAGACATGCCTGTTTCCGCGTTCGTCGATCTCGGCCTTCCCTTCGGCGTCGCCCGCAAGGACTGGCTCGAGATCCCCAGCTCCAGCACCATCGAAGACGCGCGTCGCCTCGTCTCAGACGCCTCTGCTTCCGCCGGATCCCCCGTCACCGTGATTGCCGTCATGCAGGAGGACGAGTGTCTGGGCGTGATCGAAGCCGAGGATCTGTGGAATGACTGCGATGACTAGACGCAAGACAAGACAACACAGCACAACACAACACAGATCATGTTGCCTCTTCCTGTGTCTATAATTTCTCTGTTTTTCTCTTTCCTATTGGGCTTGTCTTTTACTTCACCCCACGAACATACCGAGTCGGATCCATCCCTCCGATCACTTTGATGATGTACATGAACTTACGCTTTGAATATTCTCTCTTCTTCTTCTTCTTCTTCTTCTTCTTCTTGTTTTTTACTTTTTATCTCCTATAGATAGTTTTGCTTCAGAACTGGTTTGCACTGCACTGCACTGCACTAGACATACATCCCCCGCGGGAGAAGGCTGCGTGCGCTCACATAACATTTCCGGCTTGTTTCTTATTATTCTGCTTTCTTTTCACATTTGGCTTGACTTTACATACTATACACACTTTAGCACACTTTACTACTTTATCTTTGGGATTTGGGTGCTTTACTTTACCTTGGGGGTTTGGGTGGCAGACGTCACGTTACACACATGCACACATACACACATACACATACACATAAGTACACATACACATACACATACACATAAGTACACATACACATACACATAAGTACACATACACATACAGGATAGTGTGAGAGTTGGAAAAATATCTAGATACTCTAATCTAACCTCTCACGAGAAGAAAAGGCATTCGTCCCATTTGAACGGATAAATAATTCTTACTACCATGGCTATACTCCGTGCAGCATCTTACATCTCGACATACTACTCGTAATCTCAAATTCATAAAATGTGGTGATATTAATCATCGCGGAAGATCTCAAAGGCATATATACCATATAGAATCCGGCCAAAAAAATAAGAAAAAAAAGGAAAAAGTAGATAATTAATCTATGGTATCTTCAACGCATTATTCGTAACACAGAGCAAAACGCCTGCACTGAACCAGGACAAACAAACACACATACACACATGATATCGCAAGTATAAACCAAGGGTGGGGGTCTGTCTTCTCAGAGTAGCAGTCCGGGGCAATCAGGGAAACCAAACCGGGGGAAGGACGAAGGGAAGGAAGTTAAGTCCCGTACACCGTGTCGGGGGGGTCATTCCTCTGCGCCAGGCCGGGTTTGATGGGGCCTGGGGGCACGGAGGTATATAATCCATCGCTTGAGCACACCTTGATGAAGGCTGACAGGGGGTATATGTGGTGGGGGAAGAAGGGGGGGGGGAGAGATGTACAGCGGGTAGAATTATACTGGCACCAGGCCGAGACGACCCGCCAGTTGGTCTGAGTCATTCATCTCTCCCCCCCAGTCGTGTGAAGAGATGCATTGGCTGGGGTAGCTTGGTTCACCTACAGCCCCTTTAAATTCTCTCTCTCGCTTGTGTTCCGCTCTTCCCGGTGGTGCAACGCGGGACGACTCTTTGTTTGTGAGGGGGGAGAGGGGGTGGATGAGTAGAGCGGGGGTTGAGTCACCGAGCGGTGTTCAACCCGACTCTTGTCGGCCCTTGCCCTTGTCGCTTGTTGCGGAATCGTCTTTGTAGAGATTGTGCTGTTCGATGTAGTGGATGACAGGCACGGGTATCAGGTATCGGACGCTCATGTCACGTCTCAGGAATAGACGGATTTTGGTGCTGCTGACGTCATTTTGGATGAGTTGCTGGATGACATGGATCTTTTTCTTCCATGTTTGCAGAGCAGCGAGGGCTTCGTCGATATCGGTTCCGCTGCGTTCCACGATGAAGGTCTGGGGGATGTTGTTAGTAAAGTGAGGATATTAGATGGTGGTGTAGATGGATTGGGCAGTGAGCAACATACGCCGTATTTTCCAAGAATGTGGTCCAGATCCTTTTCACTCCAGACTCCAGGGGTGGACATGGTATGGACCAGATCGGCACCCGCCAGCAGGGCAATCTGGATGGGCTTGCGAGTGCCATTGCCGGCCTCGATGCCCTGGCGTACCGTGTTGATCTCGTGGTCGAAATGGTCCAGCACGACGGCGGTCGGTTGGTATTCTTTCTGAATGGGTTCCCACGTATCCACCATCAGCCAGTCGGAGGTCTGGTCCACGGCGAGCTGGCACATCGCGACACTGTCGGGGCCATTGCGGTTAGCTAGCTGGTGGGTGGGGAGGGGTAGACGGCGGGAGGCTTTACCGGTGCTCAGCGCTAGCCAGACCGGCTTTACGATAGGCATCCGACACCGGCGACAGGTACCCCCCAACGAGTTCGAAGTCCGTGCTGAATTTGACGTAATCGGCGGCCATCTCGAACATGCGCAGGTGGAGGTAGGTGATAGGCGAGAAAGAGCCACAGGCCACGAGCAGGAGGGGGGTCTTTTCGGGGTCGCTCATGGTGCGCTTCAGGCGGAGCTCGGGAAAGGTGTAGTCGTCCATCACGGCGGGAGACAAATGGGAGGGCCGCCGGTGGACGTCGTCGCTGATTGTGTCAGTCATAGTGGCGGTTGGCAGGCAAGACGGGGTGCCCCAGGAACGGGTGAGAGGAACACTGGGGGGGGGGGGGGGGGGAGCCAAGTCTGGCCGGGGACGATTTGAGAGTATGGGAATGGGACGATGAGATGATAGATGGGCGGATGAAAGACGGGATCGAGAGGGGAGATGAGATGGGATGGAGAGGAGATGAGATTTGAGTTCGCCGGCAAAAGGATATGGATGCGGGCGCAGCGGCGAGCGTTAGTCAGCGTGGGGGAGCGAGGCAGGCGGGCGGGGAACCACAAAAAAAGGACCGAAAGACCCAGACTGGACGCCCGGTGTGCCTCGGGCTCGGTTTGACGCGATCACATCATTTCTCCCCAGCGGAGATGTCCTGCGTGAGTCAGCCCGGAGGCCTCCGGTCTTACTGTATCTCTAGGAGATAGATTCATCTGCCTACATCTGCCTACTGCCTATCGTGCTCGTGGCGAATGGCAATGGTCGCCTGGAGTCCTGGCGCCGAATGCGTCCGGCTTGTACCTGCGAGCCTCGCGGGATGCCTGTCATTACCCACATGAGCGGTAACCGGTTACCGATCGGACCCAGTTGCTAAGGCAGCCCTGTGATTGTGTGTGAACTGTGAAGCCTGATGGCAGTTCGACACGAATGCCTGTCAATAATAGAATAATCCAGATCTGGAAGCCTGGCTATTGGATATCTACATCCATCTCTTTCTCACCCTTAGAACCATCTATCCACCCCTTCCCCCGGAGTACTAACTACTCCTAGCTCTTTGCAGGGTGATATGACCCTATGCCAGTCAGTCAGCTCCTGTTGAATCTCCAATCAATAATTCAAGTGCATTGCCATCCCCCCTTTTGTCCGACCCAACACGGTCGATAATGATGGTGAGAGTCACTGGTCTCATGTCGACTCCCATGGAAGGAAGTCTGTCTAGACCAATCTTCACCTCCTGATGCAGACAACCCTCCTGCCGAGCTGCAACGATCATCCCCCGCAGCATTCTTATCCATAACAAGGGGACAACCAGATCCGTGATCATGTTGACAGAGCATGTCGGACTCCCGTGGGACAGCAAGCTGGTCGGACATCCGACCGGCTAACAAATCCGAAGCAGGCGATAAGACCCCGAGGAACGAACCCCGCGCAGCTGCAATCATCTGCACGGGATGGAATGCCGCGGACCTGATGCCTGGATGTAGACAGCGACTTGTTGGATTTATATTGCTCGAGGCACCCTTGCGGAGGAAGAACCCCCGAACCCGCCCCCCGGCCAAGAACCAAATATCCGGAAATCCGACCCATCACGTAGCTCACGTGCGCATGGTATATCTGTCACAGTCATCACCATCCTTCGGGCCGTGAATTGTAAGACTTATAAATAGTAGTATGGAGGGAGCATCGGTAAGGGGTGCTGATCTAGACGCCATTGAACAGTTCCATGCGGATGTGGTACCGGGTACTTAGGATCATCGTGAGGGTGACATCAGAGTGCTGGTGGTTGAAGCAGTAGCCCAATGTAGCATGCATCGTCGGATGTACCCATTTCAGCCCGACACCACCGGTGACCAGAGAGTCTCAGGTCGTAGTGACAGACTGGACTCAGTCCTGGTACTGGGTACTCTGTACTCTGTAGTTTATTTCGGAATCCTGAGCTGGCTGTCGGTTCCTCGTGATGCCAGCCACTCACTCACTGTAGATGATGGATGCTGGCTCTATCGTACCGATGCCAGGAGATTAGCTGTTCCGATAGGAAATTTCAATTGCGACTTCATGCTGATTGCTACATGACTCCTTGAATTCCGGGACCTTCAGGCTCTTGCTGTGTTGACTGTGTTGACGTGTTGATGGGATGAAGGGGGAGCAGCGGGCGTGGTGTCTGACGCTCTCCGGACTGGCTTCCTCAGGCCGGCGTCACCACCGCCAACCACGTCAATCCACTCCAATCCACTTCCCCCCCCCCCCCAAACCCCCCAAACGCCCCAAACTCCCTCCTCATCACCAACCCAACCAACTATCTACCACCTCTTCTTCTCCCCCCCCCAAACCTCCCCCCCATTTCCACCATCATCACTACCAACCAACCAGCAACTGTCTCGTCTCTTCTCATCCTGTCTCCAACATAAATCCCTCGCCGTGTTCAATCTCCTCCTGCTGGAGGTCTTCGTTTGCCTGGAAGTCCCCCCCCCCCCCCGATCGGGTCGCCCTCACTTACCGTCCCCCGGATCGTCGACCCGGAACCCAGTCCGCCATTCTACCCGCTCTCAGTCACTTTCTCTAGAGTAACGAATGGCGGGTTAACAGTGTCGACCAACGAGCGTGCCCTCCCTATTTAGCTCTCGTTAGCAATCGACATATGGCCAGACAAAGGCCCAGTGCTCACCGCCAGGACCCTCTTGAGGACTCTTCTGCTCAGCCATCCTCCGCTGGACCTTCCGCTGCTGCCGCCAGGTACATACCACATCTCTTTTTCCTTGACCCCCCCGGTCAGTCCCCTCTCGTCACTCGGAACCAGCTCGATTAGCTGGCGGACGTTTTCCCTCCTTCGTGGTTGCCCTGAAAGCTGCTGTCTTCAACGGTCCCGCTTTACCGGCCCTGGTGCATGAGAGCTCTGGCTGCCAGCTGTCTACCCGGTTGAGCTTATCAACTCCTACGCCTCGGCCAGAGAGGGCTGGGGGGAATTTCCTGCCACAATATCAGCTGTTTTTCTGTTTGATTCCTCTTCCTTCACGCCATTCACCACCTCTACTCTCACTATTTCCTGGAAGTGAACACTTTCTCATGTCCTCCAGAATCACTCGCTCAGCCGCGAGAGTAGCTGCAGACTCTCTTCCGTCCACCAGTCCCGACCCCTCTCCTGCGAACGCGGCCGCTGGTTCGGCGTCGACTCGGAAGCGAAAGGCCCCCGCGCGATCAGATCGATCGGTGGACGCCCCGGAACAACCGAACTCCTCGTCGCCCCGGAAAACCAAGCGACAGCGACGTGCAGCTTCCCCCCACGTCCCGGCCCCGTCTGCTACCACTCGCCGTGGTACTCGCAACCGTCCAGCCATGTCCCAACCCGGGTGAGTCGGATACTGTTTGGGTTTTACTTATCAGAAGGATGCGCGCTGACCCGTTGGTCTACCTAGCCCATCATCACGTCCTGCGGAGGAGTCGTCAAGGAGTCAAACATCCCCTCCGGCATCCAGGCGGAAGTCCAGTAAGAGTGGGAAGGTGTCACAAGGTAAGAAACGAACACAGCGTGGGAGGAAGCTTTCCTACCTTTCGACTCACCTTTCCGTGGCGCTTGTGCGATGGCTAATCTGACCTGTGGTAGCAGATCGCCTTTCGGCAACCCAGTCTCCATCTCGTCGGCAAAAGAAGCGCCCGTCCAGGACCAGTCCCGACGTCATCATGAAGGAGGCGGAAGAGGAGATGGAGGAGCAGGAGCAGGAGCCAAGTGAAGAAAGGGAATCCTCCCTGCCGAGCGATAGTCATGAAGGAACAAACCCTTCAGGGCTCGATGATGATGATGACGACGAGGATGATGGGGACCTTTTCCACAACAGTCTGTTCGGGTCACGAAGTCCCCTGGGCCTTCAGAGCACCCTCCGGGCTTTGAGTGGCATGATGTCGGGCATGTCTTCGCGCCTGCGAGATATTCTGTGCAATCTGAGAATGAAGGATGACCCGTCCATCCAGCTAATCGCTCTGCAGGAGCTCTCTGATCTACTACTTGTATCAAATGAGGATAATCTTTCCGGCCAGTTCTCTCCGGATCCGTATGTAAAGGAGTTGGTCGCATTGATGCAGCCAAGCGACTTTGGGGAAGAAAACCCCGAGATTATGCTTCTTGCATGTCGCTGCTTGGCCAACTTGATGGAGGCCCTGCGGGGTTCTGTGGCTAATGTGGTCTACGGAGGGGCCGTCCCAGTCTTGTGCCAGAAGCTACTGGACATCCAATTCATTGACTTGGCTGAGCAAGCTCTCAGCGTAAGTTGTACTCCATTTACAACCTACAATATGCTGACTGGCTCTGTAGACTTTGGCGAAGATATCGGTCGACTTTCCAGCTTCTATCGTGCGCGAGGGTGGGTTGACGGCTTGCTTGACATACCTCGACTTCTTCCCAACCAGTACACAACGTACTGCCGTGACCACAGCCGCCAACTGCTGCCGCAATCTCCCCCACGACTCGTTTCCCGTCGTGAGAGATGTCATGCCGACCCTCCTCAACGTGCTCTCCAGCAATGATCCGAAGGTTGTTGAACAGGGCTGTCTATGTGTCTCCCGGATCGTCGAGAGCTACAAGCACAAGCCGGAGAAGCTGGAAGAGCTCATCGAACCTGCGATGCTAAAGGCTGTACTTCGACTGCTTTTGCCGGGCACGACTAATCTGATCGGCCCGCACATCCACACACAGTTCCTTCGTGTATTGGCAATCACATCCAAAGCGAGCCCGAGACTGTCTGTGGAATTGCTCAGAATGGACGTGGTTGATACTCTTTACCAGATCCTGACGGGGGTTTCACCACCGGCAAACTTGGACGACACCGCGGTCAAGATGGACAGTGTCCTCGTTATGCAAGCGTTGATTCATCGCCCCAGGGAACAGGTCTTCGAGACTCTAAATGTTATCTGTGAGCTGCTACCTGGCGCTCCTAATCGGCATCTTCCTGAAGCGGAAAGTTTGCCTGGATATCCTCTCGGGGGTGAAGTTCATGGGCCAAAATCTCCGAAGGCGAAGGAAACCGCCGAGAAGCGCCGTTCATCCTTGATGGACTGCAAGGCCGAACTGAAACGCTTTGCTATGATCTTGTTGCCGACCTTGACGGATGCTTATTCTAGCACTGTTAATTTAGAAGTTCGCCAGAAGGTCCTGACCGCTCAGCTCAAGATGCTGCACAACCTAGATGCTGGCCTGGTAGAGGATGCCTTACGAACCGTCCCGTACGCCTCATTCCTCGCTGCCATCCTCTCTCAAAAGGACCACCCGTCTCTGGTGTCATCTGCCCTGCGCTGTGCGGAAATTCTGTTCCAGCGCTTGGAACACGTTTATCGACATCAATTCCACCGCGAGGGAGTCATTGCAGAGATCTTCAAACTCTCCGAGGGACCTCTATCTACGGAAAATGAAACGAAGCCGCCGGGGGATGCCTCGTCAACTAAGGACACTACTTCTGGGGACGCCCAACAGGTACCACAGAGTGAAACCAATGAGGCTGCCAATGTGGAAGATGAAGATGGCCCTGACGATGGAGAAGGGGCGGACGACTATGACGAGCAAGATGACGATGACAACGACGATGCTTCCGAGTCAGGAAGCTCTTCATCGTTCTCCGGTCATGCCCTTTCAACGAGGATTGACAATGCTATGCGCGATATCGTGGTCCGTGATGCTCGTTCTTTCGTGGATCTGTACGAGGCTAGCCAAGGCAAAGACATGCGGGACAAGGCTTTGGAAACGTTGAATGAGCTGAAGGCTCTTGCCACGGGAATCGAAGCGTTCTACTTGGGCGATGGCGAAGAAGCGGGGATTTCCCTTTTCACGAAGCTTGCAACCTATTTCGACGGCGACGCACTGGAGAGCATCACCAGCTCTGAACTTCTCAACTCAGGCATCATCAAAGTGCTACTTGATGTGTTTGGTGATTTTCAAGGTAAGAATTCTTCCCGGTATTTAGTTTGCCAGACATTCACATCTGTACAATAGCTGCCCCCATGCGTGAGGCCCGTACCGCTTTCCTGCAGGCTTTCATGGGATCGTGCATCTCTGAAAAGGCTCAGAGCCAAAGTACAGCAACCACCCCGTTTAGTGTTCTTATCCAGAAACTGCAGGATCTGCTCAGCCGGACTGAGCATTTCGAGGTTACCACCGTCAGCCACAACTCACTCGAGAACACGCGAAGTAACGCTGCCTATATGCTGGGGAAACAACTTAGGTTGAAGCTGGTGGCAGATGAGAACTCGGATATCCCTCGCACGTACCGGAATATCATGGTCTCCATTCATGCTATCGCCACCTTCAAGGCTTTGGACGATTTCCTTCACCCGAGAATTAGTCTTTCAGATCGGCCCAGGCCGCCTCGCTCCCGCGACACAATTCTGTCTCAGATTGCTAATGCAGCACGTCTGCGAGATCAGCTGACTGGTGATACTCCTCATCTACCTCGGACGTCAACTACTTCCGGCAGACCATCTCGCCCAGAAGAGACGCAGCCGACTACCAACGAGTCTTCAGCTGAAGGTCATGATCGCAGCTCGAGGGCTGGACGATCTGGCCGGCACCAAGGACCCGGTGACAACGACCACGAGGGCGAGCCCCTTGAGTGTGCGGACGAACGCCACATGAGTGATGATGAGGACCCGGAAGATGATGGCGAGGACGAGGAGTTGAACGCTATCGTGGATGATCTGGACGATGATATGTCTGACGACAACGTCCATGACCCGACTGCCGTCAACATGGAGGTGGCTTCTTCTGGTAAGGTGACTGCCCGTAAGGAAGATGGAACTCGCGTTGCCACACCATCACAGTCCACGCCAGCATCCAAGGCCTCTACATCAGCCCCAGGTTCCGCACTAAATCCAGCTGGCGGAAGTTCATTGGCAATGGCTGGTCGCCCATTCTCCTCCTATGCAGCAGCCATGGCGTCCATCCCGACTGATTGGCATATCGAATTCAGCGTTGATGGTGAGCCTGTTTCAAACGAGACGACCATCTACCGCGCTGTTCATCATAACCGCCAACAGACGGATCCCAATGCGAAGAACGTTTGGTCTGCTATTCATACGGTCAAGTTCCGACGCGCTTCGGGACCGCCACCTCCAGAGCCTTCCACACTCACCCAGAGCACGTCCAGCGCTGTGGCGAAACATGACAGCGATGAGATCCCCCCGTCGCTCAGCCAAGACTTGACGACGGCGTCTATCTTCCAATTGCTGCGTGTGTTGCACGAGATGAACAGCACTTTGGATGACATCCTGGCGGAGACAAAGGAGCTGGTCTCCCTGAAGCCAGAACCGCTGGCCCAGTTTATCAACACAAAGCTTACCGCTAAGCTCAACCGACAGTTGGAAGAACCGCTCATTGTGGCAAGTAGCTGCCTCCCCAGCTGGAGCGAAGATCTTGCCCGGCTCTTCCCATTCCTGTTTCCGTTTGAGACACGCCACTTGTTCCTCCAGTCAACCGCCTTTGGATACTCGCGCGCGATGATGAGATGGCATAATTCCCAGAACGGAGAAGATAACCGCAGCGATAACCGGCGCGACGATCGGCCCATACTTGGACGGCTTCAGCGACAGAAGGTGAGGATCTCCAGAACCCGTATTCTCGACTCGGCTATGAAGGTGATGGAGCTCTATGGCTCTTCGCCAAGCGTGTTGGAGGTTGAATATTTCGAAGAAGTCGGCACCGGCTTGGGTCCGACGCTTGAGTTCTACTCTACTGTTTCGAAAGAATTTTCCAAGAAGAAGCTCAAGATCTGGCGGGAAAACGACTGCCTCAATGGCGAGGAGTATGCCTTTGGCAAGCGCGGTTTGTTCCCTGCGCCTATGAGTGACGAGCAAGCTGCCTCAGAACCGGGAAAGAAACACCTTCAGCTCTTCAAAGTCCTGGGCAAGTTTGTTGCCCGGTCAATGCTTGACTCCCGGATCATCGACGTCTCCTTCAACCCAGCCTTCTTCCGGATCGCCGACAACTCGTCATTTGGCACCCCGTCGCTTGGCACAGTGAAAGCGGTTGATCAAGACCTGGCAAATTCGTTGCTTCTGTTGAAGGCATTTGCCAACGCCAAGAAAGCTGTGGAAGACCATAAGATGCTGTCGCAGGCGCAGAAGGCGCAGGCTTTGCAGGACGTCCAAGTTGGTGGCGTCAAGGTGGAAGATTTGAGTCTGGACTTTACACTGCCCGGCTATCCGGCCATTGATCTGATCAAGAATGGCTCCAATATACCTGTAACCATTGAGAATGTTGATCTGTACGTCGATCGGGTCGTGGACATGACTCTGGGCAGTGGAGTCCAACGCCAGGTCGACGCATTCCGTGCCGGATTCTCCCAGGTATTCTCTTATTCCGCCCTCCGGACCTTCACGCCTAGCGAGCTAGTTATGCTGTTTGGAAGAGCCGAGGAGGACTGGACCATCGAGAGTAGGTCATTCCCTTTACACTTTTGCAGTCAGGGTTGCTAACGCGCCACAGCCCTCATGGATTCCATCAAGGCCGATCATGGCTTCAACATGGACAGCCGCAGCGTGCGCAACCTGCTGCAGACAATGAGTGAACTGAGCCCGCAACAACGCCGGGACTTCTTGCAATTCGTCACCGGCAGTCCAAAACTCCCCATTGGCGGTAAGACGACCAGCATCTTGGATTGGTTTCGTGATACTAATGCGATGTCACATTAGGTTTCAAGAGCCTTACTCCCATCTTCACTGTGGTCTGCCGTCCCAGCGAACCACCGTACACGCCCGATGACTACTTACCCAGTGTCATGACCTGCGTGAACTACTTGAAGCTACCTGACTACAGCACGCTGGACATGCTCCGCGAGCGATTGTCCGTTGCCATCAAGGAAGGGCAAGGGGCGTTCCACTTGTCATGATCATTGAATGTCGGAACCCGATCTCAGTCCGCAGTGGCTTACACTTTAATATGGATAGCGGGAGATCAAGGATGAGGGGAAATACGACGGGTAAACAAACACAAACAAGCACCAGCGGTGCATTGGTACAGTAACAAAGTGCATACCCTAATTGCTATGACGGTGGGATGTTATTGCAATGCCTGGGAAATCTGTTTCTTTTTGGTGGATATCTGCGTTCGGGCCTGATTTGTCTTCTGTGTCTTGTGGGAAGGGAGTCGGGGGAGGGTTTGCCTGTTGCTTCCATCTAGATAGAAATGCCACTCTACCAGGGGCCTTTGACTCTACTCGTTGCTGATGTATCTATTCTATTGATTACATAGGTCTATTGTCTATTGAACAAAATGAAAAGGGTATTACGCAGTCGGCTCTCCTAACCAGCTCCATCCATCAAGCATCAACCAACAATCAGTTCCGGTACAGCGGCACCATGGACTACATCACCACCAGTCAGTATCAATCAACATCCACTCAAACGTCAAAGAAGGAACTTACATCCGCAAACTTCGGCTCAACAAACAGAGCCCTCGCCTCCGCCACAACCGTCTCTCCCTCCGCACCCTTCCGCGAAGAACCCGAAGGCAAACACTTCATCGTCCCCTCCACCCACGCCTTCCGGCCCTCGACCCTCACCGTCTCCGCCCGCAACACATACACCCGATCCGGAATCGCCGGTTTCCGGAAATCCACATTCAGATTCGCCGTCATCCCCAGCCCACTGGGAAACGAGTCCGACACGCACCGCGCAAACGCCTCATCGAACATCACGCTCAACAGCCCGCCGTGCACGTATCCCGGGTGTCCGCACATCTGCTCGCCGATGTGGAAGATCGAGATGATTTGCGCGCGGGGGCGGGACGCGCTTCCCTCTTTCTCTCCTTCACCTTCTGCTGCTGCCATTGCTTCGCCGGTTGTGGTGCCGTCGGTGGCGGGAGTCGGATTCACAAGACTGGTGAACATGTACGGCGCGACGGAGACTTTCTCGGGCCCGGAGAGCGTGCCGGCGACGAAGTGCGCGGGGCGCAGCGAGGGCGTCATGGACAGATGCGGACGCGATTCTTTGTATCTTGTGGGGTTTTGGCGCAGGGTTTGTACGAGCGGGAGGGAGGCGATTAGGTCGTCGACGCTGATGCGGGGAGGGGGGGTCGGAGTCACGGTCGGTTGGTAGCTGGGGATGGTGGTGTTGGTTTCGATGGCGGAGGTGCTGGTTGTGGTTTGGATGGTGCGGTACTGTTGGTGGGTGCGGTTTTGTTTGAGGAGGAGAGAGGGGAGGAGAGACCGCTGGGAGTAGCAGGAGAGGCTGAGGCTGGATGGCTTGCCTGCTAGGAGGGGGAGGCGGCGGGTGAGAGTGAGGGTGCTGGTGCTGGTTGTTCGTGGGAGAGACATGGTTGTTGATTGTTGATTGAGTGGATGAGTGAGTGAGCAAGTGAGTAAGTTCGGTCTTGTATATGCGGGTAGGGAGATATGTATGCAGGGACAATCTTTCTTTAAGTAGGCAGTCTTCAGGTTAGTTCAATTTTCTCCTTGTATATGATTTCTTGACTATACAACACTAGTAATGCAGTCAATTAGGGTAGAGGGGGGGGCGCATTGCATGCATGCTAAATCAACACAGGACACCACTCACGACTATATACTTCCACTTCCCCGGAACAGGCAGGTTTCTAGTCGAGAGGCGCAGAACAATCCTAAGAGGAAAGAGGCATCTTTAGGTCCTGCGTCGGCCGGGCACAACAGGGAAAAAAGGAAGAAAAACCCTGTCCAATCCGGGAAAGTGGAGCCCCCTGCCCACGTGGAATGATGGCATCGCGGTGGGTCCGCGCCGCCAATCGGCGTCTCGGGCGAGCAGCGCTAACCCTACTGGTCGGCATCGAGGCCCGAGACCGGCTTGCAGGGATCGCCTGGTGGGGCAGATTCGGTAGATTGTTGGGGTTGTGATTGGTTGGGATGGATGTTAGTTAGTGTTGGCTGAGATCGATATGGGCTATGGGCTGTAGCCTGTCGGGCGTACGGAAGGTGATGGGAATGGGATAGGCAGGGATAGATAGGGAGATAGGAGAATAGATGGATGGGGAGAATAGGAGGTGAAGGGGGTGGGTTGGTGTTGGGCTGTGGGCCGAGGGCTATCTATGAATTAGGGAAAGGGGAGGGAGACGGGCTGGTTCTCCAACTACTGCAGATATTCCGTATTTGTGTATGTGCATATCAGTAGATGGTATTATACCTCTTAGAGTCATACAGTCATGCCATCTCAAGAATGCCAGCGACGACTACGTTGCTGGTCGGGATAGACAGCCGCCCCATCCCACTGATTGCATTGGAATCGGGCATCATGACGAGAACAGCTCCTCACTATGAGCTCATCCGCAATAGATGTCCTGTATACCCCCTCTCGAAGGACATATAGTCCACACCCACCCTCTTCAAACGGATTTCCATCAATTTGTCCCTTCATGCCGCCACAATGGGATTGATTATCTCAGTAAGATCCATCGTGGAGAAAGTCTTGCAGAAAGCAAGTCGCTTCATTCCCATCTCCCAACCAAACAAGAACAAAAACAACAACAACAACAACACTGCCAGCACCGAAAAGCCCATCCATCAATACAACACCCGATCCCAAGCCAACAAGAAAAAAGGCTACACCTGCATCATCTGCATCCACGACTACACACAGCTGTCAATGGTATTCAAGTCCCCCTGCGACAACGAGCACTACTACTGCAAGTGCTGTCTGGCGCGATTCTTCTCGACCAGCCTGACCCCCCGATGCTGCAAAACGATCATCCGGGCCAAAGACGCGCGGCTGTTCCTGGGCGGCTCATTCAGCAAAAAGACGCAGGCGGCACGGAGGCAGCTCACGGGGCGGAATCCCATCTCATGCCACGACTGCGAGACTTATCTGGCGCCGGATCTTGCGGTTGGGTCCACGCGGAGGGTAGAGGTGGAGTGTTGTCCGGCGTGTCTGAACGAGACTTGTGTGTGGTGCAGGCGGGCCAGGCATCAGGGGTCGGTCTGTCGCCAGATGCAGTATGCCAGCAAGCGAGGGAAGTCTTGCGAGGTCTGTAATCTGCCGCAACATGAGGGGCCGTGTCTGGATGGGTCGGATGCGTTTGCGGAGCTGGCCAAGAGGAATGGTTGGAAGAGGTGTTTGGTGTGTTCGGTTATGATCGAGAGGGTGGGTGGTTGTCAGAATATTCAGTGAGTGGTTTCTCGTTGTCTGGGGGTGCTGGTTTGGGGGTGGTTGTGTGGTTGTGTGCTGACGGTGGATGTTGTGTAGTTGTTTGTGTGGGCATAGAATGTGTTATCTCTGCGGGACGGCCAACTGCTCGGGGAGATGTTTATACGAGGAATATGGCCGTTATCAATACAGCTAGCATCCAAGTCATGGGTTTCAGTTTGTTGTGGGTGGGCTTTTTTTTTTTTTTTTTACGGATGATAGCAATGAGTTGATCAATAAACTCGAGTCTGGGTTTGCGTCTGGTCTACAGCGTAGGTATCATGGTATATGCAACATAGAGAGAGTATATACATGCCTTAGAAGTCCAAGGCATCCACTTGGCCCAGGAACGAGTTGTTGCCCTCTCCGCGCAGCAAAGCTTCGATGTCCACCCGTCCCGACGTAAGGTAGCGTTCACTCACGCCCACGTTCACGCGCTGCGACAGCAGATGCTTGAGTTCAGCGCGCAGCCCATTGATCTCATTCTTCGAGACCTCTCCAGCCTTGCGTTGCTGCTCCTGACGACCGCGACCACGTCCACGTCCACGACCCTGTGCACTGTCGAACTCATCGCTGTCATACTCAACGCCGAGATCTTCCGCCGCTGTGCGTAGCCAGTTGTCTTCCGCAGTGATCTTCTCCTTGGCGATGTTGGAGTCGGCGATCTTGGCTGCCAGATCCACACGTTGACGGACCCGGGAGACGACGCGACGGTCGAGTTCCAGCGACTCAAGAGGCAGCTTCTTGCCATTGGCCATCTTGACGTGCACCTTGGCAGCCAGGCGGACCACGCCAACCATTTCCTCGGGAGCGCAAATAATCACACTCTTTCCCGAAGCACCCGCACGGGCGGTACGTCCCGAACGATGGACATACGTGTCGGCCGCGCGGGGGACGTGGTAGTGGATGACGAAGTCGATGCCCTTGATATCGAGACCACGGGCTGCGACGTCCGTCGCAACAAGAATACTGCTCGGATCGGCGGTGGGAGAAGAAAATCGCTCCACTGAGCGCAGACGGGCCTTCTGTGCCATGGATGAGTGAAGGGCCAGGGCGGGGAGTTGTAGGTTCTGGAGGAATTGTGTGAGACGGCGAACAGCGGAAATCGAGTTGGTGAAAACCAGGGTCCGGTGTTTGGGGTGATATAGCAGAAGGGTATAGAGATAGAGATCCTGTGTGCATCCTATTAGCCAGTGACCTCGCAGGTTAGCGGTAGATATGTACCTTCTCCATGGCTCCACACTCGACAATTCCTTCCTTGAGCCTTTCCGCCATCTGTGAAACGGGGTTCGTGTCAATGAACTTCGGCTTCTCTTCGCGGAAGTTCAGCTTCTGGAGAAGATATTCCATGGACTCCTTGTTGTCCATCATATCGCCAGTCGTCCATCGTGCCTTACCGGCCAATTTCTGCTGCAGGTCACGGTGGAAGGTAGCAGAGAAAACCAAAGTCTGTCTCTCGGACCGTGGATCGGCCTTTTCTTCGTCGGTCTCTTCGTTCTCAAAGTTTCCTTGCACCACGCGATCAAGGGCACCGATGATCTCTTCAGCCTCCTTGAAGTGGCCTTCACTCAAAAGTCTGTCCGCTTCGTCGACCACAAGGAACTTCATTGCCTGCATCTTGTGAATCAGTCCCTGGCCAGAGCTAAGAACTTCCCATACTCGACCAGGGGTACCGATGACGATATCGGCCCCAGTCAGCACTCTCTGCTGCTTCTGAACGGACAAACCACCGGTCAGAAGTGCAATGCGAGCACTGGCGCCCGGGGCGTGTTGAATAAGCTCTCCAATATGCTTAGCCAGCTGGTGCGCCAGCTCTCGAGTAGGGGAGAGGATAAGTGCAATCGGGCACGAATCCTTCTTGTTCTGTTCCTTGCCATTGCGCAGGTCCACTCGTCTCTTCTCAAGGTAATGTTCGAGAATAGGGATACCGAAGGCCAGTGTTTTTCCAGAACCGGTCGCGGCCTTGCCGACCACATCGTGGCCATCCAGAATCTCGGGTATACAGGACTTTTGAACAAGCGTCGGCGTAGCGAAATTCATCTTCGAAAGACTGGTCAGGACTTCCGCGGAAAGGCCAAGCGACTCCCAAGCTGAGATATCCGCGCCGTCGTCGTCGGCTTCGTCCTCCAGGGCTGCGAACGAGAGTCCGGACTTAATGTTCTGGTCCTGCTCCTTGGGCGAGTTCTTCTGTTTCACGTCCTTTTTCGGCTTCTTCTGCTCCTTCGCATCCTTCTTCTCCTTCGGATCTTGTTCTTCCTTTGTCTCTTTCTTTGCCTTCTGCTCCTTCTTCGCTTTCTTCTTGTCCTTCGCCTTTTTCTTGTCTGAGTCCTCTTCGGTCTTCTGCTCTTCCGTCGTAGCCGACTCCTTTGTCTCGGCCGTCTCGTTGTCGCTGAAACCGGACCATTCGTCATCCTCGAACTTGGACTCTTCTTCCTCGGGTGCCTTCTTCTTCAGGATCGATTTCTTGGGTTTGCCAGCGGCCGCCTAGCCATGTCAGTCAGCCACTCCCCGGCAGCGCGATCGCCGGCCATACCTTGAAGCGAAGCTCTCTCCCTCCACCGGACTTGATAACATCAACACCGTCGATTTCCTCCAGTCCAAAGAAACCACCGGCATCCTCCATGCGATCCGGCAAGTCAACCTCGCGCCAGTTGAGATCGTTCACGGCGACAACGCCGTCCCAATCGGTATCCGGCATCTTCATGTCGTCGTCCTCCATCTTTCTCTTCTTTGCATGGAGGCCATGGGCCCCCTTGGGAGCACGATATCTTTTCTGACCCATAACGAACGGAATTAACTCTGCAGCAACAGCAGAGGTGGAGTGTGGAGGAGGGAGCAATCGGCCGGAGAAGCCAGCGGCGCGAAAGAAGGAAAGAAAAAAAAGCGGCAGAAAGCCGCCGCCTTCATCTTATCGCCGCCCCACGAGAAATTCATCGAAATTCCCCTCCACCAGACCGAAATTCCCCAAAGTCACTCCCCCCCCTTACCACGCCGTCACCATGGGTAAATCCTCCAAGGACAAGCGCGATGCCTACTACCGTCTTGCCAAGGAACAGAACTGGCGCGCCCGTTCCGCCTTCAAACTGATCCAGATCGACGAGCAATTCGACCTGTTCGAGCACGAGAACCCGGAGAAAGTCACCCGAGTCGTCGACCTGTGCGCCGCCCCCGGCAGCTGGAGTCAGGTCCTGAGTCGTGTGCTGATCAAGGGCGAGAGTTTTGGCCGACGCGCCTGGGTCGAGAAGAAGCAGAAGGAGCGCGAAGCCCTCGAGCGAGTCCGCAATGGTGCTGATGCGACGACGACGACAACGACGACAAGCACCGAAGACGATGTCGACATGGCCGAGCTGAAACCCCGCAAGAACGTCAAGATCGTCTCCATTGACCTGCAACCCATGGCGCCCCTCGAGGGCATCACCACCATGAAAGCAGACATCACCCACCCCTCCACCATCCCGCTCCTCCTGCGCGCCCTCGACCCTGAAGCCTACGATTCCTCCACCACCACCACAGCCATCACCTCCTCATCCTCCTCCTCCACACCCTCCACCCCCTCTGCTATCCGCCCCCCACACCCCGTCGACCTGGTCATCTCCGACGGCGCCCCAGACGTGACCGGCCTCCACGACCTAGACATCTACATCCAATCGCAACTCCTCTATTCCGCGCTGAACCTCGCCCTGGGCGTCCTACGACCCGGCGGCAAATTCGTCGCCAAGATCTTCCGCGGCCGGGACGTCGATCTCCTATACGCGCAGCTGCGGACCGTCTTCGAGAAAGTCAGCGTCGCGAAGCCGCGCAGCAGTCGCGCCAGCAGTCTAGAAGCCTTCGTCGTGTGCGAGGGCTTCATCCCGCCGTCCATCCACGACGGTCTGAAGGGCATGGACGCGCTGAAGAACCCCGTTTTCGGCGGCGTGGCGGTAGCGCCCCCGGTCTCAACGGACGGGAATGTCGGCGTCGAGGTGGTCGATGAGGACAGCGCGGTTCAAGAGCCCGTTAAGGCGACTCATATCGCTCCTGCGGCTGCAACGCTGGCCTCTAACAACCCCTACTCTGACCACAACACGGAAAACCAGACTCAGACTCGTCTCCTCCACGCCGACTCCTTGGCGTCCGTGACTCCCGAACCGCTGGCGTATAAACCGCTCTCGGAGAAATTCGCCGTCGAGAACCGCTGGATCCCGCGGTTCATTGCCTGCGGCGATCTGTCGGCTTGGGACTCCGATGCGTCGTACTCGCTGCCGCCGGACCATGTTAGTTTGGATCCCGTTCAGCCGCCCACTGCTCCGCCGTATCGTCGCGCGTTGGAGTTGAGGAAGGAGAAGGGCGGGGCGTACGGCAAGACGAAGTTGGGGAGTATGGGGCGGGCGTGATGGGTTTTCTTCTTTGCTCTTGAGACGTTGTCGAGTTCAACGACATACATAAATCTTCTTGTTTATACTTATGCTCATGCTTGTGCTTAGGAATGTTTTCATTTGGCGGCGGTGGGAAAAGTTGGTTTGAATTGCTAGATGGGACAAGCGAGGGAGTGGAGTGGGTACGCAAGTTGGGGAGGGATAGAGCATATACCCATAGATTTACGATAGATGATACAAGAGAGAGAGATTAAGCATATCCAGTTGGAAGTAAGGATCAATAATAAAAGAGACTGTTTGACAATGATATCAACAAGAGTAATCCAATATTTGCAAGTCTATCGTATCGTGGATCAGCAAGTCTATGCTAGAAGGCGCTAAACTCAAAACAGGATGGCCCGATCATCTGCACGCAAAACAATATTTTCCACATTTTCCCCACCATCTCCTCTCCTCCACTCCACTCCCAACCCCAACGTCCCGTCTAGTACACCTCGAGAACGTATCTCTCCTCGTCCTTCAGCTTCTCGATCTCCTTGCGAGGCTCGACCTTCTTGCCCTGGTTCTTGGCCTCGATGGCGATGGCCTCTTCCAGCACTTCGGTCACGTCAGGAACGGGCCAGGTGGGACCGCAGAGGTAGAAAGCACCCTCTTCGCGGATGTACGCCTGGACGATTTCGGGCAGGGTCTGGCGCATGCGGTCCTGGATGTAGATCTTCTCGGGCTGGTCACGAGAGAAGGCACGGCCCAGGACGGTGATGACACCGGCCGCCTGGTAGGCCTCCCACTCCTCACCGTAGCAGTACTCCTCGCGCTGGTGGCGGGAGCCCATGTACAGGAGAACAGCACCGATCTCCTTGCCTTGGGCCTTCTCGAGCGCGCGGTGCTGAACGAAGGCGCGGAAGGGCGCCAGACCAGTTCCCAGACCGGCCATGATGAGCGGCTGGGTGGACTTGGGGGGCAGCTTCATCACACTGGACTTGACGCTGACGGTGATCGGGGCTCCGGGTTGGAGTCGGCTTAGGTACCGGGTCGCCAGACCGAAGCGGTCGCGGCCAGTGGGGTCCGCCCAGGTCACGGCGACGATCATGAGCGCCACCGTGGTCGGGGTCACCTTCTGGCAAGAGGCGATGGAGTACTCACGACGCTTCAGAGGACCGACGATACGGATCAGGTCGTGGAAGTCAGGGCGGGCGGACGAGTACTTGAGCAGGACATCGGCGAAGGTGACGGTGTCGACCTCGGCAAGGCGCTTGAATTCCACAGCACCTTCAGGGCCACCCAGGGTGAGAAGGTCGGTCTTCTCCTTTTCATCGCTGGCAAACTCGGCAAGGGCTTCGTAGAAGCGCTTGGGAGGACGACCGAAGATGTCAAGGTTCTGGACAAGGGCCTGGTAAACAGTGCGGTTCTCCAGGACGGCAGCGCTCTCACGGCTGGGCACCTCGACGATATCGTTGGCGTTCAGACCGTAGAACTGGATGAACTCCAGCACATCGTTGGGGTCGTTCTCGGCGTGGACACCGAGCGCCTCGCCGATGTCGTACTTAAGCCCAGAGTCGCCCAAGTCGAACTCGATGTGGAAGATGTTCCGGTCATAGGTTTCGGGAGTCAGGCGTCTGTTCTCCTTCACGTGGACGGTGAACGTCTTGGTGGCTGTTTCAGGGCGGAGGGCGTTCTGGGTGGCGTAGGCCTCCTTGAATGCGAGACCCTTGGCAGCAGTCTGCCAGTCCTTGAGGTAGGAGGCGGGCTCGGTTTCTTCCTTCTCGAAAGAGACGAAGCTGTTGGGGGAGATGTCCTTGGGCAGCTGGCTGGCCTGGGATCCTTCCTCGGGGTCTTCCAGGTCTCGGAGACCTCGATCTGACGGAGCACCTTTTCAAGCTCTTTGCTGACACTTTCCAGGGACTCGGCATTTCCGCCAATGGAAGCGAGCTTCTTGATGCCCAAGCTCTCCTGGGAAGGTAGCGCAACTCGCAAGAAAGCAACCTGGATCGTGGAGGACTCGGGAGCAGAGTCACCGGCAACAGAAGCATCAATGAGGTAGAGAGAGATGCCCTGTTCAGCGACAGCCTGTCTGAAGGCCACGGGCAGCTTCTTCTCCAGCTCATCGTCCTTCACACCGGGGGCGTTGACAATGATCTTGCCGTTGCTCTTAACGGAAGCGACAACGTCGACATCACCCAGGAGCTTGATATCTCCAACATAAGCAGTGTCGGCAGCGGTGATAGCGTACGGGGCATCCACGATCTTGGAGCTCTTGCGGATATCGACACGGACGACTCCACCCTGGATGAGGTTGTCGTGGGCCTTGCTGGTGGTGACATTGCTTGCCGAATCAGCGGCCAAGGCTTGCGCAAGGGTCGTGGCGACATCGCCACCAACGGAGTTGTCAACATCCCAGAAGGTGTATTCCTGCACGACAGAGGGGTCGAGCAGCTGGAGGGGCTCAGTCTCTGCACCCTCCTTGACGATTGGCGTGTCGTGAATCAGCTGGAAGGTGGCAGCAGTGTTAATCAGATCCCAGCGCTGAGCGCGGGCGTACTTGATATCCACACAGGCGGGGGCCTGCTCACGATCGGTGGCGAAAGTCAGGGCGGCGAGAACATCTTCATACAGCGCAGAGCGAACACCCTGCTCCTGCACAGCCTGCTCGCTGGGAACCTGGCCGAGAACACCGACAGTCTTGACCGACTTCGGCAGAACGCGCAGGAATTCCTCTTCCACGAAAGGACGGTAAACGCGAACGTTGATGACACCAACACGGACGCCGTCCTTGGCCAGAGAGCGGGCAACTTGAGCGGTGAGAGAGGCCTCGACAGTGCCGAAAGCAACGAGGACCGAGGAAGGCTCAGCATGACCGTGGTACTCGAAAAGGCCGTAATCGGTGCCGAGCTCGCCGTTGAGGGACTGAAGGAGCTCCAGCAGCTTTCCTTGCGAGTCAAGGTGGCGGCTGCGGGAGTCCTCGAGGGTCTTGCGGACGGTCTCGTAGGTGCGAGAGAGACCGGCCTGATCGAGGACATCGATAACGCGAGTGTGATCCCGGCCGACACGCACACCGTCATAGATGTGTACGGATGGCAACACCGACGAGAGGAGAGTGGTGAGCAGAGCCATGTGCTGCGACTCGTGGACAGAGGCACTGGACACCAGACCCAGGCCAAGCTCTTCGGCAAGGGTAAGGGCAGAGGCATAGTCGGAGACCAGACCCTCTTCACCGGCATAGTCGACAGCGGCGACGTGGGCAGCGACGGGGCTGGCGACAGAGTACAGGAGGGACAGCTGCTCCAAAGCCGCACGCATGTAAGGGAGGGTGGCAGAGGATGCGACGATGCCCTGGGGAACGTGGCGCTTCTTCAGATCGAAGTCCTGGGAGAAGATGTAACCGAGGGCGATGTTACCGGCACCCTGGCGAGTCTCCATGGCCTTCACTTCGGGAGATTCACCATTGGCATTGATCTCCTTCTTGGAGGCCCATTCCTGCAGAGCAGCATCGAGGTCGAAGGACTCCGGGGAGTAGGAGAAGATCTTGTCGCTCAGCACATAAGCGACCTGCTGAATGAGGGTCTGGGCAGTGACATAGGTCGGACCGCCAAGGGTCGACAATGCAGGGGAAGGAGAGCCCATGGTGTAGGATTCTTGTCTGGAGACCTGGGGATCAGCCAGCCGGTATCTCCACGAAGACGACAAGAAAACAAGAGGTGAGGATAGGGACAAAGCAAGCGAGAAGGCGAGGGGGCGATGGGGGGGAATAAAAGGGCCCTCGCCCCCGTATAGAAAATCCCAGGGGATCTTACCCCATCCGGCTAGTGGCAATCACGCAATTTCTTATCGATCGGGCCTGAAGGCGGCCCATCGGGGCAGAATTCTCCGCTTTCGGCCTTTCCCCGCATTAGTCAGGCGCTTCTCGGCCGGCCTGCACACCCTGCACGCCTGCCTGCCTGAGGCAGAACAGGCAGACAGGTCATCCCCTTTGGGCGTAGCGCGGGTCTGGGGACAATCCACCCGGCAAAACGTCATCCGCATCCCTTCCAAGCAAACTATCACCCCTGCCTGCATACACCTGCATCTATAGTCTCTTAGTAGTTACAATGGCTAATGTCGCTCTGATCGGCTGTACTGGCATGGTGGTACGTACTCATCGATCACATGCGCTCTCCGCGACAATGTTCTCTCCCTCAATCCCCACTTCCTTTTTAATTTACAGCTTCCATCCCACCCATGCGCGGTGACCAATTGACCCTAATGGATCTCTAGGGGAGCCACATCCTCACCAGCCTGCTCGCCAACACCTCCGTCGCGCGCGTCGACACCATCTCGCGTCGCACCCCGGACGCCGCCACCACCGCCCCGCAAGAGAAGCTCACAACCTTCGTCTCCGAAGACACAACCAAGTGGTCCGCGCAGCTCTCCTCGCTAACCCCCACCCCGGGCATCTTCTTCTCCGCCTTCGGCACGACCAGGGCCGCCGCCGGTGGCTTCGAGAACCAATACAAGATCGAGCATGGCCTGAACGTCGAGCTGGCCCGCACGGCGCGCGAAGCCGGCACCAAAGTCTACGTTCTGATCTCCTCCGCCGGAGCGGACAAGAACTCCTCCTTTGGCTACCCGCGCATGAAGGCCGAGATTGAGGAAGAGGCTAAGGCCCTTGGATTCGACACGACTATTATCCTCCGTCCGGGGCGGATTGCTGGTGAGCGCCAGGAGAGTCGGCCCGCTGAGGCGGTGGTGCGGTTCTTTGCTGGCTGGGCGGGCAAGATCCATTCTGGGTTGAAGGATGGCTGGGCGCAGGAGTCGGATGTTATTGCTAAGGCGGCGGTTAATGCGGGGATTAAGGCGCTGAATGGCGATGCCCCAGCCGGGAGTGAAAAGGTTTGGGTGCTGAACGGGCAGGACATTCTGAAGTATGGGAGGGAGTGATTGACTTTGGTAGACTTGGGTTTTCTAGAGATACAGTGCCGTGGTTCTCGGTGGTTTTGTATGGATAATGTGATCATTGTTACTTTCTTCCTGTGGGTGTTTGGTAGATGCGTCTATACTTAGTACTATGGTTATTGAATGTCTCCATTATTATCCCCTCATTAATTCCTTCGCTACTTCCCTCGTCGTTTTTCTGTCATTTCCCTCGTCGTTTCTGTTACTATTTCATCATCGTCGTTGCTTACATCGTCATTTCTTCTGTCATCTCCGCTTCCCCCGTCCCCGTCCCTTCCTTTGTTTCCCTTATAAATAGTACCCGGTCCGCCCCCTTCCCTTCTCCTTTCCTTTCTTCCTTCTTCCTCCCATCAATTTTGCAAATCCTTCAGCATTCAACTTACCAGCTATTTATTGCCATCTTGCCTGCCATTCCTATCTTTGCTATTTGTATATCTGGTTGACAGTTGCTGTGATAGTAATCGACATAGCGGTAGCTATAGCTTTAGTTAGGTAGCTGTCTGAATAGGTGTAGTTGTAAGTTGATCCGTAGTAACTGTAGTAACTGTAGTCGTAGTCGTAATCGGAGCATGATGTTTATATGGCAGCTGTAGTCGTAGCCATCGTCGTAGTCGTCATAAGATGATGCCCTATAGCAAGTATTAGCCAAAGTGTAGTTATGTAGTTGTTAGACTATGTTGTAGGAGTATGCCGTAAAGGACTGTGTTGGTGATACCGACCACATTTGCAGTTATTGTCGTGGTTGTCGTAGTTGTTGTAGTCGCTGTACTCGCTGCATTCGCCGTAGTCGTTGTTATTGTAGTTGTCCTAGTTATACTCATAGTGGCAGCCGTCGTCATAGAGATGACTCAATAACGGAGGCATGATGCCAATGAGGGAACCGATGTAAGCTAGCTGGGTAACTTGGCTAACATCAAGAAGAGATGGGAGGAGATGAGGGGAGAAGAGGGGGGAGAAGAGGACTCAGTGAGGTGGCTGCCAGACGCGCGCAGGGAGGCGGAGGCAGTCACGGCAGGCGCGAACCCCAGGCACCACCCCACTGACGCTGATATGGCAACTGCGACCACGGCTACAGCTGTAGTTGTCGTCGTAGCTGTTACCATATATCGCTTAGGCTTGTCCCATCGCACTGTTGTCGGCGCTAGGGAGTCAACATAGTGACTCGGGGCTTGCTTGACCAGGCTCTCAATTCTAGCCAACGTGTGGCAATGAGCAGCTCGCTCTCCAGCACAAGAACCCCATCTATCTTGAATCGGATGATGATTGAGCAAAGGACGGAGAGAGAAGATGGATGAAGGCGGGCGGCAAGGGCGGGCTTGCGGCCTGAGGCATAAGTGACTGGCGGTTCCTTCTTAGCTTTGGAAAAAAGCTCATCTCGTCGAATCGCCCCCATAAGACTCGCTGGAATTATCCCTGCTTTGCCTTGGGGGGAAGGGGGTGAATCGACTTTCTCGTGATTTGCCTGGCGTGCCCGATTACACGAGGCGATAGTGCACACTGAACCCCAGGTAGGTAGCATATGGCCGTAGGCCGTGAAAACAATTGTATGAAGTGGCCGATTCAATCAACTCTGAGAAGTATTAAGCAAAGACCATCGCCCCCATTGTATCTCTCACAGCACAAGTGCAAAAGCATTGTAGAATATCAATATTCCAAGTTTATCATTATACAAAGTAACAAGAACATATAAACGATCGGTACGCGGTACCAAACATCCCCAACCCAAAAACATGAACCCTTGAATTAACACTCTCCCCATCTTTCTACCTCTATACTCTTCAAGCACACTCAACCCCTCAATTCTTCCCCGCCTTCTCCCCCACAGGCCGATTCTTCTTCGTCCACCCCCTGGAACTCGGCCCAGATTTCTCCGCATTGTGATCCGGCCCGCCCTCCGTCGGATGTCTCCAATGACTCACATCCTTATTGGCGGGACTCATGTCCAACGGATTACTTACTTTCCCTTCCCGGCGGGTCTCCTCCTGCGTGGCCTCAATCTCGCTCTCGGGCGACGTCTTCGAGGGATCATACGCCGCCGGGTGGCCGGCGACTTCGTTGTCCGTGCCGGATTTCGACACCTCAGAGCGTTGCGGGTCGAGGACCGTCCGGTCGCCGGATTTGGCCTCGGAGCTTTGGTCGTGGGTTGTTTGGAGGGCGGGGAGCGTGTGGAAGGGGCGGGGTTGAGTGAGGGTGAGGACGCTGCTGGTATGGATGGGTCGGCTGCGCTGGGCGAGGCGGCTGATGGAGGCGAGTTCTTTGAGCATCGTGCTGCTGCTGCTGTCGCTGGTCACGGTGGTAGACGCGAGGTTTACCGGAAGGGTTCTTTCAATTAGAAGTTTGAAGAAGCTCGTGTGGTAGTGTATTTGATGGTATGGTGCAGAATGACTGGGAAGCGGTTAGCTGCCTATGTTCGCGGTCGTTCAAAGTTAGGGATTGGGGTTCCTCACGCACGTTATTAGCGATGGTCTAGGTGTAAATGGTAATGAGGAGGAATGAGAGGCGCTGGATTAGAAAAGAAAACCGGGGAGAACTACTGGGTTGCTCGAGGTACTATCATCCTGACGTCATCACCTATGCCAGGGTACATCGCGGGCACGTGATCCTCTGATGTACAGTACCTGCTGCTCCCTTCGCATGGCATGGAATGACCAGTTCCCTCTAATACAGGGCTAAAGCAGGTCAGGGGCATGGGCCTCTGTTCGCCTTGTCGTGAGATGTAATAAAATAAAGGAGTGAATTCGGAGGCACGGGTGAAAAACCACAGTAGGATTTGCCATGATCGACAACCCCAGTCACAATTGGGGGAAATGGTTCTACAAGGAAGAAATAACGATAGAAGGTATCAGCAATCGCAGTACACACCCTCTTGAGAGAAACAAGAGAGATTGTACCTCCGTGTCATAGCTAGAAGAATAGGACATGTGCTCGTTTGGCCATCCCAATGAGAAACGGAAAAGTAAAGACCAGTTAGTCTCCAGACACTCTCGAACGATTGACATCAGATGAACTCAGAGCTGCCACGTCAATCATGACACACGCAGATACCGCTCCTATAGAAGCCTGGTTGCCGCAGTGCGATGGCACAGTGCTCGTGCATCCGGTCCTCAGCCCCAGATGCAAGATTCCGGGTCCATCCCGACCTGCCCAGGCAGAGCATTCACGCCAGACAGGAACCGCCTCATGGTTCAGGCTTCATCGGCATATGATGGTGCTCTATCACAAAGGCAGGGATACCTGCGGGCTAGGTCATCGATCCGACATGGTGGTCATACCCAAAACGAAAAAAAAAAAGAGAAAATAAAATAAAACAGATATGTTAGGCCAGCTGAGCCACATCAATTAGACTTGGTAGTGAGCTCGGCATCAGAAGCAACACCATGACTGCACAGTACGCAAGGCTGAAGGCCCCAAGCTTGATGGTCGTAGAGAAATACTCACAGGTGTCGACTTGCAGATGCGAGGACCCGCCCATGAGTCTTCCCTGCACGAGTCAGTTGACATGGTGTCTGGCCTTTTTCCGGGCTAGAAACGCAGCGACAGGGGTTTTTTTTAGCTGCATATACCTCCCGGCCAGCTAAAGTCTTTCATTGGATTTCGCCCAGTGACGCTATCGAATATGCTTTCGTCGATGAACCAATCCAAATTCGTAAGCCGGAAACAGTGAAAAGCGTTTTCTCACCTTAAATTCTCGAAGGGCGATTTGGCATATTCCATTTGTTGACTGCAAGAAAATGAGGGATGCGTAGATGCACAGAGGGTTTCGGTCACGTTACAATCATGAGACCCAAAAATCCCAGCAAACTGGTGCGTGTATGTGGGTCATAAAATCCAAATTCAACGTCGTAAAAAGATGAATTGAACAATATTCACGGTATATGAAAAGCGGACCTGGACAGTTGGAGCCCAAAATTGTTCTCCAGCATTCAGCACATACCAAACACCCTGGCTCGTTGGGTAAAGACGTTTTACCAACCTTATCGAGCAAAATCCTTGTTACGGAAGTGCAATCGCCACAGGCAAGGCTGGGCCAGAGACATCCGAAGTAAGACAGCCTGTGAGAGAGAGCGGAGAGGTGGCAAATCGCATCGTGGTATCCGGACGGATTATCTCTGGAGTGGCAGAACAGTTGGTTATCGGCGCTGCAATTTCATTGCGGCTGTAAGCCAGCACCGATAGTCGCTGAGTTGGCAATCAACGTCGTTCCATGAATCCGCTGCTCGAATTCTGAATGTACAGGGAACCTAGCCGGGTTGCCCGACGATCCAATGCTGTGATGAATGGACAAACGCACGAAATTATCCCATGCAATCAGGTCGAGGGATGGCCGGACAAGCGGAGATTCGGGTACACTGGCCCACTATAGGTCAATGCCGGAGAATGCACAAGAAGCCTTGCTCGAAGTCCTATGGATTCTGTACACCATCGTCTGTTCGAGAGATCCCCCCTTCATCACGAAGACCGAAATTTCGAGCACTTGGGCCAGCCGAAGCGTGCCACGTCACCGAGACTCCGAGCTTTAGTGCAGCTGCATGGGTTCAACAGTAGGTGCACCGTACCACGGTCTGTATCTGCCATGGCCGATGTACAGGTATGGCATCCTATCATATTGATCGGGCAAAGCAAGTAAATGAAGATGAACCCTGCACCCGAGCGGGGGCAAATGCGGGATTAATCGTCTGCAGATGTGGGAGATCAGCTGAAGAGAATCGGCCTTTCATGGAATATTGAGCTCATCATGCAACTGCATGTCATGTTGACTTCCGAGGACGATTCCAAGGACGCAACAGACGCCAATGGAGATCTCCTAGTGACGCGTCTTTCGCCACTAGAGGCAGAAACACTTGGTTGATAGTAGCCAGACGGATACCTGCGGAGTGCACGAGGCACTCATTGGCACGGAAGCCAGATTCCTCCGTGGACGAGTGTTTGGAATACATGGGAAAGGAAACTTGGTAGGGTTGCAACCGGGTGACGGAACCCTGACCCATTGGGCATGCTATGTGCTAGCTAGATAATTGGGAAAAAGAAACGGGAACCAGGAAGATGTTCACTCGGGCTCGTTCTGCCCTCGGCCCAAAGTCCGTATCAAAGGTTATGCTACTAGTCTTCTTCGTGTGAGAGCTAGTTGGTGGTAAGCGAATGGCCACAAGGTCATGATGGTAAGGCATCTAACAAACCAGACTGAGTGATCAGTAGAGTGATCACACCGATCCTGCACGAATTAACCGTGCTTTTTCCCTCCACTTGGGCTAGGACGCTAGGTTGCCCATGGATAGGAGAGGGAAAAAAGGTTTCGATGGTGAGACGGACGGCGTGACAGCTGGCACAAGTAAAAAAGCGGGTTTTTTTTTCTCATGCAGGAGCTTTGATTCAGTAAGCGTGAATCCTGCCTCATTCTCGAAAGAAGGCCGTAGACGAAACGAAGACGCATAGAGGAAGCGGGGATGATCGATGGAGAAACCAAGGCTGCAACGGCAATCCTAGCCAGCAAGACGAAAAGAGTTGCTATCAAATGCGGGATTTTCAGGTGCGCAACCTGAATCAGGATAGATGATACTGCCACGACATCAAGATGCATGCATTCGTGTGAAGCATCCACCGATTACAGGCAACCCAAATAGGAAGGGTGTGGATAATTTGTGTCTCCACTGCTGGGAAATCCCAGCATAGCCAACCGGAAAAGCACTGGACCAAAGCGATGTGAATTTGATGACAGATTGCCATAGTCGATAAGCCATCGTATGTTGGAGGGGCTGATCGACAGTTGATGGGCATAGGACGAGAGGTGCCTGAACTGGGACATGCAAGTTTCTTGCGAAACATAAATAAGACCCCCGGGCCTTCCACTCAATGGAATCTGGATCATTAACCGTTTCAGACTCATCGTCTTTGGGAAGAATCGCAAGAGATCAAGCATTGTTTGTGGTCAAAAGCGTTTCATTTTGAGAAGCCCATCAATCTTCCATAGGCCTCGTGCAAGCTTAGCCTATCAAATCTCTGCAGCGCGGCAGGAGCATTCAACAGAGCCAATAGAACCTGAGATCGAGAGGTGAAACAACGAACTGCATCAGCAAGTGAGTTTGAACATGACCCTGACCAGAGCTTTGCTGACGGGTATGATAGGCATGTGTTTCTACAACCAAAAGAAATTCATATGTGACGACTGGTGTTGGACGACTTTTGCTCACCGTTGCAATTACGAGTACCGCACTGGAGAGACCTGCGGTATACGGCTCGTCAATTTGACCGAGTACGAGAAGACGAAATGCCGCCTCTGCGAAAAGATCGAAACCAAGTACCGGCGGCGAAGCGCCGAGGTTGAGCGGTTGACCCGGTGGAGGCAGGAGGGAGGCACCCTTGTAGCATCCATGGACCGGTCACAGAAACTCATAATGGAGCTGGAGAAGGAAATCCGCCAGCTGCAACGGGAGCGCGACGACAGGAAAAATACGCTGAACGGTTGAGAAAAGTATTGACTCGGCCATGCCTTGGGCCACTTGCTGTTCTGTTCTTCTGGATTTTGGATTCCCACCTTGGCTCGTTTTCTTTCGGTTTCAACCTGTGTTCCTGTTCGTTAATTTTGTGTCTCACAACCAATGTGTCACTTGGCTCCTTTCTTGTATGGTCGGTCATCTTCGACCGGACTTGCTTTCTTCAGGCTAGACCCGTGAATTGGTTGGAGGAAAAGTCTGGGTCAATGAGACGCCGCTGGCGAGAAATTATGAGATCCAATGAAATGCTTTCATTTCTGAAAATCTGGCCTTTTGGGGTGGCATTTGCGAGAAGGAGTTCCACATCATAAGCGCCTATGTTCGTGACGAGCGGCTCGCCAGGACAAGGATGAGACCGCCTCCCTGGTGCCATTGAGGCAGACGTAGGAGTCATTGCGGGAGCAGGTCTGAGGGATTCTGGGGTGCACATATTCAGGGACCCGGCTCAGGGTCAAGAAGACCCGACAAACTCATTGTTGTTGAGAGTAGGTGCTGGCGAGTCTTGAGATGGGGGGATCTGGATCCTGGAGAAGTACATACCCCGCGTTTCGGCGGTCCCCGCACGTGACGACCGACCTCTCTTCATCCGGTTAGGCGCCGTCTTCCCATCCAGACCGGCTGGACAGGAGAGGACCATCAGGATATCCCGGGAGAGCTCTGCTACCGCTTCATGTTGGATGGCTTTTGGGCATACTTACGGTCCTTCTGTGCTCTTACTCTGTCTGCCCTGTTGTTTCCGGTCACAAGCAGTGCTGGATTCGATCAAAGTCATGCGGTAACGGAGTTCAAAGAGACATATCGTAGCCAGTCATCGGACATTTCTGTGACGGCGACAATGGAGATGTTGCGAGCAAAAGACTACTACTTTTGTCTCCTGGGGTTTCCTGTATGTATATATATATACCGACCCTCCCAATCTGATTTCAACTCCGAAACATTCAGCATCTGTTCAAGCGCCGAGGATGCTTGAGGGTTTTTCAAGAACTACGTGGACCATTCATCTGCAATGCTCAGTGACGAATTCGATTGAATTCGGGCCAGAGACGCGAGGGTCAACATGCAATAATGAATTTTCCGGTGCTCAAATCGACATCGCCGCTTGCCACGTCACCCATGGACAACGTCAGTTGCGCTTCAGATGCAGCTGTTGGGCCTTACCCGCCTCGTGAGTAATTTCCCCGGCCGGTTCGAGCAGCTTACATACAAGCAGAGTATGAGGGATCTACATCATCTTCCAGGGACACAGGCGTCGCCGAAAACAAATGGGATTATTCTGATGAAATAGCGGGAAGGGGTCGTTTTCTCATTTATTTGATCTCGCCAGCCTCGGGCTCGTCATCCACCTTGGCCAACCCATGCTCCTTCAACAAAGCGTTGATCTCGTCGGCATTCCACAGATGGTGGTAGATGTGGCCGTCTGCCGTCCTGCCCACCGTGGCGAATTCAACTGGAAGAGCGGACGTTCCCGTTAGCGTATGCTGCAGTACAATGGTGCGGGTAATACGAGGACATATCCCCGCGAGGGCGACTTACTCTTTTCACTGCTCAGCTTGGTGGAGTCCATCGTCTTGCTGAGAACCTTGACGGCCATGGCGCAGGCTTCCTTCAGGTCACAGTCCTCCTTGTAATCTTGCTTGAGCAGACTCTGGGCGCTTGCGTTGTTGGCACCCACACTGGTGGCCTTCCAGCCACCGTAGTTACCACTGGGGTTGCTCTGGTACAACTGGAACTGCCGAAGAGGGTCGTAACCGGCGTAGATGAACGATACACCGAACGGACGGAGACCACCATGCTGGGTGTATCCCTGTTTCAGATCACACAGGCGACGGACCAGTTGCTCGCAAGGGATCTCTTCGTTGTAGGTGAGAAGGTACCGCTGGGCGGCTTGTCGGGCATAATTGATAAGGATGTTCGCGTCTGCCGTCATACCAGCAACAGCACAGATCATGTTGCTGCCCAAGGGGTTAGTTCCAGGGCACACAGGATTTGGGTGATTCGTCGGGAGAGGAGGGAGGGGGGGGCGGCTGAGATGCATACTCATTCAGCGTGTAAAGCTTCTCCGCCGATGTGTCCTGCTCCAGCAGCTTGCTAGTGACCTTCTTCTCCGCCGCGAGGACGATTCCATCCTTGGCCAAAATTCCTAGAGCCGTACCGGCGTGCGAGATAGCCTCTAGCGCATATTCCACCTGGTAGAGTCGACCTTCGGGGGAGAAGATGGTTGTCTGTCGACGAACGTCATCGGGTTAGCTCAAGCTACCTAGGGAACGGAATTGAGGGGACCAGCGTACTCTGGAATCGTATCTCCGTGACATCTTGAATGCGACGTATTTTCAGAAGGGAAAATTAAAGGACGGACTTGTTGAGAGGAAAGGTCCGACCGAAGGGGGGACTGGAGGATGAGGGATGGGGTTCGGGGCAAGCTGTGCAGGAAGGTCGGCTGAGCTGCCGATGAGTGAGAGAGTGAGTGAAGTGACCAGGCAACTTCGCCCTGGCGCGTCAGTCCGTCAGTCCGCCAAGCTCGGACCACCCCGACCCTCCATGCAGCTCGCGGCCGGCGCAAACCCGCACCGGAAATCCTACTTGAGATCCTGCTTCATCTTGTCTTCTGACCGAGTCCGCGCGCATTTTCGCGAGTTTTTATTTCCGTGATCACAATGCTAAAGTCCACCTATACCCCACCTCCTCCGCTGCCGCCAGGATGGTCCGAGCATAAAGCTCCTACAGGTTCGAATCACCGGTGCTCTGGATCTTTAGAGGGTCCTGGCTAATCAATCGCAGGCCACACCTACTACTACAACTCGCAAACCAAACAATCCACATATACCAGACCTCAAGCCGTCCCTACACCACCTCCCGCGTCCACACCGGCACCCGAACCCGCACCATTTCTTTCTGCAGACACATTACCCCCCTTCTCCTCGACACCCTACGCCCCTCATGGTTTTGGTTTTGGCGCCGCATCCCATGGAGCGCCGCAGGATGGCCATTCCCGCGGTGGGTTTCGTGGCGGGAGGGGATACCACGACCGTAAACATCGGGGACCAGAGGATAGGCCGAAAACGAAACATGACATTCCTGGCTGCGTGCCATGGGTACTTGTGAAGACCAAACTGGGGAGAAGATTCGTTTACAACCCGGAAACAGATGAGAGCTTCTGGAGGATTCCCCCGGAAGTTTTGAAAGGCGTCGTCGAGTATGATCGCCTGGAGAGAGAGGCCAGAGAGAGGAAAGCGCGGGGCGAAGAGCCTGAAGACGCTAAGAAACCCCAGCCTGAGCCTGAACCTGAGCAGTCTTCCAGACAACAGGCAAGAGAAGGAGAAACACCTGGTGCCGCTGCGAGGCACGGAGAAGATAGCGATGAGTATGAAGAGGTGGAAGTCACGGACAGCGAGGGGGAGGAAGACCATCCTTTCAAACGGCCAAGGACTGAAGATGGAGATGAGCAGCCCATGGAGTTTACCGAGGAGGATATCGAATATCAATTGGCCGCAATGGGAGAAGAGTACGGCCTCGACCCGGGCGAATACGGCGAACCAGGTGATGAGGAGTGGGAGGAGGGCGCAGAGGGTCTTCCGCTCACTGAGGCCGACGCCACAGCTCTGTTCCGCGACCTTCTCGACGACTACCACATCAATCCGTATTCAACATGGGAGAAGATTATCGAGGAAGGCCGCATCATTGATGACTCCCGCTACACTGTGCTTCCGAATATGAAAGCGCGCCGAGATGTATGGACGAACTGGACTCGCGACCGGATCCAAGAACTCAGGGAACGCAAAGAAAAGCAAGAGAAGCAAGACCCGCGCATCAAATATCTCGCCTTTCTCCAGGAATACGCAACCCCGAAGCTGTATTGGCCGGAGTTCAAGCGCAAGTACAGGAAGGAGCCAGAGATGAAAGACTCCCAATTAACAGACAAAGATCGCGAGAAGTACTATCGTGACCTGGTTTCCCGTTTAAAACAACCCGAGAGTACACGGAAGTCCGACCTTTCATCTCTGTTGAGGTCCGTGCCCCTGCACGAATTGAATCGATCATCCAGCCTCGAAGCTCTCCCTTCCAGCATTGTCACGGATCTCAGATATGTCGCTGTTCCGCTCAAACTGCGCGATCCGCTCATCGAGGCCTACATCTCAACCCTGCCTGCTGCGCCAGAAAGCGAAATGACGGCAGAAGAAAGGGAGGAGCTGGAGAGGAAGAGGGTCGAGCGTGAGAGACGTGAGAAGGCGCTGGCAGAACGAGAGAAACAAGTACAAGAGGACAAGCGGAAACAGAGAGGCGATCTTGTCCGTGGAAGGCATCTCTTGAGAGAAGGGGAGGCGGAGATCGAAGCGGCCATGAGGGTCAATAAGGGCGGACTCCGAAGCTATATGGAGGCGGAAACTGAGCCCTCCAAGGGCGAAGACGAAAACGCTAACTAAAGCCTGAACGCCCTACCACACAACCCATGTGACTTATAGATAGTGTACTCATGATTGAAAATGACTGTAAAAATACATGCTTATGCTGTCTGATTAATCTGGTTTACAATCTTGCCCGCGTAGGGTCCTCACAATAGATAATGTTAGGGTACAATATTTCGCTCCCAGAGAAACACAACACGAGACACCACACCACCGACGCTGCCCAAAGAGGTACTGTGGCCCGTGAAGAGAATTAATAGCACTGTCGTGATTTCACATAGCTTATGGGGTATCACTGTAAGTAAGAAGAGTCCCGGACCTCCCTGTTATGAATTGACGCCTTTTGTTTTCCACATCCGATGTTTTACCCCGTAAAAACTTCATTTAAATCTCCAATTATCCCAGTCGTCGTCATAGTCATCATCGTCGTCCTCGTCGTCTTCATCGTCATTGTTTTTGTTGCTTTCCGCGTGATTGTGTTGGTCCTCTGATGGGACAACCGCAGGAGACTCGTCCATTTCGTGTGTCCCTGGATCCTCCGCGGTTTTCATTTTCCGTAGCTCCTCCCGCATGTGCTTGAGGCGTCGGACTCGTTCCTCCAGCTGTTCCATTTCGTCGAACTCGTCTTCTAGCAGCCGCGCCGCATCCTCCCGTTCGCCTTCCGCCTCGGCTTCCCGCCCTTTCTTCATCGATTCGTGCTCTTTCGCTTGTTGCGCGGCGAGCTCCTCCGCGGTGACAGGCGCTGCTGATATGGTCGCTTCCGCTGAGAGCGCAGCGGGCCTATGTGGCATGCGGGTGGGGGCCACCACGTCGCGTTCGAAAGCGGCCCATTCGTCCTCATCGACGGTCTGGGTCTTCTCGGTGGGCTGTTCGGAAGCTACAGGGGGCATTTCGGACGGCTGCGCGGTCGCATCCGCCGGTTCCTGCTCACGAGTCGTGTCTGGCGGAAGTTCCGGTCCGGCGATATCTTGTTCTGTTTCCTCTATGTCTTCCTCCTCCTCCTCCTCGATGGCTCGCGCACTGGGTGGCTGTACGGTATGCGGTGATGATTGGCCGGACGGTGTACTCGTAGATCTCATCCTCTTGCGCATCAGGTCGTCGGCCGGGTCTACCTTGCGCTTCTTCGTGACACGGTTCCCAGAGCTCCCTGTCTGGGATGAACCCTTGCGGGCAGCGAGCTCACTCCGAAGTAATGATCGAACATCTGCCATGATATGAACGGAGCAAGAGAGATTTGAAAGGATAGTTGGTATTAGATGCGCAGGTCCTATCGGACAGTTGGATACAGGCAGGGTTCGTGAAAAGTCAAGTCAAACGGTCTATGTGGGGGGAGGGGGGGGATCTGGAGAAAGCTTTCCAGGGCGCCGAAAAATAGACGCGACGAGAAGAGGCGAGGCGACCTGCTTGCCTGGCGCCGGCGCTGGCGCTGGCGCCCGCCAAGCCCGCCGCGGAGCCGCAGTCACGTGCAGCCTGAGTCAGCATCCCGGACCGAGCGCGACAACGTCTCCTCTCCTCTCCTTCTCTTCCCACCATCTGTCTTCTTCTTCATCTCCCCACGCCGTCGCTGAACGTCGCTGGACCCCAGTTTTATCTCCTGTTGCTCCCGAGAGCCCTTCTCGCGACACTCCTACCGCAGTTTCTCGATCTTCTCGGGGCCTCGCCGTTCAGACTCAGCGCAGTCCACACGCGACCCCGCTTACGCCAAGCATTCACGCTGCGCGCGACGCATTCAACGAGACACAAGCTCCCACGGTCGGCGCCCACCACCCGCGACCACGCGTTGTGTCTAAATATAATCCCCTGGAGTGGAAAGAGGACAAAGTAATACTTGCGCGGACTGGGCCCAAAGAGAGTCACTTTTCCAGAGCCTTCCTCTGTGTATTACTTTAGCCCGTCTGATGCCGTAGAACGAGATTTGGGTGGCGTGCGCAATTCTTTCCTGGGCCTTCTTTTTTTACCCCCCCCTCCAAATCCCCCTCACTCCCTCAACATCATCTATTCGGATCTTTCAACCCTCCCCTCAACATCGCGCCCGTAGAAATTTGAAATCTTGCCTCAGTTATATACTCCCATCATGGCCGGTAAGCTATAGTATACCAACCAAAGTTTGCGACCCAAGGTCCACGCCACACGTGGTGTGGCGAACTGGGAAAGCTCACTTCACCCCCTCTGACGGACAGAAAAAGCTAATTGCGATCCCAGACGAACCAAGACGCTCCGGCCGCTCGACCAAAGGGCAACACAAGAACCTGGATATGATCACCGAGACTCCTTCGAAAAAGACGAAAGTCAAAGCTCAGCCGAAAGAGAAATCCGCGAAACCCTCCGTGGAGCCCACGCCTGCTCCCAGCGAAGAAGAAGAGATCATCCGATGCATCTGTGGCGAATATGAAGAGGAGGAAGATGTCGAGCGCGATATGATCTGCTGCGACCGGTGCTCTGCCTGGCAACACAATGACTGCATGGGCTTGACGTTCGTCAAGGGTGAGGAACCCGACGAATACTTCTGTGAACTTTGTAAGCCCGAGAACCACAAAGTCCTCCTGGAGAAGATTGCGCAGGGTGAAAAGCCGTGGGAAGAGGTCGCCGAAAGGAGACGCAAGGAAGCTGAGGAGAAGAAGGCGTCTCGGCGCAGAAAGAGCAAGAAGGGTGGCAGAAGAGGTAGACCGAGCGAGTCCAAGTTTGCTGAACCCAAAGTCAGCGAATCTAAGACGAGCGAGCGCAAGACGAGTGAGCCCAAGACAAGTGAGCCCAGGGCGAGCGAACCCAGGGCGAGCGAGCCCAAGACGAGTGAGCGAAAAGCGAGCGAGCCAACGAGAGACACAAGCACACCTACTCGCGCAGCCACTTCTACAACACCTGCCCCTGCCCCTACTGCCACGCCCGAGGCCCCTGCCCCTGCCCCTGCTGAACCTACTCAGCCTGAACCTACTCAGTCTCCGGCTCCTGAAAAGAATGGCCATGAACACCAGGAGCCTGAGCCCGAGGCGCAATCCACAAGCGCCCAAAAGCGCAAGTTTGATGAGCACCAGGATGTGCAAGCCCCCGAACCGGTGAGCTTTTATACCATGCGCTTCTTATCCAGTTATCTGCTAACACTCACTGCCCAGGGCCCGAAAACGAAACAGCAAAAGATCTCACCACCGGCACCTGCGGCTCCTCCGTCTGCTCCTGCTGCCCCGGATGCTAAGCCAGCTCCAGTAAAGAACGAGCCCATTGTGCAGCCTCCCCGGCAAAGCTCCACCGCGGGAATAGTGGCCGACGAGGTCCCGAAAACCATAGAAGAGCTCACGACGCCAGCTCGGAAGGGTGTTGCCAGTGCTCTGGTCAAGTTATTAGTAGATCAGATTTCTGAGGCCCAGAAGCGAGGATCTTTCAACTTGCCCGAAAGGAAGTCGGCGAAGGATTTTGCTCGGCAGCTTGCTCTCTCCATCGAGAGTGCTATGTATCAGAATATATGCGGAGGATCTGGAGAGCCCACAGAGCCGTATAGGTTACAATTGCGGACGATCTTGTTCAACGTAAAGAAGAACCCTTCTCTACGGGACCGTCTGCTCGTAGGTAGTTTACTTCCTGATACCCTCTCTAAGATGAGCTCCCAAGACATGGCAAGTGAGGAACTGCAGCAGAAGGATGCGGAAATCAAGCGGGAGGCCGAACGGCAGCATATCATCGTGCAGGACCAAGGGCCTCGCATTAGACGGACCCATAAGGGCGAAGAGTTGGTGGAAGACGATAACCAGAACGTCGCCAGCGAGCCCGTCTTCTCGACGGCAGCGGCGCGACGCAGCCTGGCCGATGCTGAGGGCAGTCCTGGCCAGAGCCCGACGACGCCTGGGCCGCCGTCTGAAGCCGATGGCCTTCGCAAGTCATCCAAGTCGCAGGCTGGCGATGCGAGGATCGCCGACGGAGTCACTCACCATGACCACTTCCCTTCACGGGCCCATTCACCTGGAGGCACCAGTCACGAGCAGGTGTTCCCCGAAGTCTCAGCTCACATCCGCGAACAGCTGCCGGCTCGCAGGGCGCAGGCCGATGCTGAGATCGATCAACTCCTGCGAGACGACGAACCGGACTCGCCGCCCTACTCGCCCAAGGAATTCCACGACGAAGCAAGCATCTGGCATGGCAAGGTGGTCATGAGCCCCATCGCCGAGTTCTCGTCCTACGCAAAGCATGTGGGAGGAGCCGACCTGAGTGGGAGAATCCCGTGGAGCCAACTTGTTCCCTCGACGCTGCTGATCGATGGACGGATAGACATCGAACTGGCAAGCAACTACCTCTGCGGTCTACGCTTCAGCTCCTCCACCGATGTCACAGTCGTCTCCATCAGCCGCCCCGAGTCGCCCAAAGAGCGGCTAGGCTTCGACAAACTGTTCAGCTACTTCCAGGATCGCAAGAGATACGGTGTCAGTGGCAAGCACCCGTTACCAGCAGTCAAGGACACGTATCTCATCCCCATCGAGGCCGGTTCCACCAAGAAGCCAGAGTTCATCGAGCTCCTGGAGAACAACGCCCTCGAGGATCCAGCACCCGAGCGTGTCCTCCTCGTCGTCTTTGCCGTCAAGACGGGGGACTCGAACCCCCCATCCGTCCAACCTCCCTCACACAACCCCAGCCAGGAGCTCGGTGCCTCTGCCAGTCCGTTGACTGCCGTCGCGCCCACTCCTCACCAGCCGCAGTTCATGACCCCGGGGCCGCCGCACGCCTCCCAGTTCTCCCCAGCCCCAGCCTCATTCGACGGAGCAGCTCAAGTGCCTATTCCATATGGACAACAATCTCAGCAACAAGGACAACCCGACGGACCGATCCTCACCGGTCTTGCTGCAGCAGTGCAGGTGCTGGGTCCCCAGCAAGCTCATTCCCCTGCCATCCAGCAACTCCTGCGCCAGGCGCCCAATGCGGATGTCTCCCAGTTGAGCGTGGTCCGGGACATCCTGGTACGGCGACCCGAGGCAGGCTCCGACTACAAGATGTTGACGGATGAGTTGTACGTGGCCACTACGACGAATGGTCACGGCCCACAGCAGAATGCAGGGTAGTAGAATGGTCCCCAACACTGCTGTATAGTACATCTATCTTCTTCTTCTTCTTCTTCTTCTTCTTCTTCTTCTGCCTTCTTCAATTATCATTTTTTCTTGTTTGCACTTTTTATTCTCTTTTGGGCTTGGTGTCTTATTCACTCTGCTACTTCCTTTTGCCGGGAAAGGTTTAAAATGGGTATTGGGCGATCACGGATATCTCTCTGCTTTTTTTGTTTTCTTCTTCTTTCTTCTTTTTCTGCCAGAAACGCGGGCTTTTGAACCCAGCGATGGTCTGCTTGATTCAACCCATCATGTCACCTCTCTTGCCTTTCGACTACTATCTACTATCTACTCTGTCGCATGCCATTCACCATGCATTGACCTTTGTAGGCTAAAATGAACACGATGTTCCATTCATATTCTCCTCCTACTTGAAATGCCCTGCTGTATGTGGATCAACTCCAGACCCAAGGTAGTATAGTACGAGACGAGACCTCGTAAGACGAAGAGCAAGCAAACAGCTGCGTAGAGTCGGCCGTACGTAATTAGCTTTTTAACCCGTAAGACATCCTGGGTGGTAGTAATAGAAACGCCTGCGCTATGCAACCCCAGAGACAGAATACAGCATGATAGAATCGAAAACCCTCAAGAAACAAGACGCTCTCCTTCTCCCCTCGTCACGTTCACCACCGACCACGCCTCTTATAACCGCCGCCGCCATACCGACCCCGTCCACCGCCCGAGCGCCCACCCCAACCACCGTCGTCCTCGTCGTGGTGACGGATCGGCGGGGGCCGTCCCTTGAGTTCCTCGCTGAGCTTCTTGAACGTCTTGCGCATATCCGAGTATCCCATGTGCATCTTTCCGAAGAAGTGGTCCGCCAGCCGACGATCGTTGTCCAGACGACTCAGGTACGCGCCGCAGACATCGCACACCTGCAGCTTCTGGTGGCCCGACGGGCCGGAGGTATCTTGGAGGTTCTTCAGGTCGCGTTCGCAGGTCTCCTTCTGGTGCTTGGCGGTGCGGACCTTGTGCAGTTCGTGGAGCGCTTGAGCGACGGAGCCGGTTTCACCCAGCACGGAGATCTCGAGGAGGCCGGAGTTGATCGTTTTCGTCAGGTCCGAGATTTGTTTTAGCTACAGGATGGACACGTTCGCTGTTAGACTTGTCTCTTCTAGTGGAGCGTGGCGGGGAGGCTAGCTAGCTACAATGGCTATCCATGAGCTTTGCTGGGCTTGGCTTCGCTTACCAGGTTGTTCGTCTGTCGGATCTCATCCGGAGTCTTTTCCAATCGGCGCTGCGCGGAGTCAATCCGTCGGTCACAGTCCTCAATGTACTTCTGCATATCGCGCATGTAGTCGTAGTCGAACCCCCATTTGGCCTTCTCCGCGCCGCCGGCGGTCTCGTATTCGGTCTTCAATCCTTCGCTGTGGACCTTCGGACACTGACCCAGGTCCTGCTTGGTATTGGTGAAGAGGTCATGCGGACAGGTGCCGACGAGGTATGAGCGGCAGACTTTGGGGTCGGTGATCTGGAGCTGCGCGTTGCGAGACTGGGCACCAAAGCCTACGAGCTGGTCCGCTGCAGAGAAAGAAAGATTTGGATTAGCTACCGGTCTGGAGCTTGGGGGAGGCGGGGGAGGCGTTAGGAAGGGGGGGGGCATTTACCTCCCATGAGCTGCTCGAGCAGCTTTCTCTGTTCCGCCGCCATGATAGGATGTTGCCAGGACAGGAATGGGAGGGTGGGGAGCAGGAATGGTCAGAGCGTAACGTGAGGGATTGATGGAGATTGCGATGGCGAGTCGAGATTCTGCGGGCGTCGCGCTAACCGCGGTTGGCGGGCGCTTATGTGAGCCCCTGTCATCCCATCCCGCATCCTCTTGCGGAGTACGTCCTGGACTGTCCTTGACTCCTCCGTCCATTTCGATGCTGTCATGTCATGGCCTGGCATCTTTGACCTTTGATCCAAATACAATCGTCGCGAGGCCCCGCCAGCCGCGTTTCTGCTCTCCCTCCCCGTCTCGCCGAATCGAACTGTTCTTCTCCGCCGTTCGGAGCTCTGGACAACATTCCCCGTGGGCCGTGCATGGCTAGCTGGCGGTGGACGATATTCAGTCCTATAACTACTCAACAGTCTGAAGGGTCCGCGTTGGCAAGCATGACGTGATGACGGTCCTCTCTTCTCTCGCTTTGCTCTTCCTTGTCGCGCTCTCCTCGCTCACCTCCGCGACATCGGACTACCACGAGAGCCTCATCCTCCAACCACTCCCGCAATCATCCCTACTAGCATCCTTCAACTTCCGAAGCAATGAGACCCAGGAGTCCTTTGATGAGCGACACTTCCGCTACTTTCCCCGCGCACTAGGCCAGATCCTCCGCCACGCGAACACAAAGGAGCTCCATCTCCGATTCACCACGGGGAGATGGGACGCTGAGAGCTGGGGCCCTCGCCCGTGGAATGGAACCAAGGAGGGTAGTACTGGGGTGGAGCTGTGGGCATGGATTGATGCTCCCGATGACGAAGCGTATGTGTGATTCAAATGGAGAAAGCAACTGCAGATGGGACATGGTACTGATGTCCACCAGGGCTTTCGCGAAATGGATCACCTTGACGCAGTCCCTCTCCGGGCTGTTCTGCGCGTCGCTGAATTTCATCGACTCGACCCGAACCACCCGACCCGTTGCCTCGTTTGAACTGATGGGAGACCACTCGGCTTCTAGTAACCTTCACCTCCTGCACGGAACGCTTCCCGGAGAGGTGGTCTGCACGGAGAACCTGACACCGTTTTTGAAGCTCCTTCCGTGCAAGGGCAAGGCTGGTGTTGCGAGCCTTCTTGATGGACACAAGCTGTTTGATGCCTCTTGGCAGAGTATGTCGGTGGACGTGAGCCCCGTTTGTCCTCATCCGGATGAATGTTCCGTGCAGATCGACCAGACAGTGGACATCGTGCTTGATATCGACCGGTCGAAGCGGCCCCGGGGTGAGTTTGGGAATGGCTAGGGAGTTCGTCACACTGTACTGATGATGGCTTTAGACAACCCAATTCCCCGACCAGTGCCTGCTGACCAGCTCGCGTGCGACACGTCCAAACCCTACCACTCCGACGATACCTGCTATCCGCTGGAAAGCACTGCCGAAAAGAGCTGGAGCTTGACGGATATCTTCGGACGGACTATCAGCGGCGCTTGCCCCCTCGCCGACGATCATGCTCACGAAGACCCAGTCTGCCTACGAGTGCCGCATGAGCGCGAAGTACATGTCGCTCCCGGCGCAGTGGAGACCAAGAAGTCGGACGGCTTCACCCGTTGCTTCACTCTCCAGCCTTCTACACCGTTCGACCTCACCATCCCTGAACAGGAGGCTACGACACAGGTTCCACTCGAGGAACCTGTTCTGCGCGCAGAGAGGACAATTGTCGGCAATGGCCAAGAGCGGGGCGGCATGCGAATCATCTTCGACAACCCCTCTGACACCAACGCGGTCGATTTCATCTACTTCGAGACTCTCCCGTGGTTCCTCCGACCCTTTGTCCACACCTTACAGGCGACGATTACAGGACGCGACGGGGTACGTCGACAGGTCCCCGCTTCGGAATTCATCAAAGAATCCTTCTACAAGCCCGCAATCGACCGAGAACGCGGAACCCAGCTGGAACTTGCCCTATCAGTCCCCGCCGCTTCGACAGTGACGCTCACATACGATTTCGAGAAAGCCATCCTGCGGTACACAGAGTACCCGCCAGACGCGAACCGGGGCTTCAACGTCGCCCCAGCCGTGATCAAGATGGGTTCCCATGACGGCCAGAACAACCACCCGATCTACATCCGCACCACCAGTCTTCTCCTCCAACTCCCCACCCCGGACTTCAGCATGCCCTACAACGTGATCATCCTCACCAGCACCGTGATCGCCCTCGCATTCGGCAGCATCTTCAACCTCCTCGTCCGCCGCTTCGTCACTGCCGACGAAGCATCCGCGCTCCTGGCGCAGACCGTCAAGGGCCGCCTCTCGGGCAAGATAATAGCCATCCGCGACAAGATAAAAGGAAAGTCGGCCAAGACAGAATAGAATCCCACCTTTTGCATATACATTACAAGTACGAGACTTTTACAGATTACAGCGATGAATTGATAGACATTCTTGAACCGAAAGGGAAACCCACCTATTCCCCACTTCTTCTTCCCACTCAACCCATACATTATCATACCATCATACCATACCAATTTAACAAATTCAAATTCAAATGCTCATTCTCATCACAGCAGCCCCCCCCCCCCCCTCCCCTCTACCTTTCTTCCATTCCTAAACTATCCTTAATCCTTAATAGCATTCCCAAATCTACTCCGGATATAAACTAAACACCCCCAACAAAACCACCGTCATCGTGATCAGTCAGCCCCATCCTCACAGGGGAACAGAAGCGACAAACAGCACAGCACAGCACAGCACAGCAAACAATCGCAACGAATCGCAAAAGAAATCCAATCAATCAGATTCGCGTGAGTTGAGTGTTGCTTACAATCCCAACTTATCCTTCATCACCGACCAACCCGGCAACGTATCCGACTCTCCGGGCTTCTCGGCCGCGAAACTGTGATCCTCGGTGGCGCACGACCCCTGCTCTTCGCCGTGGCCTTCGTCCCACCGGCTCATGAACTTCTTTTCCGCGGCGCCTTTTTGTGCGGCAATTTGTTGGAATTCGGGGGGGGTGAGGACTTCGGACTGTGTGTCATACGGGGGGTATTAGTTTGGGGATTTGGGGGGTGCTGTGACGGGGGGTGATGGTGGTGGTGATGGTGGTGGTGAGGGTTGGATTTGGACTGCTTCACGTACAGGAATCTGATCCTTGCCGCCGACGTTGGAGGGTGGGACGCGGTCTTGGGACATTTTGATTTTGATTAATTATTTGACTGATTCACGGACGAACTGTGGTGTGTTTGATAGAGTAATTGCTTCTAGACAGACGACAGACGCACAGGTTAGTTTCAAGGTTGGTATATAGATCGGGTATATATGTATATGCACTTCAGTCGGACAGTAGGAGATTGCAATGAGATGGATATTGATTTTGTTTACACTTACCTCGAAGGATATCCAGTATGAGAGAGAAAATAGGCTATATGGTATAACACCACCCCCTGATTCCGAGACCGAACCTACTTACTTTATATACCTGGACGACCCGACTCGGTGATATCATCATGAACAAATGTCAGAGAACGTGGACTGTGATTGGTCTATTGTTGCCACTCGGCTTAGTCGGTTGCACAGTCATCCGTGGATCAGATGCTGATATGATATAACTAGATTTACAGATAGAAGATTGTTCTATCTCTGGCTTACTAAAAATAGAATATTATTATTCTGTCTTTAATTAAGTAAGTATATAAATTAATAAATAGAGTGGCTTAACCTGATTATTATATCTTAACCTTAATCTGGCCATAATCTGACAGTCAGATTAAGATATAAAAAATTTTTAATTATATAGTTAAAATCAGATTAAGATATAATTATTATTTTAATTATTTATATTTATTAGTTAGAAAACTCAGATATAATAGATAGATTAATAATTATAGATTAATTTATAATATATATATTCTTTTTATATAGATAATATAGAAAGTATAATATTATAATATATATTTAATTATAATATAATAATATTTTTTAGATATAGTCTATTATTTAATCTGCTTAATTAATTATTTTAAGAAATATATTATATTCTAAAAAAGACTTTTATAAAATCTAATATTAAAAAAATAAAAAAAAATATAGAATATTTATATTTTATTCTTTATATTATTTAGAATAATAATTATAATAATATAAAAATTATAAAAATTAGATCTCTATCTTTATTTAAGTATATATAATAATTAAAAACTTAAATAAGACTAGTTTCTTTAATTCTAATAATAATCTATTCTTTTAATTATTTTTAAAATTATTTATATTTTTATTCTTATTAATATAAAAAATAATAATTATCTTATTTCTTTTTTATTTTTTAAATATAAAAATAATTAAATTTATATTAAGATTATTAAATATATTCTAATATTTTTTATTTATAATAAAGTAATTAATATATATTTAAAATATAATTATTTTAATTATATTAGAAATTAGAATAAAGACAGCTCTGATAATAATAATAGATATTTTAAGAATTATTAAAAAAATATTTAATATTAATATTATTAATTATAATTAAAAAGCTTTTTTAATTATTTAATAAAAAATAGAAAACTAATTATAGCAGAATTTTTAGTAAATAAAAATATTAATATATTTTATAATATTTAGAATTATATTAGTTTAATTAAAGATAGAGTGGCTTAACCTGACTGTTATATCTTAATCTTAATCTGATCATAACCTGATAATTAGATTAAGATATAAAAAATTTTTAACTATATAATTAAGATTAGATTAAGATATAATTATTATTATAATTATTTATATCTATTAATTAAAAAAATCAGATATAGCAGATAGATTAATAATTATAGATTAATTTATAATATATATATTCTTCTTATATAAATAATATATAAAGTATAATATATATTTAATTATAGTATAAATATAATAATATTCTTTAGATATAGTCTACTGCTTAATCTGCTTAATTAATTATTTTAAAAAATATATTATACTCTAAAAAAAATTTTTATAGAATCTAATATAAAAGAAATTAAAAAAAATATAAAATATTTATTTTTTATATTATTCAGAATAGTAATTATAATAATATAGAAATTATAAAGATTAGATCTTTATCTTTATCTAAGTATATATAATAATTAAAGACTTAAATAAGACTAGTTCTTTTAATTAGAGTGGCTTAACCTGACTGTTATATCTTAACCTTAACCTGGCCATAATCTGGTGATTAGATTAAGATATAAAAAATTTTTAATTATATAGTTAAGATTAGATTAAGATATAATTATTATTATAACTATTTATATCTGCTAATTAAAAAAATTAAATATAGTAGATAGATTAATAACTACAGATTAATTTATAATATATATATATTTCTTATATAGATAATATATAAAATATAATATATATTTAATTATAATATAAATATAATAATATTCTTATTTTTTTAGATATAATCTACTGTTTAATCTGCTTAATTAATTATTTTGGTTTTTTAAGAAATATATTATACTCTGAAAAAAACTTTTATAAAATCTAATATAAAAAAAATAAAAAAAAATATAAAATATTTATTTTTTATATTATTCAGAATAATAATTATAATAATATAGAAATTATAAAAACTGGATCTTTATCTCTATCTAAATATATATAATAATCAAAGACTTAGATAAAACTAATTCTTTTAATTTTAATAATAATCTATTCTCTGAATTATCTTTAAGATTATTTATATTTTTATTTTTATTAATATAAAAAATAATAATTATCTTATTCTTCTCTTACTTCTTAAATATAAAAATAATTAAATCTAAATTAAGATTATTAAGTATTTTCTAATATTTCTTACTTATAATAAAATAATTAATATATATTTAAAATATAATTATTTTAATTATATTAAAATTAAGATAATTTCAGCAATAGTAGCAAATATCTTAAAAATTATTAAAAAAATATTTAATATTAATATTATTAATTATAATTAAGAGAAAATCTCTAATTATTTAATAAAAAATAGAAAATTAATTATAGCAGAACTTTTAATAAGTAAGAATATTAATATATTTTATAATATTTAAAATTATATTAATTTAATTAAAGATATCTTAAGAAATTATATATTTTTAATATCTAGATATATCTTAAGTTCTTTATATATCTTAACTATAGATAAGAATCTCTAATATTTAAAGATATTATAAAAAATCTTATCTAGATCTAATAATAATTTAAAGACTATTAATAATATATTAATTATTAGATTTTGACTAAAATAAAAAAAAAATATTTTTTTAAAAATAATTTAATATTTATAATATCAGTTAATATTCTTATTTAGCTATATATTTTTTTTAAATTTTTTAAGCTTTAATATTAAATCTAGAATAATTATAATTATATAAATATAATTTTCTGTCTAATAAATATAATAATAATATTTTTAAAGCTTCTGATATATATTATATAAGCTTTTGATAATCTTTTTTTTTTAAAATATCTGCTTACTTTTCAGTCTGTTAATTAAATAATCTAAATAATTAAAAAGATTATTATAAATATTATAAATTTTATAAACAGTAGGTCTTAGAGTGGCTAACAGTTAGATCAGATCAGGTTAATTAGAATTTTTATATCTAATCGCCAGATTATAATCAGATTAAGAAAATTTTTATATCTAACTATAATATAGCTAAAAATCAGATAATTAACTATCTTAATTATTCTTAATATTAAGATCTATCTATTATATCTTTTTAGACTTTAGTATAATTAAGATATATTTAAATTAAATAATTATTAATCTGGCTATCTTTACTGTTGTCTAAAAATATATAAAAAGAAGTTTTTTAGATTAAAAAAATATAACTAAAAAAGAAATTAATATCTTTTTTATTATTATTTATTAAAAATAATAAGAAAATTCTAGTTATATTAATAAAATTCAGCTTTTTATAAAATTATTATTCTTATAATAAAAAATATATATAAAAAAATATAATTACTGCTCTGTTTTAGCTATATATTTTAATTATATTATAAAATACTAGAAAAATTATATATTAATTATTAATTAGAATATTAAGAATAAATATACTGCTTTTATTCTATTATTTCTTTTAAATTAGACTATTCTTAGATTTATAAATAAGATATAGCTTAAAGAGCTATTAACAGAATCAGAAACTAATAAATAGTTAAGAAGATTATAAATAATTAGATTATTAAAATAGAGTAGATTAAATAGATTAAATAGATTAAATAGATCAAATAAATTAAATAAATAGAATAAATAAATAAAATATATTAGATCTATATTATAATATTATAATTCTTATAGAAGATTCTGTAAAAATCTTTTATAAATCTTTTCTATAAATATCTATTTTTTATTCTAGTTTATTATATTTTAAGTAGTTTTATTTAAAAGAAGAAACTATTTTATAACTCTGGACTTTAGATATAAATTTCTATTTATTAAATTTATTAAAATAAATAAAATACAGCAGGCGTCTTAGCTATATATAATATATTAAAATATAATAGATTATATTTATATAAAGTTATATCTTAAAATAAAATAAACTGTCTTTACAGAGTTTTCTATTTTTATTTTTTATATCTATTATTTACAGAACAGCTTTAGAATTATAAATTAATTATAATTATCTAATTTATTTTTAAAAAATATTATTAAGTCTTCTTCTTCTGTTTCTCAGATTTTTATAAATTATAATAATATTTAAATTAAAATAAGTTTTTTAAGTTAGATCTTTTCTTCTCTCTTAAATCTTAAGATTATATATATTATAAGAAATCAGAAGATTATTTTATATTTAGCTTTTTAAAAAAAACTTCTTATTTTTCAGAATTAATAATAGAAGATAATCTTTTCTAAAAATTATATATAAATTAAAAAACTATTATTTTACTTTAATTAAAAAAAATTATTAATAATATAAGACAGTTTTTAGAAAGATATATTATTTTCTAATAAAATCTTTTATATTTATTATATTATATATCTTTATATCTTATAATATTCAGAAATTAAAAACTTAGAAACTAGTTTTATAAATTATTATCTCTATAAGAATTATAAGAAGAAATTATTATTAATTATATTTAAGTAAATAATTAGTCAGATACTAAGTAAAAAATTATTATAGATATTTATTTATTTTTTTAAAATAAATCTTTTTTAA